CCATTGTCGAAGACCGAGAATCTGAGAACATTTCTGGTTGCAGACCCACTTGGTGTTCAAGGAAGGAAAATTCAAGCCAATGGAGAAGATGACTGTCAGCAGGTATGAATTGGGAATTTGGGAGTCACAGAATTATCAGACTCATAGAAAAAGCAGAAAAACAAACTTGAGGACTCAAATTGGTGATAACTTTCACTGCAGGTGTGGTCAGGACCTTTATCTGGTGACCGTATGGTAGTTGCTCTCTGGAACCGTTGCTCTGAGCCAGCAACTATTACAGCATCATGGGATATGATCGGTCTTGAATCTACCATTAGCGTCTCAGTAAGAGATTTGTGGCAGCACAAAGATGTAACAGAGAACGCGTCTGGCTCCTTTAAAGCTCAAGTAGACGCACACGACTGTCATATGTATGTTCTCACTCCCCAGACAGTATCACACTCTGATGTATAGTTCTTTGTTAGGAGGCACTCAAATCTCAAAGATTGCCTTGTGTTTCTGTATACCTGTTGTGTATCCTGTAAGGCTGTAACACGTGAAACCTATTGTTGTTACTCAGGACAACTTTCATAGTGTCTGGTTGTACAAAACCTAGTGTTTATGTTTTGAGCATTGAGTGAAATAATGTTTGTTACTCTCTGCACAAATCGCCTCAACAAGAAGTAAAATTGAGGAGATCTCGTATGAATTTGGATAAAAAATCTGAAGGTATGGATTCCAAGCAAAAGACAAATGCCAAATCAACTGCTTATCTATACCACTATTGTATATTCTGTCCTACCAACAATGAAGAAGAGATCTCTAACGAAACATTGGTCAACAAAGAAAATAAGTTCCTGAAATCCTAAATAGAGTTTGTCCATGTGGTTAAGAGAACCTAGTAATCCTGAAGGTAATGTCAAGATATCAACCAAAGATTTGGTCACAATCACTAAAAGTCAAGAACCGTTCATGGTTTGGGAGGATCTGCTGTTCTCTTCTTTGCCATTTTCCAATACCAATGTGCTTGAAGATAGAGGTTCTACTGGGTTTTCTGGTGGTGGAAATTGGCAATTGTCATCAATCTCCAAATGCTCAGATCTTTGAGATTTCAGCACAGGCTTCTGATCTGGGTTACTATTAGTCTCTGGTCTCACACATTCTTCTCCTTTGTTACCGGTACAAGTAGACACTTCACCAGAAAGATTGCAGCAACTACTGGCTCCAGCGTTGTCTATTGCCTCAGCGGAAGCTTCTAAGTGATGAGTTGATGAGGTTCCAGTATCTGAGTCTCTGAACCTGTCAGAGTATACCTGTTGACTCTGCAACAACCAGTGAGAAAGCAATTTAGAAGCTTGCAGCAATAATTTAATTTTTAAGCCAAAAAGTCAGTCAGTGGGGTTAATCGCATACCATGTCAGGAATATAAGTGCCGGTTCCTCTCCTCATGTTTTGACAGCCATTAGGTAAAGAGTGCAAAGGAAAAGGCTGCGTAGAGGTTGATACATTGAGACTTTTAAGATAAAACTCGTTCTTTCGGTAAGTCACTAGGTGACGAACAATATCCCAACCACTTGGGTCCGTAACTTGAGAACTAACCGGGATATAGCCATGCTGAAATCTTCCAGGTAAGCTATACCCATGAATTTGCCCATACACAAGTCTTCCAAAGTAACCTTCGAAATCTCCACTAAGTTCAGACAATTCTGATCTTCCAGTACCAAACGCAGTAACGGGATCATATACATCTTGCCTTTGTCCCTTACCATTTCTCTCCAAAGAGTTACGAAAGAACCTCTCCAATCTCCATCCCATGGTGGCACCAGGTAACGAAAGAACATCTCTGAGCTTTCGAGCTCCAAGTGTAAAAGCATGTCTTATTCGTTGGACATTTCCTAACAAAATGTTTTAAGAAAATGAACAATTTGACAACTGCTATATTATATATAAAACTGTTATTAATAAAGTACCTTGTGTAACACTTTTTCCGAGGTTGTTGCTGTATTTTAGAGGATCAACTATGTTGAGATGTTTGATAGGAAACTCAAGACCATTTGAGTCAACAGCTTTAGTTGGAGCAGAATATAACTCTACACAGTTTCTTAAAAACTTCTCGTCAAGCAATAACTCATGCCCATTTTCTGGAGAAGCTGCTGGAAAGATAGAAAGAGAAAACACCAAATTAAAATGTCAAATAACAAAGAGAAATGCCACGGATAGAAATATCTATGATTTTTGGTATCATCCTTACCCGTAAGTTCTGGAAGGGAAGATATTGGCACAGGACCATTGACACTGACACAGTAGTTGTTCCAGTCAAATGAACCATAGTAATCCAAGAACTTATACAGAACCTGTTGAAAGACAATTCTATAATCTCATCTTTTGCATATATCACTTACTGTAGACGATGCAAAAGCTTCAGAAAAAGAGGGATTACCGCTAAAGGGCCAGATAAAGATGAATGATATAGGTTGATGATGTACAAAACTAGTACTGCCAATGCATATGTTGAGATCAATCCAGTGTTAGCACCAAGAATTCGACTCTCGTAATAGCACCAAGCTTTGACTAGGATGATGCTACGCTTGAAAAGATGATCTCTCCCAAAGAGTTGGTCAACCTGAGAATACATAAAACCAGAGCTTAACCAATAACTAAGAATCAAAGCTAGGCAATAATCTGTTTAGTAGACTTCTAGAGCCTGATTTTGAATAGAGTATGGTACCTGTTCGAGAAAACATAAAGCACAGAGACCTGCCGTTTGATTAAAAGAGATATCCACAGCAATGTTTCTGATATTGCATTTTATGACCTTGACCTATCATAAATCAGCAAACTTTCTTAAGGAAAATTTGGCCAAACAAGAAAATACAAAAACCAAACCAAAGAGTAAATAAACAAGCAGACCTGTGCAGGGATAAATTGCACATCTGTTGCATGGAATTCAGATTCTCTTTCTTCATTTTTAAGCCTATTGCACAATTGACCATAAAAATCGTCATCCATATTTTGCTTAGTTAGGACAGTCAGATCGATATCTCCGTCTGGGAGATAGGTCTTTAGTGGCACTGAACCAAATGAAAAGACCTGTAGATAAACATGTTCCCAATGAAATTTAACAAACAACATAAATCTTTAACATGTCAGCAAAGAGAAGCAGAGTTTCTAACCTCAATTCCATCATGACTCTTGATTAGAGTTCGTACATAATCAATGATCTCATTCCTACTTTTGTCTGAAACAAGGGCAGGTTGGATAGTGCAAAGTATCTCATGAGCTCTCTCCTCTGCAATCATCCAAGATTCCTCCTCTATCAGCAATGATTCCGCTTTAGGTTGTGATGTTGATAGTGACAATGAGGATGATGAAGAAGACGAAGATGATGATGAAACTGACAATCTTTCTTGAATATCACCCATGTGAGCATAACTTCAAACTAACACCAGATTGATAACACAGAAATCCTCAACCCAATGAGCCCCTTGTATAATTGTGACATCTAGAAACCACAGAACAAAAAGAAATTACAAAAAATATATCAAATTGACCTTATTGTGATCACATTAGACATAGAAAAGGACAAAATGTTCAAGCAAAAGAAATGAAGTCAAGGTAAAAGTTGGTTGTCTAATAACTTGAGCTCCCAAATTTGATTTAGAACAATCGAGGCTAATCCAGAGAGTGAGTGAGATACATCCTGAGCAAGAGACATAAAAAATGAAACAGAGCATGCCAATAGTGGATACAGTGTTAGGTAGGTACCCCTCATGTTTAGCTTCTCAGAGCAAAATCGAATATCTATTAAGAAAAACAAAACAAAATAGCTAAACTATATTGCGTGATGATTATACCTAGGAAAAAATTAGCTCAGAAGTCTCATCTCTGTCTCTTCCAACATTATTTTTTTGACAACCTCAGAATTGTTTTTGACAAAAATGAGGTTTAAGTATTGAAAGGAGTGAGTACCTGCGGTTTTAGTCCATTTGTCCAGAGATTCTTTGGCCTCTAATCTGTGGATATTCAAGAGGCTTTTAATTCCTGCAAACAAACAAAAATTGAGAAACATAAAAAAAAAATCAAAACTTGGAACAGGGTTTAAGATTGTAACGGATACGGCATTTTGGTTTTCATCTTAAAGCTTCACAAGGACCACGAAGATGGCTTAAGACAAAAGAGAAAACCCCAAAAATCAAAAAACGAGATTCACGCGTAACATCATTTTGTTTTCTCAATCAACAAAACCGATAATGAGGATTTTGAGGCAAATTGTGCTTCTATTCATTAGATTCCAAAAGATTAAACAAAGATTATCTCACCTGGAGACAAAATTTCCAGCGTTTGGTTTTTTGGATCTTATGGATAATAAACGTTACACCACAAACTCTTTCAAACACAAAGGGGAAAAATATAAAACCCAGATAAAAACATATATGAGTCAGTAAAATAAAACGGAAGAGATTGTTTACGAATACCGATTTGTATTCATTGATCAAGAGAAGAGAAACCGAAACTATAATTTTTTTTTTAAAGAGGGGAGAAGAATTATCACCAAGTAATGCAAGAAAAAAAAATTAAGGGATAATATAAGAAAAATAAAATTAAAAATATGGAAGGTTCATAATAGTGGAGACCTAAAACAATCTGCCATTTTTGTAATCAATTAGAAATATTTTAACTTCACCTGCTCCTCTCAAATAATATTCAGCCCAAGAAAAAAAAGAGATTTTTTTAATCTTCTTCTTCATTCTTGTTGGAGACTCTTAGTCTCTTTGATCTCCATGGTCAAAGTTTTTGAATGATTCAACAAAAACCCTAATTTCTTCAAAGTCCAAAAACCCAGAAACAGAGACTCAATTCTATGAAAGGGGGAAAAGTGTAACGTATCTTTATGTGGTCTCGAGTATAGACGATTACACAAGTGGGACCCAACTAATCATCAGTTTGATGACGTGGCGTACGAATACGAGGTTTTATCTCTTCCATACACGTGGCATAATATCGGACGGACTAATTTAGATAAACGATTAAAAAAAATTAAGCAAACAGTCAGATTTTTTTCCCGCTATGTTGTTAACTCTCTCTCCTAAAACCCTATCTTCTTCCTTCACTGTGCACAAATCGCAAAACCCTAGATGTAAATCCCCAAATTCATGTCGATTCCAGAGTTCTAAATGTAGATTCAATCCAATTTTAGTGAAATCGGAGGTTCAGATTGAGAGGAATCTCGAATTCGAAACTGGAGAGACATTTTTCCGCCATGAAAGCGCTAGAGGACGAGACCTCGGTGTTTTGTCAGCGACGCTGTACAAGAGATCTAATGGAAGCTTACGGGTACTTGACGCAATGTGCGGATGTGGAATTAGGTCGCTTCGTTATCTTGTGGAAGCTGAAGCTGATTTCGTGATGGCGAATGACGCGAACGATGCTAATCGGAGAGTGATTACAAATAATCTGAGTAAAGTAGAGAGAGGTGTTGGTGATGAGAGGAGATGGGTTGTGACGCATATGTTGGCTAATAAAGCGATGATTGAGCGATATATGGTTGCGGATTTCTTCGATATGATTGACATTGATTCGTTTGGGAGCGATTCGTCGTTTTTGAGAGATGCGTTTAATGCATTGAGATTGGGTGGTTTGCTTTACTTGACGTCAACTGATGGTTACTCTTCTGGTGGTCACAGACCTTATAAGTGAGTAAAAGCTATACAATTTGTGATATTTGTGCTTTAGTTTTCCTAATTTAATCGGTTTTGTTTACTGGTTTCATTGGGAAGCATCTGAAATGTGTGATAACAATAGGCTTTATGGAACATTTTAGGAAACATGCTATGAGTTTGAAGGAAGTTGAAAGTTTAAACATTTCTTGGTTTGTTTCGGTGTAGTTCTTTAGCAGCCTATGGAGCATTTATTCGGCCTATGCCGTTTGGGAATGAGATTGGGCTGCGGATGCTAATAGGCGGAGCGGTAAGAGAGGCCGCTCTGCTTGGTTATCATGTTACGCCTCTTTTCTCGTACTATTCTTATCACGGACCTGTGTTTAGAGTCATGCTGAGGGTTCACCGTGGGAAGCTACATGAGGACAGGTTGTTTCTACATTTAAATTTTGACTCAAAGGACTTGAGTTTTGGTTATGTTGCGTTTCTAATTGGAGTTTTCTTGTGTCTTAACTGTAGGAACTATGGTTTTGTCACGCACTGTAATCTATGTGGCCATTCTCAAACATTGAGATGGGATGAACTTGGTTTGATGGGATGTCCCTGCAGTGATACAAAGGCTTCTTCTTCACTTGTTGTGTCAGGACCAATGTGGCTTGGACCACTTCATGATGCATCGTATGTTACGGAAATGCTGGAATTGGCAAAAGAATGGGGATGGGTCAGTGAAGGCACTGGCATGGATCTAGAGAAGCTTCTTAGCATAATGATCGAAGAGAGTGATCCAAGACTACCACCTGGATACACCAAAATGGATGAGGTCCTCTTGAACCATGATTTAATTACATTGATAAGAAAGACGCATTTCATCCACATTACATGATAAGTATTGTATTTGTAATTAGATGGCGAGCCGTGCAAAGATGAACTCACCTCCGTTGAAGAAGATGATGAGTGCACTAGTTAAGGTAAAGTAGTAATTGAATTCTCACAGCTTTGATCTCTGAAGAAACTGATGTGAATGTACCTAAAAGGCTCTGCTTTTGGATTTTTGTAGGAGGGATACGCTGCTAGCAGATCTCACATTATCCCCAATGCTCTCAAAACAGATTGTCCCATGTCACATTTTGTAAGGATTGCCAAAGATAATTTGCATAATTGACTCATTGATATATCATATAAATCAACTTGATGATATCATTTTTGTAGCCTCTGTTACTACTATAAGAAGCCTACTATAAGAAGGCTTCAAACCCCACATTCAAATATATTATTTGTTGGCTTATGAAAACTTAGGCGATACCATATTGTACTCAGTATCACTTAAGGAGTGAATCTTTGCTCATTCATCATTTCTCTCAAACGAATGGTATTAAAAGTGGCACAGATCAAAAAGTGAGGAAAAATCAAAGTCAAATCAACTGGTAAAATGGTCTGAAACATTTAAAGACCCATATGGCGAAACCATCTTTAACAAAATGTAGAAAACATCTTCAAAAATTTCAGACAACAGAGAGACTGAAACTATAATATAAAAAGTTTTGGATTGCCAGCTTCTTGAAGTCTTCAGGCACGAGGAGCAGCAGGAGCACCACCGGCAGGGCGAGGGGCCTGACCAGGCTGTCCAGGCTTGGGAGTATCCTCCTGAAAATATTATCATTTTTGAAAGCACTTAGTAAAAAGCCTGCAACAATGTCATATACTCACACTAAACATAGAAGAGGATACATTCTCCATCAAGTTTTTGCATGGACTAGTTTAAAGCTTAAGAAACAGTGTAGAGCTCACATTGTCATAGAATTCTTAAGATATATCAAAACAACAGCTATTATAATTCATCTGAATTTACAGTAACAGTAAAGACAGAGTTCTACTTATTAAATCAATTGAAGTTACGAGCCATTACCAACAAAAAAAAACACACTTTTTTTTCTGTTTGAGCAAAATTGACTGCTTAAGAACACAATCACGATAAAAAGAAGAATAAACGAATTGATTTATAGAAGTAACAGTACAGAGAGCTTACCTTGCGTCTGGCGAAACGAGGTGGTGGGGTACGAACCCTACGGTTAGTGCTGGATCGGACTCTAACAACGTGAGAGTGGATAGCACATGATACACAGTATTGCATCTTAGCGTAAAGCTTTGGGAGAGTGTAAGCTACCAATCCAAAACAATACATAACTAATTACACTAAAATCTCAAACACACAATTAACAATGCAAAACAAGAATCATTAAAACACATACCTTCGTAGACGCTAGCTTCTTGAACATCTCTAATAGCAGCCTGCTCAACAATGTTCCTGACGATGAATCTCTTAATTGCCTTATCCTATTCAACAAAAGAACCAAAATCAGATCGAAACATTTTCAATCTTAGACTAGTCTCGGGAAATGGTTAAACAGGAGATCGAACCTTGGGGCAACACTTTCCACAGTTGGAACACCTGATTGGGTTCACATGACCACGGTTATGCTTGTTCCTGCCACCATTCCTACGCTTGAAAGTCTGCAAAAACCAAACAAACTCGAATTCAATACACAATTTTGCTTTTTAAACATCTGTGAGCTTGATTCTGTGTTCTCAACTATGAATCTATCAAAGAACGAGAAGACTTGCCATGTTGATGCAGAGAGCTTCAAAAGCTTATTGCTTCAGTTCTCTTTGATGCGGCGACAGGGAAGAAGAAGCGTTCAGTAACCCTAAAATTTGCAAAATAATCTCTAATATATGCAGACCATTGCCGTTTAGGGTTTTATTAGAAGTGGATTTGACTATGAAATATTTGGGCCTGTACATGACCCATTATAAGCCCAATCCTGCCTCGCGATTCATGAATGTTTTTAGCAAGCGGGCCTCAAATTAACCAATTTACAATGTTTTATGAGATTAGTGATTTTAAAAAACGATTACTTTGGATTTTAAAGTGTTTGGAAAATTTTGACTTTTAATTTTTTTGCTTCGAAATTTCATTTATATACATACTTTCAAATATTAAAATTTTATTTATTTAATTAGATTTATTACATTAAGTCAACCAAGGCCAAAATATAAATTTTTTTATTTTATTTCTAAAACAACAAAAAAGAAAAACATTACCAAACATTTTTTTCCAAAGTACATAGCATCTTAAACTTATTATTGCATCTCCGCTACTTCCGTATTGATTACTACTTCAAACCTTCAAAGCTTCGTTCTATTATATGCATATTTTTACATGTACCAAAACTCAGTTAATATCAAGATCACGAGTGTGCTTCTCGAATACGTCCGAGGCATATTTCCAGTTGATCACAGTCCAGATGTTCTTCAAGTACTCAGCTCTAGCATTCTTGTACTGCATTACCCGTACCAATTGATGATCAAAGTTAATATTCAATTAGATGATTTTATTATTGAAACCGATATGTATACGTTCTATTACTCTATATTAAGGACAAAGAGTATTATAATTGAGATTAGAGTACCTGTGGATAGTAGGCATGCTCCCACACGTCAATCCCGATTAGAGGAACTAAGTGTGATCCCTTAGTCACCAATGGGTCCTGTATTTTCTCTATATATCAAATCTTTTTCTTTTCTTTTTCCTAAATTCTTGAGAGAGAGACCATGACATGATACAAACTAGCTTAATTACTACATTAATAATCTACCTGATTGGCTGTGGTCTCAACGACAAGTCTCTTTAGCTCTCTGTCTAATCCAAACCACTATAAAACAAAGGATGCACAAACATGGGTTTTATGCAACCAAAAAAAAGTTTCTGTTAGTTAACAAGTCAATGAGTTTCTTATGCTACACTATACACTAACCAATCTTATTGTCACTTTTAGATTTTTGTTAACACGTTTTTTGAAATTAATGTTAACTTCTTTTTTCTTTCTCATTTCGAACAGAGTCCTATATACTACATCACATGTCCAATTCAAATTTAACTGAATTTTGATATTATGTCAGAAAATTTTATAAATTCCCAGCAAAAACCAATAATTGATATCCTAATTAACTTATTGTTAATGAGATTCTAAGAAGAACTTACCACCCATCCAGATCCCTGCACAGCAGCGCCTTCGGCGTTCATCTTTTGGATCAATCCCTCTAATGATCCGAAATGAGCATCGATCGCCGAAGACAAAGGATCGTGCGGTGGCTTGCCACCTCCTTCCTACCATTTCAATATGACCCATTATAAAGAAAAAAATCATCTTAAATAGAAGATGGAGTGACGAAGAAGTAATATATTGGTACATGAACAGGGGCTAGGTTTTTCCAGAAGATTGCATGGTTAACGTGACCTACAAGCAAAGCAACAAAATAAATCAAAATCCTTAAGATCAACAAGCACCGACAGAAATATTTTAATTAGAACTTAGTATCGTTTAGAGCAAGGGTTTTGACCTCCGCCGTTGAACTTAATGAGGCTTTGGAGTTTGACGACGGAGGAGTGATCACCATCGGCCATGGCAGAGCGAAGGCTGTTTAGGGCTTTGTTGTACTGAGTGACATAAGTCTGGTGGTGTTTCTGGTGGTGTAGCCGCATGATCTCCTCACTGATCGCTGGCTCTAGCGCATCATAAGCGTACGGAAGATCAGGAAGTGAAGCAGTCTTCATTGATTCGAGACACGGTTCCATGGTTGCTCCTCTGGCGTTGTGAAGACTCGTAGCGAAGATCGCAAGGAAGATAATGATAATGACGGTGGTCGTCATGATCTTTTATATATGTAGACACTATAAAATAGAAATAAAGCGAAAGCTGGAGTTATTCAGATAAGTATATAAAATAATTTCTTAACAAAAAATGTATATAAAGTTATTATTATTAAGCCACGCCAACTTTGACTGATCTACTTGTCAATCTCTAAGGCTTCGTGGCTTTAGGCGTTTTGCATAGTTTCTCGATTTGTGTCGAAACCTTATGTTGATGCATATTTACGATGTTCTTGCATGTCATTTTGTCGTTGTATAGTTTATGGCACGAGGAGAAACGTCAAACGCAGACGCAATATAAAATTCCAAAGATCTCAGTCAAATGATCCGATCTAACTGATCAACGCATCTAAAATTTCGATGTTAGGATTTAGGTTTTGGCCCAAACAATTCCCATAATATTTGGGATTAGGCTATATCTCCGGACATTAGTCGGAAAGCATTCCAAACTTGAGGTTAGACAGTATGATAGTCCAATATCTAGGTGTTGACGACGAGTCCACATGGTAGCACTGCGTTGCGTTCAGGCTGACCGGATCATCCGTTCGGATATATAAATAAATTTCAGATTATTGTACAATCTCTGTTAATAAAGAAAAGATCTGGGCCATATACCCAAAAAGGCCAAACTTTCCTCAAACATCAAAACCGGAAGGCCCAATCCTATTCTTAAACATTGTCCACCGTGGAATCTGACGTGGCGTATCTAATGGTGTAGATTATATATGACACAGATGACACGTGTTCACCACAATTTAAATCCAGTACCAGCGTGTGCCCGCCCAAGCCATGCACACAGCTAAACCGCGTCGCCACGTTCTCCATACCCATATCGTCTTCTCAAACCAACAACCGTTCGATTGAAATCCAACGGTCAATATCAGATCTCTAATTAGTCTCTATCGTCAACACTTTACAGGGAATAATCACCTACTTAAGCCACCTCAGACTTTTGAAGATAACGTGAAGAATAAGTTAAACGCTATTTCTACAATCTCTAAATCTCAACCGTCCGATCAAACAACTTACACAACTTCCATGCTGGAGAAAAAAAAAAAAAAAGGTATATAAATTTAATAATCGTTCATCATTGCAATTGGATTGTGTGTGGCTGCGTCAGTAAAACGTATTCTTAAAAGCAACCATTGGTGTGATTGATTCTATAAGAGAAATCGTCAGCGTGAAGCAATCTCCAATCTCATCGCATATCTTCTCCGATTCCGATTCGTCTCTGCAATTGAAATCTTCCGGTAGGCGGATATGGCGGCGTCTGCGAGGATTTGTTGCGGAGGAGGAAGTGCATGTGCCGTTCGTTGTGATCGTCGTACGTTGAATTTGAATTCTCGATCGACGTGTGTTGTTCCGGTGACGAATCGACGGAATCGGTGTGAGATCGGGAAGGTTTCGATGTCGATGGAGGATTTGACACCACCGTCTGCGGCGGTGAAGATTGAAAGGATCGGTGAAAGGAAACGTGGTGGATCTGTTGTGTCGAGGGAGAAGCTTGATGTGTGGTTGAGAGATTCGGTGGTTGAGATTGTTAAGAATCTTAGGGAATCTCCGTTATTGATGCATTTATACGCGGAGGCGAATGGTGGTTTGACGACGACGGCAACGAATCCAGAGGCGGAGGATTGGCCGGAGATGGAAGGGAAGTGGGATAGAGGAGAAGAGAGGACGCCAGAAGGAGTTATACTCGTGGAGAAGCTCGCTGAATGTGACGTAGCGGATGATGATGATGATCACGATGGTGGCGCGTGTGGAGAAGATACGAGCGCGTGGGGGATTGTGGCGCAAGGAAGAGGAACGGATAGTGGGCCGGTTTGTTATCTATTGAAAACAACCCGGGTCGGGTCGGGTATGGGTACGGTTTTGTACCCATTTCTGTTTGGTTAAGGTCAAGAGTTTTAGGGAGACGGCCATGTCACAGTTGAATAACTCATGGTTGGTGCAGACTGGTCAATGAAAGAGTGATTATCAAAGGATTTAAACTGTAAATTATTTATTATCTTTGGGTTTTGATTATGAAACCCTTATGGATGATCAAATTACCTTTGTTATTACTACAAAATTTAGAAATTTGGAATGGTATACTGTAAATGAAAAGGTCAAGTTAATTGGTTATAGTGATTAGTTTTATCAAAAGAACATTGGTAGTTTGGAGTACTATTGTAGTAGAGAGGATTTGAATCAAGACAAGTAGACAGTTTAATACATGTAAGATCTCGAGTTTTTAGGTAAATATGCGTTCATTAACACCCCACAATAAGCAAAAGTGTAGATGGATTTAAATACTCAAACTTTTGCTCGTGATCATAGTGCAAAGCCTAGAGCTGATTTTGGTAGAATTTGAATCGGATTTCACAACCTCAATATCTTTGCCGTCGGAAAATTCCGGAGTCGTTCTCCGGGGATGGAAAAGAGAGAAAATGAATGAACATGATCGTGATTGAAAATTATGGATTGTTATTTGTTTTATTGGAGCTTTGCTTTGGATAATGGATTTAGATTTTAAGGCCCGTAAATATGGACGGTATAGGCCTTCGTTCCTCTGGGCTAGAAATGATCCAATGTTTCTTTTCGTTTGTATGAATTTTCTGAAAGTAATCTAGAGGGCCAAGGAGTTTAGACGTTTATGACACTGACAAGAAAAACGAACTTACGGAAGTGAATGACTACACCTAATCAACCACCTCTAGATCATATATTTCTAATGAAAGTGCAACAGGTGACAAGAAAAAAAAATGTATTTAGAGATAAAAAAATGTTTTTACTACAACCTTAGTTATATAAGTAAACCCAAGAGAAAAAAGTAAAAGTAAACCCAAGAATTGATCGATTATATAATAACTAATAAGCTGTATATGGAGGAGGAAAAAACTATAATTGGAAAATGTCTCCTAAGACCATCTCCAATGTATTTTCCTATTTTTAGCTCTATCTCTATAATAGAGGTAAATTTTCTCTATTTTTACTCCAATGTGTTTCTCTATTTTTTCCTCTAAAAAGTTTAACTCTATTTATAGGGGAAAAAATAGAGATTCTCTATTCTCACCTCTATATATAGAGAAAAAAATAGAGATCTTTATTTTAGAGGTGAGAATAGAGGTGGGTTGGAGTAGATTTGCCTCTAAAATAGAATTTAGAGGCAAATATAAAGGTGGGTTGGAGATGCTCTAAGTAAAAAAAAAAAAAAGGGAGATTGACACAAATAGCCCCAAAAAAGTTGTTTTTTCCAATAATAGCACCTCATTTGAAAAGTTCCACAAATAGCACCATAAACTTTAATTTAACTTAATGAAAATATAAGATAGAAAATAAAAAAGAGAGCAAACACTAATCTAATATTAAATTGAATCAAAATTGTTTTTAAATAGTGGAAATATATACCCTAATTTGAAAATAGGGAATCCAAATATAATACCACAAACTAATATTAAAATAAAAATCTCTTTTAAATGGTGAAAATATATACCCTAAATTGGAAATAGGGAACCCAAATATAATACCATAAACTAATATTAAAATGAATCAAAATCTCTTTTAAATGGTAGAAATATATACCCTAAATTGGAAATAGAGAACTCAAATATAATATTTTAAATTTATTTCTAATTTATTTTGTTGAATAGCTTTTATATAAAAATTGTGGTATTATTGAAAATAAAACTAGTGATAAAATGTTTAGAACAAAAATACTAATAGCAAGTTAACTAGTGCTATTTTTGGAAGTTTATGGAGTGTGTGCTATTATTGTCAATAAAACTTGTTTTAGGGCTATTTTTAGGAATTTCTCAAAAAAAAATTCAGGTTCATTTGAAATGAAAAAAAAGGTTAGCATATTGGCTTAGAAAGTCAAAACGTTAGATGCCAGCTCAATTGAATGCTATCGTTTATATTCAAATGAATTTTTAAGTTTTAACTAGTGAATTAAAAAGTAGAAATTTTGCAAATTACCGAGGCTGGGACAACGTGAATTTTGTTCAACGTGTCTTCTATTCTTTCATTGAATGATAAATTTATACGACTTGGACTTAGTATTAATTTTTTCTTTACCAACTCCGAGAGAGGAAAACGTGGTCTGTTTCAGACAAGGCATGCTCGATTCCTCTTTTATTGGCCATTGAAACTAGGGTTCTTCTGTTAAAATGTACTTATATAATCACTCAAAAAGCCAGATGAATAATGTATTGTAATTACCGATTCTTGAGACGTTTCCTCGATTCCCATAATTCAAAAAAGATCAGACTAATTGATGAGTTTTCACAGAGTCCCATGCACATGGTTGCAACAAATGAAGCTTCTTAAGTTCTTTTAGTATGGAGTATTATTTATATACTCTATTATTCAGACAGTATCATCACACCATGTCATTAACTCTAGCCACCTTTTTCTTGATTCTTGTTTTTCTTAACCCAAGTTTTTGTTTGTCTCACAAGAAAACTCTATTTTCTAAGACTGCTAAAAGAAGGTTCAAAACTTGAAATGAAGACTAGAGGCTTTCTTTCATAATAATAAGTAAAGATTTCATCAAAAGAGTCCCATATTATGGAACCCGGTGAAGACAAATCCGATACAACCCTAAAATTGTTATAAGAACAATAAATAGAAGCTACAAACATTGAAACTGAAACTAACAGACACAAAAGATAACACATAAGAGATTATCAAAAACAAACACAAACAAGGATCTCTCTTACAACCCCCAAATGAACAAACCGGATTCCTCTTCGCCGGAACTTGGTGAACAAACATGTTAGTTTTTACTTTCTTTTCAACTCGAACCCAACTCATCTGAGCTCCCTGAAGGGCATCTGATCATCCTCAATATGTTAACAGCTTCTCCCATATGTGGTCTACTTGATGGAACCTGAGAAGTGCAAATGAGCCCTAGCTTTATCACTGCAACCGCTTCTTCTACCGGAAACTTCCCTTGCAGCCTCGGATCAATACATTCATCTGCTCTTCCATCTTCAAGAGCTTCTCTCACCATATCACACAGAACCACAACATCATCTTCCATATACTCCACAGGCTTTTTACCAGTAACCACTTCAAGAACCAAGACTCCAAATCCATAAACATCGCATTTCTCTGTTATTTTCACCGTTCTACAAGCAAACTCTGGAGCCATGTATCCCAAAGCACTCTGTATCTTGCTGCTCAGCACGTACCTATCTAGCATGGGTAACAGCCTCGCTAATCCGTAGTCTCCTACTTTAGGCTCACCAGAGCTGTCTAGCAACACGTTGCTCGATTTGATGTTGTAGTGGATGATGTTTGATTGGTGCAAGTAGGCTAAGCATTTCGCTGTACCAAGGATAATGTTGAACCGATCATTCCAAGAAAGCGAACTACTACCTCCTGGTGCTTCGTGCAAGTGTTTGTATAAACTCCCACCAGAGAGAAACTCATAGATCAGAAGCTGAAGAGAAGTTGTCCAGTAATATCCTTCGAGTTTAACCAGATTTGAATGCCTGAGTTTTCCAAGTTTCTTGACCTCTCTTTCGAATTCGTCCTGAGACTTGACAAGACTTGAGACAGTGAGCTTCTTGATAGCTACAGGATACCCATCTCTGATAACTGTTCTGTAGACTGCTCCAAATCCACCTCGACCGAGCTCACAGTCTTTGTTCAGCAGAGCATGTGTTCCAGTGCTGAAATCAGGTTCACCAGAGAACATCACCAGCTTCCCTGAGTTGCTATCAGTAGTGGGAGATCGGCTGAAGTCATCTCCGCCTGAGAACGTGAGTGGTACAGCTGATCTTGAAACCGTTGATGCGCGCACTCTCAGATTAAGTACTGTGATGGCTATTACACCAACCACAATGGCTGCAGCAGCGCTAATGGCTATTAAAGAAGATATACTAAGGAGTATCCTTTTGTGACCAGCACCAGGAGGCACTACTTCACCCGAGTAAGGATCGAAAGTTGCATTAGGATTCAACACAATCGGTTTTGGGGAGACAGCGGGACAAGACTTATTGACAACAGCACCGCAAATTCCTGGGTTTCCTGATACTGAACTTGGGGATAAACCATTGAAGATTCCACCTGCAGGCAGTTCCCCAAAGAGATGGTTATGAGATATGTTGAAGGTGTGGAGATAGCCGAGATTAGCCAACTGTTTAGGAAGCGTTCCGGTCAGTTCATTAAATGACAAGTCGACTTCTTCGAGTTTGGTAAGTTTCGCGAGTTCTGGTGGAATTGAGTCTATCAGCTTGTTATGTGACAGGATCCTGTAGAAAGAAGCATGAAACAGAACACATTTAAGAAAGAATCTTCAATGGGAAAATCTTTAACTGAATGCAACTTAAAGCAAAAGAGACTTACAAAGACCGAAGGGAACTGCAATGCTTGATGGAAGATGGAATATGTCCCTCCAGCAAGTTATTTTCTAGTCTCAACTCCTCCAAAGAAACAGCTCCACCAGTTTCTCGAGGAATCGTTCCACTAAGCTCATTGTGACTCAAATCAAGGACGCCCAAGTGCTTTAGTTCCCCAATGGTACTGGGGATGGGGCCGGTAAGAGAGTTTCTGGACAGATGCAAACCCTCCAAGTCTCTAAGATCTCCTAGACCAGCTCCAATCTCGCCAGAGAAGGAATTGTGGGAGAGATCCAACACCTGGATCTTCTTGATACCTCCAGTGGAATTATCACTCTTTAATGCAGAAACATCACGAGAATCATCTTGAAATATCCACACGGGAAGATTTCCATTAAGTGAATTCCCACTAAAATCTAAGGCCAAGAGATTGATACAGTTGGCTGTTGAGTCCGGCAAGCTACCAATAAGCCCATTCCCAGAAAAGTTGAGAACTTTCAGTGCTAGAAGGTTGCCTATGGAGTCTGGAACATGCCCTGAAAACTTATTCATGGAAAGATCCAAATACTCAAGACTTCTCATTTCTCCAATCCACTTTGGAACTTCACCTTCTAACCCATTCTTTCCCAAGTTCAGAGAATAGCACAAACTAAGCTGCTGAAATGTATCTGGTACGCTACCTGATAGAGAGTTTTCACTCAGATCAATAGTCTTCAGCAGCATACAGCTTCCGATTTCGCTAGGAATAGGACCTGATAACCGGTTTCTACTCAAATCAAGCGAACGCAAGTTGTTCAATCTGTCTATCTTCTCCGGAAACTCTCCCTCTAACTCATTTCTTGACAAATCAAGTGATCTTAGAGTGTTCAAAGACCAGATCCCCAAAGGCATAGAACCAGAGAAACTATTCGAGGACAAGTTTAAAGCAGCAAGAGACGAACACGAGCTTATACTAACCGGAATATTCCCAGTTAGCTTGTTCTTCGCCAGAGATAAAACTCTTAATGACCCACATTGCCTGAAAAAGCCATCAGGAAGCGAACCAGACAAGCCATTGCTACTCAAGTCGACAACTTTAAGGTTAACAAGGCTCAGCAGCAAATTAGGGTTAATGATTCCCGTGAGATTGTTGTTTGACAAAGAGAGCTTATGAAGAAACTGGAGCTGAAGTAACCCACGACCAATTCGACCAGACAGAGAGAAGCCATCTAGGTTTAACTCAGTGACTCGATTGGTTCTCGGATGGCATTTGACTCCGTTCCAACTACAAGGAGTGTAGTCATCTTCGTTCCAAGAAGCTAGCTTTTGCTCTGGATCTCGTAAATCGGCTTTGAATACAATGAGCCCCAAAACGTCGTCGTTTAAAGGCGGGTCTAGAGATCTCACCGGAGCTACCACCGACACCAACAAGACTGAAAAAATCAGTGCTTTATACATCTTTCTTCGACCCTCTTCTCCGTTGTACAGATTTTAGTTGCGGAAGAACTCCATTTTTGAGTATGTAGAGCTGAAATTAGAAAGAAGAAAATTGGTGAACACAGAAAAAAAAAGTACAGCTGAAAAATAAAAACTTTTTTTGTTCGCATTCTCAGGAGTTAGATTGAGTACAAGAAAAGAACAAAAATCTAGCACAACGGCTACATTTCGACCAACGGAGGAAACAAACAACAAAACAAGAAGAAAAATCCGGTAAACAAAGGCTAGTTATATGAATAGAAGTAGCTATAGTTTACTTGAAATTCATAGAAATTCAAGAAATCTTCAGCTTTCAAGTGAATGGTTGAAGTAAATGTTGAGCAAAAATATTAAAAAAAACTTGAGCTTCTTTAAGTAAGAGCCATTGGAAAGTTTACGATCTGGAAATGAGGATTTCTCACCTGGTTAAGAATTATCTCCGGGAAGCTTTCCGACGAAGAATGTTGCAGCTCAGGGGTAAAAACAACCGGAGGCAAAGAAAGTGAGAGAGCACGAGCTTCTTCTTCTTGTTAGGTTTTGAAGCTTTTAAAGAACAGTGAATTTGGGAAGAAGAGAGAAAAAGCCAATAAAGAAAAAGAGAAAGAGTAATTAAAAGCTGCCTTTATCAACGGGCTGGAAAGAAGAGAGTGTGGGGCCCGAGGAAGGTGGGTGGACTCATTAATCTCGAAGTTGACACGTGTATTTATTTCATTGGTTTTGACGAATCCGACTTGGCAGACACGTGGCTTTTTTATTTTAGTTTTGTGTTGTTATAGAAAGTGGGAAAATGAATAAATGATTGGCCAACTCATAAAGAAATGAACCATAAATTTGAAATGTACTAAATTGTCCTTCCCAAATAATAGAAACTTTCTTTAATGGGTTTATTATATGCTCTGTGGCCTCTTGGTTTGATTCAATTAATTAGAAAATAATCTTTCACATAAAATGGAAACAATTTGGAATGTGGTTGGCTCTGTTATTCTCATGCAGAGAATTGGTATTTTTGGGTAAATTATGCAGAAAGAGACAGTGGTTAAAGTGGTCACCATAGATTTGGTTTTTCATTTTTATCTTTTAATTTGCCATTTCCATTTTTATTCTCTATTTTGTTTTTGAAGAAAAAACAATAAAGTAGTTGACAACAAAAAAAACATTAAAGTAAGTTGGTGAGGAATGAGGATGGTGACCTGGAAAAAATATTTTGTGGTGCTTAGAAATCACTTGTTCATTAATAATTGCAACCATAATATTACTATTCATTTATTTATGTACAATGTCCTTGTCACTGTATCAACTTAAAAATTGCACCGAACAATGTAAACTATAAGAAAAAATAAACGAATTATGGGTTTTTAATTTTCTTTAAAATTATGGGGTTTTGAAATTGGATCACAAACCTAAGGATTTTGGTTGACTTGGAGGAGCTGCAGATGTAAATTTGGGATCTTCTGTTTGTGCAAGGAATCGTCCATTATGTGAACTTTTTACAGATTGAAATGCGGTTGAATAACTAAGTGTCAAAGACTTATTGCCATAAAATAAAGGGAGACTCACAAAAATGCCCCTTTTCAAAAATGCCCCCTTTGGCTGTCCATTTTTAAAAATACCCCTTTTTATGTACAAAATGACTAAATTACCCTTCTTTTAATAAAATATATCACAAATATATAAGGAAATATAACAAAATTAGGTCTACAAAATACAAAATATTTTTTGGCGGGAAAATTGATCCCGCAATTTTTCCCGCCAAAACACTTGTAAAACCTTGTAAAAAACCTTTAAAATACCTTGTAAAATTTTCCCGTAAAATTTTTCCCGCCAAAAAATTTTCCCGCCAAAAAATTTTTTTTGCGGGAAAAGTGATTCCGCAATTTTTTTGGCGCTAAATTTTTGGCGGGAAAATTTTTCCCGCCAAAAATTTACAAGGTATTTTAAAGGTTTTTTACAAGGTATTTATAAGGTTTTACAATGTATTTTAAAAGGTTTTACAACGTATTTACAAGATATTATAAGATTTTACAAGCTATTTTATAAGGTTTTTACAAGTTATAAGGTTTTACAAGTTTTTTATAAGGTTTTACAAGTTATAAATACCTTATAAAACCTAATAAGTACCTTGTAAAACCTTTTAAAATACATTGTAAAACCTTACAAAACACTTGTAAAAAACCTTTAAAATACCTTGTAAATTTTTCCCGCCAAAAATTTTCCCGCAAAAAAAAAAAATTCCGGAATCACTTTTCCCGCAAAAAAAAATTTTTGGCGGGAAAATTTTTTGGCGGGAAAAATTTTACGGGAAAATTTTACAAGGTATTTTAAAGGTTTTTTACAAGTGTTTTGGCGGGAAAATTGCGGGATCACTTTTCCCGCCAAAAAATATTTTGTATTTTGTGGACCTAATTTTGTTTCAAATAAGGGTAAAATGGTCATTAAAAATTAAAAGAGGGCAAACTTAAAAATGGACTCTCAAAGGGGACATTTTTGAAAAGGGGTATTGAAAAAGGGGCATTTTTAACAATTTCTCTAAAATAAAACACTTAAAAAAACAGATAATAGAACAATGGTGATGAAAAAAATAATATAATCCGTTAAGCATGCTCTTGGAATTTTTTAATTGTTGTCTTTCTCGTTTGAGATTTGGTCCGAGTCAAGACATTTTATCAGACTCCGGTCTCTCTCCATACCTATGTTTTAAATTTTTATATTCCTTTTGACAGTAAAAGTTATTTATTTAAAATAAAATGAAAAAGAACTCTTTTCCCCATGGAAGGAAAACAACCCTTCATGGAAATTTTGGAATTTACTATTTGTTTCTATTTGCATTTTAACAAAGAGGCCTTTTTAATTTATTCTAAAAATATAGGGTCAAATTTATATTGTTTCAAGAGATTTGAAGGAATTTTTTGGGCAGTGTGAGCCCGACCGTAGAGAATTCACATTTACTCTTCTTCACTTTCCATCTATATTAGTAAGAATTTACTCTTTTGTTTGTTTTATAGTTAGTATTTATTTCTACATTCAATTTTTACTCGAAAGTTACTCTCTTGTTCTGCAATTTCCTTATATTTATTGATTACTATATTTTCCATTTTTATTTCATGGTAAATAACTTCGGATAAGATGGGTCCAACTCTCCCATCATCGGCCCATTAAGGAGAAACGATAAATGGGCTCAGCTGATAATAAGGCTTATCAAAGTTCTACAGTCCGGATGATATGTTAGAAAAGAAAACAAATTGGACTTAGAAATGCGACTCGGAGCTACTTACAAGTTACAACTACAAGGCCCATGCAAGTGATGCAACAATGCAAGTCACATATCCGTCAAAGATTTCGTATTAATTTGAGGTTTTAACGATTACAAAAATTGACAAATAATAATATACACCGAAAAATCCCATGTTTTTAAAATTCAAAAACTAAAATTATAATATATCTTAATTTTCAGAGAATCGTGGGGACTTTGTAAATGAGATTCTGATACAGATTTGTGATCCATTTTGAAATAAAAAATGATTATAAACTTGCATCTTCATTATTCGCACGATTAGAAAAGCCAAACAAATGGAAAATTAAAATTAATATTTGGATTTTCGTTATCATCGTACAAGATCACAAAGCACTGTCACTGACATAAACACCAAGTTTCTTACCAGTTTCCAGAGAATCAATATCAAGAACAAAACCACAACTTGTTGTATCTTAAATTATAAGGAAGATAAAATCATATCAAATCACTTCTTGATATATTGTTATCTTATATATCCATATATAAATTTAAAACATAAATATATTGTTCATATATACATTCATTCTCAAATCTTTTTAGTTTGTCAATTCTCTCTTTTTTTTTTCTTCATCTGTAAGTTTATCTCTGTTTTCTTTAGGTTTGAGAATTAAAAGCAGTATAATGTCCATATTAGTGTCTGACTCATCTATTCTCTTCCTTCTTGTGTAGTTTTTTTGTTCTCAGTTGCTTCATTCATAAGGAACAAAAACGATATCTCTCTCTGTAATCGTAGGAGATGAAGAACGGATGTGGAAGTGGAAGTGAGTCTTGTTTATCGTCAATGGAGGAGGAGCTTCATGTTTTAGCAGTAGATGATAATCTAATTGACCGTAAACTCCTTGAGAGAATCCTCAAGATCTCTTCATGCAAAGGTAAACTATCAATCTATCATTCAAATCTTTTTCCTTTTAAATTTCAAGAACCAAGATCCTTCTATATGGTAACATTGCCTCTGAAATGAAAAAATTGATTTTACGTTTTGTACAGTGACAACAGCAGAAAATGGGCTTAGAGCATTGGAGTACTTAGGCTTGGGAGATCCACAACAGACCAATGTAATTAAGCTCAATGTGTTTATATATCTTCAAGTTATTATATCCTCACTGCACATTTGCACATTTTGAATTGTTTAGAGAGGACCCAACAGTGTAAATCCAACGACTTTTGTGACATATTGGAGGGTTGATTTTTCAGGTAATGAAGGTGAATCTTATCATCACTGATTATTGTATGCCAGGAATGACAGGTTTTGAGCTTCTTAAGAAAGTGAAGGTGTGTAACAAATTTCTTACTAATCAAAAGTCTTTTTTTTTATCAGAAGACTCATAGACTAACAAAATTTCTTTCTTTGTCTCTGTTTCTATGGTTTTTTATTATTGACAGCAGGAATCATCGAATCTAAAGGAAGTACCTGTTGTGATATTGTCTTCAGAGAACATTCCTACTCGCATCAACAAGTAAAATTATCATTCCTCAGACACACTGCTTAATTGTTCTGTTTTTTTTTTTTTTTGGTTTCTTCTTAGTGGTGAACTAAGATTTTGTTATTTTCTTGATTTATATTGCAGATGCTTAGCTAGCGGTGCGCAGATGTTTATGCAGAAGCCACTGAAATTATCTGATGTTGAGAAATTGAAATGTCATCTTTTAAACTGCAGAAGCTGAAGATCTGCTTAGATGTAAAAGCTCAGTGTTTAAAAATCTTGATGTATGTTCCTCTCGAAGTGCAAATTGATTCTTCCCAATACAATCTTGCTTACCACAAGAAATGTTCTTTTTGGTCTGATTGTAAGAAATCTTAAACCACGAGAAATATAGAATTCAAAATGGGAAAAATGTCATTAAAATCCTGAACTTATTGAAAACGTTGATTTAAATCCTCAATTCTCGACGAAACGAAATAAATATCAAACTTATGTTGACTTTCCAAATAAATACCAAACTTTCGTTGACCTGGCCATATTAGACATGACGTTAAGTGGGTTAACATACTCTGTTAAAAGGTTAATTTTCTGTCAACAGATCCGTTAATTGAAAACGACAGCATTCCCTCTAACAATAAAACGACGTCGTTTTGTTGTAACTCCTCAATAAAATCCCGAGTTTCAAATCAGATGAAGATTGAGGGTTAGGGATTTTGCTCGATTTGGGGATCTAAGATTGAATTTAGGGATTTAGTTCAATCGTTACGACAAAACAACGTCGTTTTGTTGTTATAGGAAATAATGTTGTTTTCAATTAACATGTATGTTAACAGAAAATTAACTCCGTTAACGTGATATGTTAATTCACTTAACAACATACCTAATATGGCCAAGTCAACGAAAGTTTGATATTTATTTGGAAAGTCAACATAAGTTTGAAATTTATTTCGTTTCGTCGGGAGTTGAGGATTTAAATCAACGTTTTCAATAAGTTGGGAATTTTTATGACATTTTTCCCAATTCAAAATTGGCAGTTTAGCTTTTTGGGCCCATTAGGATAACCATAGTGAGTGACTCTTATTATTAAAAAAAAAAACGTATGTGTCAATTTATCTTCCTTTAGCCTTTAGGTATTCAATTGTTTCACCATTATTCTTGATCAGGCGATTATTTCAACATTTTAATCCCAAATCTTTGCGTGGACTTCCAAGATCGCCTTTTAACGTTGAAAATCTATAAATATTGAAAAGAAGCCCATGACTTAGTCAATGTGCTGCTTTCTTCTTCTATCGTGTTTATCAAAAGACTTGCCCTCCAAAAAAAGTTAAATCACTTGTCGGACGATAGAAAACATATACACGATCCAACACTCTAAAACATACTCTCACCTTTCTTAACCAAGAAAAAAAAAACCTAGTCCTTATCTTCTTTTTGTCACATCGATTAAGTATCTAGAAATCAATTACTAACGTGTTTGTTATGGAGCAAAGTTTAGTTTAACTAATTTATGCTTGCCAATATGTCATCACAAATAAAAAAAATTGAGACGACATTCATTATATGATTGGAGATTGTACGTCGCACTGAAAAATTTCACAATCTTTGATTTTTTTTCAAAATCGAATCAACATAGGATCCAATCTTTCTTTACCTGTCCCTCTTGCTCTATAATATATTTGTATGTGTGTATATAGATGCATAAACAAACAGGTAAGATATCACGAGGTGAAGCAAAAACCAAAATTTGTAAGGTAAGAAAAATAGGTGTTACATATGTTTGTGTGAATACTTTTTTAAAAAGGCATAATTGAACCACAAAAACAAAATAATTGATAATCAAACGATGGATGAGATATAATGTCAATGATATTAAACGGAATCAATCTGGTTAAGGAGCTAGAGTTCAGCTTATCATCACAAGAGTTATCAAAGCTCGATCTCCACTCTATTCGGAGACGCCAACGAACGGCTGAAAATCCTACTTGCGTGGAGGAACTCTTTGGCACAGTACCAGCCTGAACCGGAACCGGTTCCAATGTTGGATATACCGATGCAGAATGAACCGAGTCTGATGCAGGACCACTGGTTTAACTTTAGGTATCCAGTGATGCAGACAGTGGAGGGTAATGATACCTCGAGACCAAGGCATCGAAGAAGGTAAATACAAACATTTATTAATGTAGATGGTATGTATGCATGTGTAATTTGTTGTATGTATATACTGTGTAATGTGTATGTATAGAAAGAAGGATATTGGAGAAGAAGAAACGGTGTTGGTGGCGGCGGTGAGGAGGATCGAGATCCCGCCGGACGACAATTACACTTGGGAATAAATACGGTCAGAAGAAACAAAGAGTTGTTTTTTTTGGTTTTTACCCTACAAGTCCTTCAAATAAATTTTTACTTAGATTTTTGTTGTAGATAGGTTCAGAATGTGAGGAGCTTGGGGTTTTTCTTTTGTTGTGTTGCAACCAATGAATCAAAACCAAATTAGAGAGACTGTTTTCACTTCTTTCTGTGTCACCTGTATCATGTCTCGTGTCTCATCTGCTTTTTGTCCCTTTGTCCAAGGTTTTGTGTTTTTATGACCAGTACACGACACTTATCCCTAATTAATATTTGGACATTTTTTAGTGTATTGTTCCTTTTATAATATTTTTCAAACACTATAGTACAAAAAAATAAAGATTAGAAAAGGACCAATTCGGCGAGTTGTACTTTGTACACATATATAGTGGCTACTTGAGATGGTTAAGCAGATAGAAACTGTTCACTGCCTTTTACGCAAGGGCTTTTTTTTTTTTTTTTTTTTAACAGTTTCTATCTGCATTTTCTCCTATTTTCCTCACTCTCTTTTATTAGCAATATATATGTATACTTGTTAAGGAAAAAAAAAACATCCTAAACCCTACTTGGTATATATGTACACACTTTAGGTATGTATCATAACGATAAAGTATTTGTTATTGATGCATTAATTAGAGGAGAATGTTGACAAAGAAACAATAATAGAGGGGAATGTTGCTACTTGCTACAAATAGTAGCGGCTAAAATCACTCTAGTCGGTAATTAATTAGTTCTGAGTAATACGACATCGTATTTAAAAGAAAAGGATTGTGAGGTGGAAAAATCAAAGAGTTGAGAATTAATCTAAAGGGGGGATTATGTTTTAATCCAGCAAGAGTGGTATTTATACTACTATATGTACAGTACAGTGTACAGACACTCATTAGAGAGAGGACAAAATATATTATACGTACGTTTTCCACTCTACAAGCCTAATGATTAACTCATAGTCTTAGTCCTATAGTAGTGGTAAACTCAAGATAGATTCGAACATGAACTGAAGATAGAGAAGTGCTCATTTTCGCTGAACCCGAAATCGCCACCAGCTCCAAACACCAAGTGATCCGGAGAACCCAAATCATTGATAGATGTACTAGTTTCCCCATTGACGTAAATGGCCTGATGATGATAATCTTCTTCGAAAACCATTTCTGGCCACACCAATGACAAGTCATTCACCGTGGAAGAACCATGATGATGATGATTCTCTTCTTCCTCCTTCATTGAGGTCGTCAAACTAGGACTCTTGTGCTCTTCGGAATCCATGAATATCTCATCATGATGGTCACAAGTCTTGCTCTTGGGTGTTTCTGCGTTGGTGTTACACGTGTGCTTTCCTATGTATGTGATACTGAACATCTTGGGTTCGAGCTCCACCTTCTGGACTTGCTTTGTTGCCTTGCACCCTTGCGTGTACTTGTGTGTGCATCTAAAGTAACTCCTGCAAAACATAAATTAAAATAAAAGAATTTAGACCAAAATTTATATGCCACAACCAATTAAGCTCAGACCACATTGATGGTAGATATAATTGCGGTCCATGTGTAATAATACCCGGCAACATGTCACATATCACTATATCAGATACGAGTATATGTAGATATACACACACATCTATATAGGGGTAAAAAGGACCTTGGGAATTTGGCATTAAGAATCTCCTTTTGTCCATATTTCCTCCAAGAAAATGTGTCCTCAAGTATAGTCGATTCTTTAGTCCACGTCTCCGATCTTTTCCTGCTCATAATATTAATGAAATCGATTAATCATTTGGTTCTTTGCCTACTTATGATTCTTGCAACCAAAGCTAAATTTTATTGTTTGTTTGTGACTAACCACAACAGTAATCAAATCCTAGATTATCACTAGATTTAGGGTACATGTGATCAACGTAATCGGTATAAATAGAACTACGATGGACTGATTAAATAAGAGAGAGAAAAAAAGGTGAAACTTACTTTCTTTTGTAGCATCCTCTTTTACCCTTAACGGGTCCCAATCTTTTCCGACTATCGCCGGAATCTTCAAACTTGCCGTCGTTGTCGCATGAAGCATTTTGAGAGCCCTCAACGGCGGCGAGGGATGATGAGGAGGAGGAGATAGGTTCGAAGGTATCAAGAACAGAGATGCTGTTATTGAAAGACTCTAAGATTTTAGCCACTAGATCCTCCGCTGGACCTAGACCGGACCCGGGTTGAGAGACGAGTTGCTGAAGCTGAGTGGTTAACTCGTGGCCTTCTACGAGTTGGTTCATCACTTTAAGCTTTTTTGCTTTATTAGTATCCATTTGTTGATTTTTGAGGAAGTTTTTGGTTGGGAGTTTCTTTTTTTGTTTGTCTTTCCTCTTGGTGTGGTTTGAATGATTAAACGAAAGAAGAGAAGTGTGTAAATATAAGGTGGAAAAAAAGATTAGTAATGATGGGCGCTTTTTATTTTGTTGGTTTCTTTGATTTTTTGTTTTTTAGAGGAAGATGGGAGGAAATGAGAAGGAAGATAGAGAGATGTCTGAGGAAATGAGATGGAACTTGAACTTATCCACCCATTTCTTTTGCTTATGGTATGACGTAATCTCAAATGACGTAGTGATGAATGATGTCATTTCATCCCTAAGTGAGAATGGAATATATAATTTTGCTGAAATCCAAACTTAAGAGCCATTCATTTATAACCGGATAAATTTTGGATCGAAATGTAGACTAATAAAAAAGTTGCGAAAATCCGTTTAAAGTTTACACATATTTTTGACTAGTGTAGTAAGCATTTAAATAGTGATATAGTCAGTTGAATTATTGATATCCAAATTATATGATCCATGTTTTTTTTTACGAAGTACTTTGAATAGTAGTTTTACATACCAAAAATTAAAAACGACACATATAGGTCACCCTAAATAGACCTACCTAGTTCAAATAGTTAACGAGACAAAATTTACGATCAACTAGTCTCAATTGCTCCTAATTACATAAAATACTTGAATGACTGATATCTATCTAAATTAGATTGATTACGTTGAAAGAATCATATCAATAGAAAGTAAATTGGATCTATAGCTATGTCTCATTCGCTTTCCAGCAATAAGACTAATTAGTTTTTGTTATATAGTTAAGACTAGTAAACGTATCACCTCACTTCATTAATATATAAAATATGAAGTATCAAAGCTACACTTTTCTACCCATTTTTTTTTCTAGAAACCCTATCTTATATTATACTTAAAATTCTATTATAGTAACAACACAAATCTATTGTTGAAAAGTATTTTCTTTCCCTTGGAATCACTTTATTCCATTTTCGTGGAAAAGGTATAGTTGGGCATCTTAGATTTTTTTATATCTGTAATATAGGTATAGCTAGTTTAGCATAAAATTTTTTTAACTGATTTAATTTGATAAATATTTAAAGAGGTGTGTAGTGTATGTGGTCTACTCAATATAATGGCCCCTCACTATTTAAATGCATCATACATTAGTGGGTTCTCCTCGCTTAAATGTCTAGTTGGTCTAGTTGCCCTCTCAATCTCTTCTATGAACCAAGTTTAAACTAATTGATTGGTGATATTTTATATAGGACAAGTTTTGCATACCCAAAAAGATAATTTCTTCTCACGGAGATATTATAAGAGAATGTTAAAATTAGTAGCATTTTTAATTTCATGATTTTGAGTTTTTTTTTTTCACTTTTATACGAAGTCTATTAATACACCTCTTGAGCTAGGATCATATAAATTAGAACACATACACTAGAACAGAAACTGTTGTATGTGTTAAGAATGGACAAAGTATTACCTTTTTCTTTGCGTAAGGATAAATTATGACTAAAAAGACATAAGTTTAGGATAAGATCATAAGATTTTGGTTTTAGTTATTTTGTGGGATAGCTACCAAGTACACCTCCAGAAACCAATAACTTCTGAGCAAATTTGTAAGCAGGTTCATAAATGAGATCCCTTATTAATGCCATAAAGTTTAGTTGTTGTGCCTCAACTTTTTCATTAATTCAAAAAGGTTGCTTCTGTAGCCTAAGTTAAACCAGTTGGCTCGTCGTGAGTTATATTTTAATATGTCCTATAGTTGTATATATTAATCATATTTATTAGGCCGGTATTTTTTTCTAATTAGACTTTTACTCATAATACATTGTCTCTGACGAACGTCGACCAATAGAAAGGATCCAATAAACTATTTGATAACTGGGGGATTAGCAAAAATACCCCTTTTTTCATGCCCCTTTTCAAAAATGCCCCTTTTAGATGTCCATTTTAAAAAATGCCCCTTTTTAAATCTGAAATTTTTATAAAGTTTTATTAGGTTTATAAGGTACTTATGGATTGTAACTACTACTTGAAGACTCGATCCAAGTATTTATAAGGTTTTATAAGGTGTTTTTAAAGGTTTTACAAGTTATTTTAAAGGATTTTTAAGGTTTTTCAAAGGTTTTACAAGATATTTTAAAGGTTTTTAAAGGTATTTAAAATGCATTTATAAGCTATTTATAAAGTATTTATAAGATTTTAGATACATAGAAATGTAGTTTGTGTATGTTTTAATAATATTACATACATATTTAGGTAAATCTTATATTTTTAAGAGCATTTTTTATAAGGTTTTAAAAAAGGGGTATTTTTGAAAAGTGGCATTGAAAAAGTGGCATTATTAACAATTTCCCAATTATTTATTAGTCATAGGAATAATTAATTAATTAATTATTTACTGTTTTTGCAAGGGATGATGTGAGAAAAAGTGAACGGGAAAGAGGTGTTGACAAGGGAATAAATAATAAAAAGAATGACTAAATCAAGTTTTCGTTTTAATCAAATCAGAAGTTTTAGCTGTCTTTTTAGATATAGTTAATTGAGTTTGCTCCATTAACGAACTGCTAAACTACCTATTCAAAAACTCTGGATGATAAGTTGGTAACCTCTATTATGTTATTGGAAGGTGGACTATCTCTAATTTTCTTTAAAAAGTTTATTCATTATGCATTATTTATTTACTATAATACTATAACATTTAAAAGTATTTATACTACATAAATATTTTGGGACAAATTGTGATTTTCAAATTCCATTTGTAAATTTGATCTCGTGATTGCATTGCAAAACTATGATTAAATCTCGATTTAATTATTTAGCCATAAATCGTAGGAAATTTTTACTGTAAAAAGAAGACAAGTGAATATCTAACAAATAGAGAAACAACTACGCATATATCTCTATCACACAGACCTATCATGATTCATGAAGTATTATCGTACACAGATTCATGTATCCAAATACGAATGGCTGTAGTTTTTGTTGGATGTTTGTATTTTAGTTTATGATAAAACAATTTAAAATATCCAACAAATTTTCTTTTAAATAGTTTTAAATTTTCTATAAAATGGCCAACAGTAAGGTAAAAACTTTATTTTAAATAATATAATCAAAAAATTGTCATCCAACACCTTAAAACACCGTATAATTAAAGAACACCATATTTTTATGTCTCACCTCACATGATAACTTCTCGTTAAATGTTTTTATTTTATTGGCTGTGGACTTGAATATGGTGTTCAACTTGCACAAAACAAAAGAGACATTTATTTAATACTATTGAACAAATTTATTTAATACTACTATTGGACAAATTTATTGCCTATTAAAGATCCACTAGTGGATTAAGATTTTAACGACCCGATTAATTGAACTATTGAAGTAGATCCAACCCCATTAGTCAGATTATTGCTACTGTATTAATCATTATCAGTTTGTCACTAGGAGTAGTAGTAATATTGCGCTGGTCCCTAATCTCGCGAATTCCACTACTGCTTAGCCTAAACCCAAATAATCATTATTGGATCAATGATCAATGTAAATTTTGCAAATTGTTTTTATATAATGCACAAATGGTGGATCGAAGTAAAATGAAGATAATAATAAAAATCATCAAGTTGTGTAGGCAACTATTATGTCTATATATGTTTCCAAAGTACCATTTAATAAGGGGGGCTATAGATAGCTAATTGATCAATCACTACAAGACAACATAGGGTTTTGCATGTTGGGGTTGTACTACTTATTAGAAATTTATGTCACTATTAATTCATATCTATATGTATACACAACATAATGGTAATGAACAAAGGTTGAATAATGGATTAATGCGATTAGAGTGACTAAAATAATCTATTTAAAAACTGGTTTATATATACAGTTCAACTTTCGTTTTTATCTGGAAAGGCTCATGAATCAAATATGTACAGTTGATTGTGATGTGTAAAAAGAATTATTGCAAAAGGAGTGAGTGGGTATCGTATGACGTATGCTGGTACCAACAATAATTGAACAACCCTCAAACATTTTTTTCACACAAATGAATTTTGTGCGATCTAAAGGGGAAATAAACAAGGAAATAATGGGGAAGCTTCATATATCATATCTACAATGAGAAAGTTCTCATTGGAAATAGAATAAATATTTGTTCAGGGAACAGGAAATTTTTTTTGAGAAAAGACTTTAAAAGGAAATTCAATGGAAATTGCAAAACAAAAAGCATTACTTGTTTTTTTTTTGATAATGATTACTTGCTAATTGTTATGCTTCTTCCATATATCTCTCTCTCTCCCCTTCAAGACCAGTCGCAATCTCCAAAAAGTCGATTTATCTCCCAAATCGTAAAACTGAATTTTATTACATTTAACAGTCTTCTAAGTTCTAACTGTTTTTGCAGTGGAAAAATTATTTTAACTAACGCATGTTTTTTTTGGTGGAAAACATGACCTGAAGAAATTTCTAACTACTTGTGAATTTCGTCAAATTCATATCAAGCAGTAATGAGAATTATTGTAATTAGCAAAAGACGTCGAAGAAACTCTTAAAAAATTCATGTAAATCTTCAAGGTACACTAAGATTTGTACGGAAACGAGAAAAAAAAACACAATGGGGCTTTGATTTGGTTTTGCTTGGTTTGTTTTAAAGTTTAAACCCTTCAAATGAGTAGTTTGTTGACCTCTTTTTGCAGCCCGTGAAGAATCATGGGACCAAACCATGTCGGGGTCGTCTAACTAAAGAATTATGTAACTATTTACATTTGTTGTGTGTTATCATATGATATCGTTTAATTTGGATTATGTGATATGATCAGTGTTCAAGAAAGCGCTAGGCGCTAAGCGGGCGGTGACCTAGTGCCTAGCGCCTAGAACGCCTAATCGGGGCCTAGGCGATTTTTTAGGCGGTTTAGACGTTTATAACATAATACATTATAAATATGATATTATATATAAAAGTTATATAAAATATCAATATAAAACTAAAAATTATAAAATTATAAACAAAAACTAGATAAAATATTTATTTATATTTATATTAAACAATATATGAATATTTATAACTATATATATAAATAAAACTCTAATTGAAATTGAAAAAATACATTAAACAAGATCTATGTAATTTTAGGCGGTCAAGGCGGTTATCTAGGCGTCGAATGAGAGCCTAGCGCCTAGTCGGGGCCTAGGCGACCGCCTACACCGCTTTTTAGAACACTGGATATGATTAGTCACGTTTTTCTTTTTTGCCTAATGTTTTTTTTCAAATGTTTTTTTTCCATCACATTGCACAAAAAAACGGCACGTTGTTTAAGTGTTTTATATGTAGAATGGTTTATGTGAAAATTGTTGAAAAACGGCACGTTGTTAAAGTGTGTTATGTAGAATGGCGTGAAGTGTGAAAAGCTATGTCTTCTCTTGTCTCTGAAATTGATTCGGAGGGATCGAAAGCAGAAATGGCAGGAGAAGCAACGATATAATTGAAACATAACACCAACAAGATCAGATTCTTAAGTTAGGATTGGTCGGAGCATCTCCGAGGTCGTTTTTAGAGGTAAAAAAAAAGGAACCTTTATTGAGTTTTCCTTTCACTCTATTATTCAATTTCTTTACTTTACAGCGTTTTCTTTGGACTTTTTGTTTGCTTCTTTCAGTATATTTGATTAGTTCCAGTGTAAATTACTGGTGAAAGATTGAAAGTTTGCATTTTTATCTCAGAGTAAGCTCTTGAAAGTTTCTTGTCGATTGTGTTGTTTCTCGTCTCTTTGAAGATAATGGATGCAAAAGGAAAGATATCATTAGCATTGGTTCCAGATACATTTTAAGAATATTATGTGGATCAAACGTGGTATAATTCAAGTTTTCATAAACAAAATTTACTTGATTCTTCTCTCAAAAGAGTAACATTGGGCTTAGTGATGTCTCACTTGGAGTTGTGTATATCATTTTGAGAAGCTTTTATATTCTTACAAGCTGGAGTTTCTATCTGTAGTTGTTGTGATTGCTCTGAACCGAAAAAACCATTTTCATTGATCTTTGTTACTTCGATGGCCGATCGTTTCAACCACCCAATGGAGCAAATCGTTTGTGTTTGCCTTGTTTTGTGGCTGCATGTATGATTTCCCTGGATGGAATTGGATGTAATGTTTTATGTTTTGCAACTCATGGTTAATCTTTTTGTTGAGCAAACCGGTTCTGTAGATTCAATTCCTCTTTATCTAATGAGCCTTGAATCAGCACAACTTCTGTAAAAAAAACAGATTTGTCTACTCAAAGAATTGATTTATCATCTGTAATCCAATCACTCGAAAACAAAATTGAAACAATGTACACACTGTTTTGTATTGCAGGTAAAGTCTTGAAGTATGGGGGAAAGACTGAGCAAGCTTGGAAGAATGCTTATCTGTTTTCTTGCCATCAAGTTTTCTTGCTGAAGAACAATACATCAGAGAGAGATCCAGATGAGTTGATGGGAGAACGAAGTGGTGAAACTATGTGAGAATGCATTGGTGAAGCTATTGGAGAACGTATTTGTGAAGCCATAAGGTAATGCAGTGGAGATCCAATGGGAGTATGAATTGGTGATGTGAGAGGCGATCGTAGAGGTGAATTCTGCGTTTGATATAATGCATGACGCAAACCCACGATTTCGGAAGGCTCCGTTGTGCTGTAGATATGAGCATGTGGTTCAGAGGTTAGACCTGACTTCTCATTCTGTTTCTGCAAATGTTCTATGTGGTCTCCCAATATCTCCTCTTCAGTGTCACTATCTAGTTCTGCCATTTTAATTGGAGATTCTTGGCCCTCTGAAGATACCCTTGAACCAAATGCTGGTATATCTTTTTCAGCCTCGCCTTGTTTAAAGGTCTGCCTTTGATTTTCTTGCTTATCCTGAGACATTTTTAAATGAAACGTCATCCTTTCTTGCTCAAGTGTGTCATCAAGACTGAGCCTGAATATATCATCCCTTGGTTCAAGTGTCTCGTCCAATTCCATTTTTTCATTTTCGCACTTCTCCAAGTGCAGCAATGATCCATCTTCTGCCATTACGCCTACTTTTAGCACTTTTGTTTCATAATCATCCACCAGCCAAGGCCCATCCTCGTGAAGCACAGCTCTCTCTTTTGAACTTCCACGATCATTGAAGGAACCCCTTGAACTAGATTCTGATCTTCCATCAACATCCTCATCTGGTGCAAGCTTGGTCCCTACCTCATACCCATGGCGACGAAACGTTAAAGTTCTCCCTGAAGTCCATTCAAATGTCTCATCCAGTTTCATTGATTCATCTTTGCATTGCTCCAAGTGCAGTGATACCGTATCTTTTGCCATTTGGCCTACTTGTAGCGCCTCGGTTCTGCCGTCAATCACCAGCTGGGGCTCCTCCTCATTGAACAACTCTCTTTCTTTTGAAATTCCATGATCATTGAAGGAACCCCTTGAGCTGTAATCTGATCTTTCATCAACATCGTTGTCTGATTCAAGCATTTCCCCTAGTTCATACTCATGCAGACGAAATGTTGGAGCTCTTTCTGAAGTCCATTCAAGTGTCTCTTCCAATTTCATTAATTCATTTTCGCATTTCGTCAGGGGCAGCGAAGGTCCATCTTCCACCATTACACCAACTTTTAGTGCTTCCGTTTTGTTCTCATCCACTACCTCCTCATGAGACGCAACTATCTCTTTTAAACTTTCATGGTCATTAAAGGAATCCCGTGAACTGGGTATTGATCTTCCATTAGCATCCTCTTCTGGTTCAGGCACTGTCCATTGTTCATATTCATGCAGATGAAATGTTGGAGCTCTTTCGGAAGTCCATTCAAATGGATTGCTTTTATATTCCTCTAACTTCAACCCCACTTCATCTCCCATTGTCTCTGCCCATGGATTTTCACTTTCACATCTGCTTCCTTCCAGATAAACCGGTTCTATAGTTCCGTAGGAATTTTCCATATCTTCATTTTGAGACTCCATTTGATGAGATACCGAGCTCTCTTCATCCTTTTCGCTTATGAAAGTTTCACCCGCCTTCTCAACAGGAACAACAGATCCATCTCCAACCATCTTGCTTGGCTCAAGTGTTTCATTGGTCTCATATCTATACTCCTGTAATTCAGACCTTACTATGTCAAAAACAGTGTCACTCAACTCTTGTCTTTTGCTTGAGCTCTCATACTCATAGTGGGACTGTTCGGGTATAGCATCTTGAGACTCATGAAAAATGACCCTCTCTTCTGAACTTACATCGTCATTGAAGGAACCCCGTGAACTGGATTCTGATCTTCCATCAGCATCCTCGTCTGGTTCAAGTATCTTCCCTAGCTCATAATCATGCATGCCAAATGTTGGAGTTGTTTCTGAAGTCCATTCAAATGGTCTGCTGTAATTCTCAAAGTTGCTTTCATATTCCTCCAAATGTAACGCCGCTCTATCTTCTGTTGTCCCTTCCCACGTATTTTCACCCGCTAACCCGCTTTCTTCTAGATAAATTGGTTCTAGTGTTCCATAGGAATTTTCTACTTTCTCGTTTGGAGAATCCATTTGATGAGATACTAGTGTCTCGCCACCTGTCTCGCCTTCTATGATTGTTTCGAATGCCTCACTTGCCTTCGCGAAAGAAACAACAGATCCATCTTCGCCCACCTTGCTCGGCTCAATAGTTTCATTTGTCTCGTATCTAGACTCCTCTAACTCATACCGTACTCTGTCACTAATGGTCATTTCCAATTCTTGTCTTTTGCTGAAACTCTCAAACTCATACTTCGACTGCTCCTGGATACTAGATATTGTTACTGTAGCTTCACCTGATTGGTCAGGATGTCTTATAAACTTCTGGTTCTCATTCACCAAAGAGTTATCATCTGAAATTGTGTTTGAAACGTGCTCTGTATCTTCCTTGACTGATGTATCCTCAAATGGTTCACCATAGCTTAAGCTGCTGTCACAGATAGAATCTTGAATGTACCTATATTTCTCCAAATGCAACTTCGGTTTGTCTCCGATCTCTTCCAATGTACTTTCATCTCCATATTCTTCATTTTCTTGAGTCTCCTCCCACTTAGACTCGTTAGCGTCTCCGGTATTCTCAGACTGTACACGTGTTTCACTGACGTATTCGTTCTCGTATAGAAGTTTCACACTATGAGATACCGATCTCTCTGCAACTCTCTCATCTTCTTCACTTGATTCACTCATCCTTTCGTTCTGGTATACTGGAACTTCCAAGGACTCACCTGATCCTTCTCCAACAATTTCTTCTGGCTTGATAATTTCGTTCTTCTCATATTCAAGCTCTTCTAAATCGCACCAGGCTCTTTCACAATTGTTATTATCCATCTCGGTTGACTTTTCTGAATGAGCTTCCTGAGATTGCTCTAGATGAATCCTGGAAGTCTCTCCAATAGTCTCACTTGATGCAGGTTGTTGCTCCCTTAATCTGGGGTTCACCACAGGTTTTAGATGAGGCTGCAATGCCTCCAATTTCAAATCTAATAGTTTGCTAGATATATTCCTCATGTCTTCTTCAATCCCCTTATCCTCAAATGTTTCTAGACTTTGACTCAAAATAACAGCATCATTGCTTTTGCAGATTGTATCTCCAAAATCTTCGTCTAAACACGGCAGATGATTTCCATCAGGATAAATCTCTTCATGACCTTCTGATGCTGAATCCTGATGATTAGTAACATTTTCATCTGCAAAATCCATGCCATAATCCACAAAGCTAGGTGAATCCAGGACAGTATCTGCTTTCTCTCGAATAGAGAACTTAAGTACACCGGAACAACTGCCACATCTCACTTGATATCTTTTACGTTTTCCTTGGGGAGACACCTGAGGAAGATGTAGAAGTTCCAAGCAATAGGAACAAGTTGCAAAAGGTGCACCGCCTGCTGAAGGAAGAATATGGCGCTTCACCACCGGATTCCTTTCCCTGACATACCGTTTTTTGTTACTTAGAGAGTTCTTTTCACTACTTGTGCCACTCTTAGAAATCCCTACGGAATGCTCCGAGTATGTAGAGCGGTGTGGCGCTGCAGCTGCGACATAATTACGCTCAGAGTACACAGAGTGATGCGGGGTTACAGAGCTACTGGGTTCATAAATATTATGATACTGAAGATCATGCAGCTGAGACTGAGAAGACCTGTGATAGTACTTTCCATCAGATGTCTCACCCTGAAAACGACTAGGTGAAGCAACAGAAGATTCTTGAAACCAGCCTTCTCTTCCGAATTGGTTTGGTTGATGATGATAATAAGACTGCTCTGATGCAGAAACGTGAGACCCGTGAAAAGGACTACTGTAGCCATATTCATATGCAGAAGAAGGGGAAGGACTTGCTGGATAGAAAGGAACCTGAGGTAGATCTTCATATCTCCCCTCATGTCGTGCCCATTGCGAGGCATTGCTGCGTGTGTTATATGGAGAGCTTCTTGCTGAAGCAAACGTATCAGAATCACCGGTCTCACTGAAGTCATCAGTCCTTCTCATCCATTCTCTGCGGATATCGGATGTCTCATGCTTGTAAACAGTTTCTGGATGATAACCCCTTTCAACAGAAGGCGATGCCCTTGAATTGTATTCCCGGTGAGTACTTCTCATTGGAGTTCTACTACTATCTTCTGGAGATTCTACCTCAGCACTTAAACTGCGGTTTTGAGAAGAAAGGAGAGCCTCAGGAATAGTGTTTGTGTGATCATTGCCTTCCAGTTCCCAACGTTTTGCTGCATTCAAAGAAAAAACACAAGAAAAAGAAAACACTTATGCACGAGGTTGACTACTTGTAAACATGAGTAGAGACTTAAGAAGGGTATCGTACCATGAAGAATAGAGTCGCATCCACCACATTTGTAAGAAGTCGCATCTAAAGGTTCCTGGAGAAGTTTGTGGCACTTGGGACATCTCACGATCCTAGACTGAGAAGATAATCCAGGCACGGTTCTACTCCTCATACCTCTGAACATATGCTTCAAGTCTTTACCACTTGCCAACTACAAAAAACAAGCACATCAGCTCAACTCCAGAATTCGAGAACCAGTTATAGGAAGAATCAAAGATCAAAGAGGGAGACTAAGAAGATAAACAGAGGAGAGAGAAGTCACCTTAGAACGGATAAGGGAGAGTAGCCTAGGTGAAGGTGAAGAATCTGAGGATGGTTCAAGAGTTTTCTTGGTAGAAGAAGATAGGGATCTGCTCTGTTTCTTCTTCTTCATCATGATTTGGTGATTGACTTATCTTTGATAAATGATCTTGTTTTCTTTCTGGGTAGTATAGTATAAAACTTTGTTGATGGTCTTTCAAGCAAGCAAGTAGGAGGAGGAGGAGATATTATTATATGAATCAGATCAAGCACAAATAACAAATATATAAATATATGCTTTATAAAAACCAAAACGAATAATGGTCAAGGAGATGATGGTTTTAACAGACTTGTATATATTAGTTTACTAGTTTATTTATTATTATTTTGCTTCTTTCATTTTTTTTTTTTTTTCAGGAAGATTAAGATCTGAGAGTTGCATTGATTAGTCACCATTGGATGTGAAAGTTGAGGTCCAGTTCTTCAAGTCTTTAACGATTTGGATTTTGAAAAGTCAACTTTGGAGATCGCCAAGAAATTATTTCTAGATCAAATTGTTTTTTTTTTTTTTTTTTTGTATTTTTAAATTGTTTGTATATTTTTTATTCAAAGAAAGAACGAATCACTCAGCATCATGTTTTAATCATAATTTTTAAAATAAGAAAGAAATCAACGTGCATCTTACTAATTTGCCAACATAAAGCAAATGGTTATTGACCAAAACCTTTTCGAGTTTGAAAAATACGTTAACTTTTCTTCTGTACCGCGTTTGACAGGTTTTCAAATAGAAGAACACAATAATATAGAAAATAACATTCAAGTGTAAAAGAATTAATTAGACAAATATGCACAAGAAGCAATTCGTTTACTGTTGAAAATATCAGAACCATTTTTGATAACAATGCATCTGCACAAAAGAGCTCTAAAGAAGAATGGCTGCTAATAAACCTTCGATCACCAAACTCTTCTTCATCTTCATGTTTTGTGTTTTTTGTCAGCCAAAGACAAGATTTGTCTAAGAAGAAAACGTTAAAGAAAGTTATCAGAATTACCAAATCAGATTCTGTAAGTATAAAAAACAAATCCCAAACAAGTAACAAAAAAGAACTCATGATACTTACTTCAACCGCAAGTAACTTCTGCTTTTGACAGACATTGGAAAACCTAACTCTGTTCTGTTGTGTGTTTAGAGTTTATGGTTTTTTGAGAAAGAGATCAGCAGCTGCAGCTGTCTTCTTCTGAAGCTCTGAGGTTTCAGCACCAACAAGTTTATCCATTTGTCTCCCATCTTTAAGGAACACTACAGTTGGTGTAGCTTCCACATTCCATTCATTACTAAATTCCTGTGTTTTGTTCACCAATTCAATCTCAAATCCTAAAACTGCATCTTATCTATCTTCTCAAAAGCACAAGTTTTCAGTTTACTTACAGCGAGCTCTTCGACATCAACTGTTACAAATATCATTGAAGGGTATCTAGAAGCAAGCTCCCTGAATACTGGTTCTATCTTTTTACAAGGTACACACCACGGCGCGCTGAAATTCACCACGAGCTGTTTGATTGAATGGTCAGTTAAGCTAGTTACTTGTATGGAAAAGTGGAAGAATCTTAGAAAAGCTGAAATTTGTTAAAGAAGAAAGCTTACAATCTTGCCATTGTTGTTAGCTTCTGTGATCTTTTCTTCCCATTTCTCGATTCTGCTTACCGGGTGGACCTTTCCTTTGGACCCGTGTTGGCTTCGGGTTTGAGCCTTGTTGTTGTTGTTGCTGCAGCAGCATATACATGACCATAACTGTAAACACATATATGGACACAGATTCTTCATCTTCCCTCTGAAGCTATGGCTAATGAAACATTGAATTGATGTTGTAGAAGTTTTATTTATTACCTTTCTACAACAAGAAGTTCTTGCACAACGATTTCCCATCAACTCTTTACACAATCAAATCCAGATTTGCCTCTCATTGGCTCAAGATTAACTCCTGAATCAAAAATTCATCAAACCAAACGAAAATCAAAACCTTATCTTTCTAATGTTACAAAAATCATGAAAAAGAGAGGAAATTCAAATGAGCCATCTCATAAAAGAGGTAAATTCAATAGAATCTAGGTATGAAAAAGAAGGGAATTGGGAGAGGATTATTAACCTTTAAATCCTTACAACTTCAGATGATTTGTGCTTTTGCATTCAGAACAGTTTCGCCCTAAAGGCAACAGATTCGAAGATCACAATTTTCTGTGGAAGAAGATTCAGAAAGAAACCAAGAAACCAGATAAGGAGGGAATCACAAGAACATTCGTTAAAAGCAATGAGGACGTATTTTTGGTTGGAAAACTATATCTTCTTCACGATGCAGGTGGTTTTGATCAACCATAATAACTGATTGCTAATTTTGTAATATAGAAATTGGTCAAAGACAACATAGATATGAAAGTCTCATACAGCCTTGACTCTTTGGATTCTGTATTGGTTTTCTTTCCATTATGCTTAAACCGGTACTAACCGCAAAGACAAAACCTTTATCCTCCCTCAAGCCAAAACCGGTTTAGATATGACAAAGGCCTCCTTCTCTGAAGAATCACAAACCAGAAACAGTAACATACTCTAGAATTTATTCTGCAAAAGTTTGAAAGTAAGGGTTTTTGAACAGATTCACGGTGATGTTCTATATCCACTGAAGATGTTTAGTTTGTGTGCAAGTACGATAGCACCGACTAAGAACTCTCTTTTTCGAGCTTCTCAATTTCTTCACGCTGTTTTCTTTCGGCTTCTTGACGTTCAATTTCTTCACGTTCCTTCCTTTCGGCTTCTTGAAGTTCAATTTCTTCACGTTCCTTCCTTTCGGCCTCTTGAAGTTCTCTTTCGGCGTCTTCTTCCTCTTCAATTCTGTCAAGATTATCAAACTCTTTGGTTGCTGCCATTGCTTTTACCACAGGATCTCTTAACTCAGAGATCAAACCACCACCGACTCTGTACTCTTCTTCATCACCAATAAGGAATAAGCGTTGATCAGGACCAGACGCCATTGGAATATCCACTGCCAGTAGTTTCATATCATACTGAGCAAAAACAGACATGAACATCAGAAATACACAAATCTCACATACATCGTGATAGAGAAATGGGAACACTGATAGGTTCAAACAGCGATATCTCTCACAGGAACATAGAACAGAAACAGAGCCAAAGAAGCAAATGAAGAACAAAATAACTAACCAAAGCAAAGAATCGAAGATAGAACCTAGGTTTTGTTATAGAGAACCCCAAACCTCACCAAAATACTCAACACTTTAAACATCATAAGCCTTTTCTATTTATACTCAATGACAAACAAGCTGAAGTGGCATTGTTAATGAACTCTTATCAGGCACCTAAATGTTTACAAGCCTAATTTTAAGGATACCAAAACTTTCTAAAACAGATTACTAACAATCATAATGTAATAATGTGATCAATCTATGAAGAATGTTCTTTTATCAAGAGGGAAAGTAGAGAAAGCAAAAACCTGGCCTTTCTTCTTCTTGACTTCGACACTAACAAGGCCCTTTCTCTCGGAACCTTGAACCGGGAATAAGAGGAAGCAACGCTTGTTCCTAATTGTTGGCTTGAATTTTTTGAATGTTATGCCACCACCTGACATCACATAAGCACGCAAATCTGATCCTGCCAGAGGAGCACCCATAACTTCAAGAACATCAGCTGCTGTATTGAGCTTCCTCATAGTGATCCTATAGACTTTATCGGGATTTATCGTGAACCTTGCGCGAAGGTATAAACCCTAGTAATAGAAAAATACACAGAATATTGCTGTGAGCAGTGATAACTCTATAACATAAGAGAAGGAGAAATGCTATGACAACAAACCAAAGTTAACAACAGTATTTGCAATTCTTGATAGAAAGTTGAAGACTATAAAGATTAACAACACAATACAGTTTTCCACGGAAAAGATTGACACTGAAACTATGCCATAGCTCTGAGTTCAGAGACCCACCACTGAATAAATCTTAAGTTGTATCTCAAAGTTTGAGTTAATGTCAAAGTTATCAGAGGTAAGTATAGAGAGAGCCTAAAACTTACAGCAAATGCAACAATTGCAGAGGAGAGAGCAAGGAAGCCGTACTTGGCCATTCCCTCAGAGAGACCAACGAATGTGCTAGCAATTCCAAACATGATCCTCCACAAGAAAATACATACAAAAACAGCTCCTGCTCCAAACACCAAAAGGTTATTCTTCTTCCAAAACGCATCAATGTGCAACCCTAAAGCCATTCGGTATCTAGCAAAAGTCGAACTAACAGCTTGGATTGGCTTGTCAACAACCTTTCTAGCAAAATTCCCGTCAACTTTTCGAAATCCAGAGCTCGAAAACAATCTAAAAGCCGATGCAAAGTTCATATTAACACGGGGCTTAACCAAGGCTACACCACAATTCTGCAAACTAGGTACGAGCTTAGGACTGGGTAGAATCTGGGATAATCCCACATTTTTCGAAGTGGGTCTCGACGAAAAGCTGTGGAAACTGGTCTTCGGCTTAAGCTGAGAAACCCCATTAGAGGGAAGAACCTGGGACAAGCCAAAGTTTTTCGAAGTGGGTCTCGACGAAAAGGTGTGAAAACCGGACTTAGGCAGAAGCTGAGAAACCCCATTTGAAGGAAGAGCCGGAGAAGACAAAGCGGAGAGTTTTGACCGGCCCGTCGTTGTGACCAAGTTGACTCGACTGTAATGCAATTGAATAAGTTTGTGCACTGCTTTGAAATCGGAGGGTTTCACCATCTTTTTAGGGTTTTAGATCGAATTGTAGATAAGGATGTCACAAAAAACAAAAAAAATTATAATCCTCCTTTTGATTGAGGAAAAGAAGAAACTTAGAGCGAGAAGAGTTCACTTTATGGATCAACGAGTCAGAGTTTTTGCTTCGACGCCATGATTATTACTTTCGGTTTCAGTCACCGGAGCTGATTAACCAAATTGGAGGAATACGGGCCGGGTCGGGTCGGGTCGTAACGGAAAGAGGCCCATTAAGATAATAATAACTATACTTTATTTTGCTTTTTTTTTTTTTTTTTTTTTTTTTGTCATCCGAAATTAATTAGAACTCAAAAGAGCCATTCCTGTGGAATGTTGTTTACAAATGTGATATGAAGCGGTTCTGTACGAATTTTTCGTGCCAGATGATCCGCTTTTACATTAGCATTGCGAGAAATTAAAGATAAAGAGAATGATGAGAATTCTTCCTTGTCGCTCTGAAATTCCTCCAAGTACACTGAAAACGCCGGCCATTCGGTTGGAGAAGACACCATCTTAACCAGATCAGAACAGTCTGTAAGGAACTCTACCTCTTGATTATCAGCACCTATCATACACTTCATCGCCCAGAGAAGGGCCTCGAACTCGGTATGTAATGGAGATAAACTTCGACGGAGATTTGCAGCTCCCATGGTTGGCGGCTCTCCGTTTGATGATGTACAGAACCATCCTGTACCGGAGAACTTATCACTTTCTTTCCACGATCCATCCACAAAGCAACGGTATCCTGAATAATTCGAGTCAAGTGAAGTATTCCCCACTCGAGGCCGATTTACCAATTCCACAGTACCATGCGTTTCATGATGAAGCTCAATTTGGGCAGACTGCCACAATTGTGCTTCTTTTTCCGCTAACCGTAATACCTCCAATGGATCTTTATCAATATTTTCAAATATTTTTTCATTCCTTGCTTTCCATATATACCAGATAATCCATGGAAAGACTGAAGAGTCAAAGTCCGTAGGTATTCTCCAAAATAAATGGTCCAAATTCGCAAAGATAGACTCCGTTGGAAAAATTCCCATTGCTGTAGGAATCTGAGAGAGTGCCCAAACCTGTCGTGCCGGGTGGCACTGAAAGAGTGTATGATTGATTGTTTCCACTGGTTCGCCACATCTGGCACAACCTGTATCACAATCGATTCCTCTTCTCCGTAAATTTTCCGTAACTGGTACACAACCCGTTAAAATTTGCCATAAGAAATGACGTATCTTAGGTGGACAATGCACTTTCCAAGAATGTGCTTTTAACGGTTTGATGTCTGGACCAATCAATGAGAAATTTGTCTCCAAATTTCCTAACCGTGCGGTATGATATCCCGACTTGACTGTATATTTTCCGGATTTTGTAAAATGCCAACCCAGTGTATCCTCCTTAGTTGGCGCACCCACCGGTAGGGCACTTATGATGGCGATATCTTCTGGATCAAAGATCTCCTCTAGGAGAGCAATATTCCAAAAATTCGACCGACTATCTATAAGATTGTTTACTTTTAACAATGGGTCAACAAGTGAACCATTACTCTTTGCTGGTCTCGGGAATTGAGCTGGAATCCAGGGATCCTCCCAAACTGAGATGGATGTCCCCGATCCGACCCTTTTAATAAGTCCTTTATTAACCAGAGATCTAGCTGAACAGATACTACGCCATCCATATGATGGGGAGTACGATTTAATATTTTCCAAGGGATTGGATTTCCGAAAATACCGCCCTTTAAACACCTTCGCAAAAAGGGAATCTGGAACCGTAATCAACCGCCATAATTGTTTAGCTAATAGGGCTGAATTAAAATCGTCTACATTCCGAAAGCCTAACCCTCCTTCCGATTTATTATTGCACAACTTGTTCCAAGCCATCCAATGCATACCTCGATTTATTTTGCTTGTATTTGAAAAAAGGTTAAATTATAAAAATGAACGACAGTTGAGTTGACTAACCCAAACAAACGAATAAAAAAAGAAAAAAATCTGAAATTTTCGACGAACGAAGATAAAATCATTACAAGTTAGTATTACAGAGACGAACCTTCTCATAGCCAAGTCATTGTTGATTTGAGAAGATTATAGCATCAGGATCGAGATTGTTCGTCGTCCATTGAAGCAGCATTTTCCTTCTTCAAAGATCGCGTTTTATTCTTCTCGCTGTTTTCGTTTTCTGAATCGGTGAGGATTTTGTTCAATCTCGTTGTGTTTTTTTTTTGTTCGAATTAAGGAATTTTTTGCAGTTATTTTTGTTTGATCGGAATCTTAAATTGTGTCTCTGTCGTGTGTAAATTCGTACGCGATTGTTGGATTGTATGCGAAATTGGAATCGTGGTGTTGTTAGGATTTTGGAGTATGAAGTTGCTTAGGGGTTTGTTTATCGTAATGTATGATGAACAGATAGGGTTTTTAGGTTGATTAAGTTCGATCGTGGTAGAGTTTGATTTCTTATATGGCTGCCTTTTGGAGGTTGACGCAGTGATGATTGTCTTGACCTGTTATCGCCACTATATCTGAGAGAAGAGAGCTTGTTAATCTGTTAGCACTTTTCCGTTGGATTAGGTTAAGTTTCAATAAGGCATTGTATCAGTCTATGTTCGATTAGGATTCTGAATCGTTCAGTGTTGAATTGTCTCTGTTTTGAGTTTCGGATTGATTGGCATGAATCAAACTCTTAAAGTCTAGTCTTTCAGCTTCATTGTTTGGATCTTATGGACAGTGTGTTTTGTGAAGTGAGATCAATCTTAAAGTCTTCTTTCTTGGTTATTATTTGATTTCAGCTTGCAACAATTTCAACGCTTCACATATTAAGGAGAAATGGATCCTCGGAGAAACTTCCAACCAGGTCGCTATGACTCCCGGGATACCTTCACTCCAGGATCTTTTGGGCCTCCAGATTTTGGTGAAAGTGATGAAGCAGAGTTGGTTTCTGTTTCCTGGAATCAGGATTACAGCTGTTTTGCTGCTGGTACGAGCCATGGTTTTCATATATATAACTGTGAACCGTTCAAGGAAACTTTCAGGCGAGAGCTGAAGGATGGAGGGTTTAAAATTGTAGAGATGCTTTTCCGGAGTAATATCTTGGCGCTTGTTGGTGGTGGACCTAACTCTCAGTACCCTTCAAATAAAGTATTGATTTGGGATGATCATCAGAGCCGCTGCATCAGTGAGTTTACTTTTCGGTCGGAAATTCGTGCAGTGAAGTTAAGAAGAGATCGAATTGTAGTTGTTCTTGAGCACAAGATATATGTCTACAATTTTATGGATCTAAGACTTCTTCACCAGATTGAAAATCTGGCAAATCCAAGGGGACTATGTTGCCTCTCTCATCATATGAATACATCTGTCCTGGCCTGTCCAGGTATTCGTCGAGGAGAGGTCCGAGTTGAACATTTTGGGCTTAACATGGTTCAAATCATTAATGCTCATGATTCTAATCTCGCGTGCATGACCATGACATTGGATGGCTTGCTCCTTGCAACTGCCAGTACAAAGGGAACTCTGATTCGAATTTTCAACACTATGGACGGAACTCGTCTGCAAGAGGTCTGATTTGTGATAACTATGAAGTAGCTTTCATTTACTTAACACCATCATTGTACCCTATGCTATTTAAGTCACATTTTGATAAGGAATCTGTCAAGGCAATGGTTGAGCAAACACAGCTGTCACAATTTATTTAGAAAGACTTTGGTAGCTGTTAATAACACTAACGGAATCTTATGCAGAGCATATGCCAGTTTTGTATGTTCATTACTGATTAATTAGTCTGCTTAATTAAGTCAAATGCTGCTTTGTTACAGGTCCGAAGAGGCGTGGACAGAGCAGATATCTACAGCATTGCTCTATCACCAAACGTGCAGTGGCTTGCAGTATCAAGCGACAAGGGGACTGTTCACATTTTCTCTCTTAGAGTGAGGGTTATTGGGGAGGACGCATACTCCACTGAACATGAGACTTCTTCAAATTCCCTGCAGCCTCTTGTTTCTCCAGCCAGTGGTGCCAACCCCGGCTCGTCATTGTCTTTTCTGAGAGGTAAGGTAGAAATTAGGAGATATCTGAAAAAATGACTGTTACCATGAAGTACGTATGATATGCCTTGTTTCTCTTTAAGAGCTGCTTATGGAGTGAAAGGACAGAAAGGCTAAATTATATTGAGAGAGTGCATAAGTGAAACTTCCAAGAAATACCTTTCTTGGTTCATGAGAAAATCAGTGAACTTTATAGAAGCGTGTCGCTTAGAAGCCTTGTGAAATTTTATGTGTCACTGGGAAAGTTATTGTTTTTCCCATTTCATAGCTTTCCTCTAAACCAGCTAATCGAGGAGTAGATTTTATATATATAATTGTGCAGTTGGATAATCTAATGCTTCTGTCTGGTACCTAACATGTTGAGACATTGTTGCAGGAGTTCTACCAAAATATTTCAGCTCGGAATGGTCATTTTCTCAGTTCCATGTACCAGAAGTCACCCAATACTTTGCAGCATTTGGCGCTCAGAACACAATTGCGATTATTGGCATGGACGGAAGGTAACTAAGTCTTTCTAAATCTCTCTGAGTATATATTTACATCATCATCCACAAGTATATATGCTTCCGCCACACAAGTCAGAATATCAAAAACATAAAATAACCAACAACCACACATCTGATTTATCGGCCTTACAGTTTCTACAGGTGCAATTTCGATCCAGTGAACGGAGGAGAGATGACTCAGCTTGAACATTTCCATTTTCTGAAGCCAGATAGCCCGAGATAGTCAGAACACGTGCTTGGTTCGAGTCTTATGTACATAACCATTGGCTCTGTAAATAGATTTGGTGAAACCGCATACGATTTTATTCTTCCAAGCTTTACTTGATTGAAGGAAATGTATTCTTGATTGGAACAATGTATATATAAAAAGAATTTATATCTACACTACTTTTTAGAGAGATCAAACTGCAATTCGATTACTATTATTAAAATTCAAATCAAAATGTGGATTATAGGCCGAATATAATTGCAAGATGGCTTTCCAGATCAGAAATCGAAATAGGAATCTCTCCGGTGAGTTTGTTTAGAGATAAAATCCAAGTGTGTAAGAGAAGAAATGTTCCCTAGAGTTTCAGGTGCTGCTGCTGCTGCTGTCATTAGCCTTGAAAGACCGTAGTCTGAGATCTTCGCGTTAATGTTCTCATCCAAAAGTACATTATATTTATTGCTTGATGTTAAGTTTCCGTGGATGATATTTGCGTGTGTGTGAAGGTAGAAGAAGCCACGAGCCATTCCTCTTATTAAACTCATCCTTGTAGGCCAATTGATATGAACATTTGGTCCTCTTGCTGCAATTTCAAACATGAAAACAGAGTTACAAAATGTTTAGATGAAGGAGACAGGGGCTGCGAAGTGAAGCCTTAGGTTTTGATCAATTGTGGTGTTGATCATACTTAGAGAAGTAAGAGTTTGGTTTTGGGTGATAAACTCCGTTAGAAGATTGCAAGAATAAAATTCTGGAGACACTCTCTTACCTTGAACTCAACTGATATGTCAAATTATAAAAGATATCACATATTTGTATGTCTCAAGCCATAAATAGAATGGCGAAAATAAATTGCTTGACCATATATAGTTCTGACTGAAAAAACATGATTACAATTTACAAACACTTGTTGCGTTTTGGGGGTTATAAAAAAAATCTAGGGCTAGTTAACCAAATAAGACCGATCGGTATCTGTAAATCGAATGAGATAATTACCGACTTCAAACCGAACCGAGGTCGGTTCGGTATTAAACGAACAATAGACTTTTTTTTTTTTTTTTTTTTTTTTTCATCAAACGAACAATAGACTTAAAAGCAAAAAGGGGGAAAAAGGAAAGACTGGTCGTCTTCTTCTTCGTTCAAGACACTCGCGTTCTAAGAGAAGAGAAAATTAATGGCGGTTCAAAAAAAAAGCTTGTTCGTTGTCAATGGAGGAGGAGGAGGAAGAAAACGAGAGAAGAATTAGAGACATTTGGCAAGCGATTGCGATTGTGTTTACGAAGTTAGAGGATGTTAAGGATTTGGCTTCTGCGTCATTGGTGAGCAAAGAGTGGTACGACCGTACGAAGCTCATTGTACGATTAGGTCTGAGGCCACCGTCATTTTTGAAACACGGCGCTACTCCGGCGAAGTTGAGCGCGCGTTATCCTAATTTGAAGGTTCTTAAAATTAGAGAGAGAAAATGATCCTGATTCCGATTTGGTCGATAGAAGAGCTAAACCTTGGGTGAATGAGATTTCAATTGGAAAATTCTCAGTCCTGAAATCTATTGGATTCAAAAGAATCATTATAACAGATGTTCTATCTAGAGCCAGCCCCGGCCCAAAGAAAATGAAGACCTTTGGGCAAAAAATTTTTTTTTTGGGCCTTTTAGCATTATAATTTTATTATTATTATTAATTTTAAATATTTTTTTTGTATTTTTTATAATAAAAACGAATTATTTTCAAAATTTTGGGCTTTTTCATACTTTTTTTAATAAAAATCTGGGCCTTTTATATGTGATTTTGGGTTATATTAATTTTTTTTAATAAATATTGGGTTTTTTTGTGGAAGTATTTTTGAGTGACAAAAAAAGCCTTTGGCCGTCGCACCCCTGCCCATCCCCTGTGGGCCGGGCCTGTCTAGAGTTTTAGGAGAAAAGATTGAAGCTTTAGAACTCAAGTACTTCATGGGATTTACAACAGATGTGTTATTGAGTCCGAGCCACATATGCCATTATGTAAGAAAAATCAATCTGGCGTGCCACCTTATAATCCGAGTGCCACTATAAAGAAGTGATGTTTGTTCCTTGAATTGGTGAAGAACACAGTGATGCAAGTTTCTAATTTAATGGTTTTTGTTGCAGGAAAATTGTGTCATTTCAGGTATCAGAGTGCTTATTATCGGAAGAGAAGGATGGTGAGTGGCTCCATAAACTGGCCTCCCACAATAGTTGTGTAAGAATTTTGCAATTCCACGGGTCAAATCTCTCTAAGATCTCTGTTTAAGATTTAGAAATGATAGCCACCAAATGTCAGAAATCTCTTGTGTCGCTCAGAGCATGCACATAGTTGATACTCTATGAGTATCATTAACATTTTTTTAGTATTAATTTTAATGTTTGTTTATTATTTGAGATTTTTTATGATACTGATAATAAATCTGTTTTCATTGGTGAGACCGGTTTAAGTATCATAAAAAAAAAATTATTTGCAAAATCAAAAATAAATATATAAAAACATAAGATTACAAAATGTAATATTACAATCCAAAAAAACGTAGAATATACTTAAACAAAAAAAAACACTAAAAAACATGATGATAAAGATAAATAAATCGCTGCGACTGAATTTTTAAAATTTGTGCATTTGGTTATCAAATTTTTTAATCTTCATTATTATATAAATAAATTTAAAAATCCAAAACCAAATCTAAAATAAAACAAAGTTAAAGTTATAAATCAAGTTGTGAAAAATGAAAAAAAAAAAAAAAAAAATCAAGTTACAAAGCAAACCGAAACAAAGTTATATAATTTCTGTTTTCTGTTTCTATTGGTTGTGACGTATCCATCATATCAATTGAATTGGCTTCATCTTTTGCTGCAATCACTCTAGAATCAAACTTGCTTAATCCATCTTGGGCGATCCATCCTTCTTCTCTATTTGATGCCATCATCCTTCTCATTTCAGCTAAAAACCTCAACACAAAAGACATTAAATTGCCATGATAGAGAACCATGGAGGTTTTGAAACAGAGAATAATAATTCAAAACTGCTTGAAGAAAGGAGAGTTCCATCACAACACCAAAATTGCTTGAAGAAAATCAGACAGCTCACAGACCAAACCAAAAGCTTCTCTAACTAGAGAGAAACCAAATATATCACATGATTAAAGAATAACGTGCACACAATGCTCAAAGCCAGCTCATATCTATAACCATTCAAGTAATACTTTTGTATTGGTCGCAATAAATAACCATTCAAGTAATACTTTTGTATTGGTCGCAATAAATGCATTTGGAAGAGAAGTCATCACTGGCTTCATGGTCGGTATAGCGTCAGGGAACCTGCAGATACAAACAAGAGAATGTAACTATAAGAATGATGCATAATCTACAAGGGAAATTTGGTGTATGCAGATACAACTAGACTTAAGTAAAGATTCAAGTGTAGAAGATTTCTGATTTAGTCTTTGTGGAAGGATCCCAAGAATCAAATCCATTTGCTAGTTTAACTTTCCGCATACTCTAAAGGCAAAATCCAAGTGAACAGCCTAAACCATTCCAGTTTGCATCGAAATTAGGAATGCTCTGTTCACAGAGTGACCCGGAAAAGAGACCTAGTATGGAAGACGTAACAGAATATCTGGAGCATAAAAAGAGTAAACCAGACATATCCTAAAATTTTCGGCACCTTACCTTTTTTTTTGCTTTCTCATCCTCTGGTATTGAAGTGCTTACAGCACTGAGATGGGACCATGTTAAAATCGAATTTTCAAACCACAAATTTGACATTGTTTGGAATAATGTTGTTGTTCTCTACACATGAGCACATGGATTATAGCCTTTTCTCTACTTTGGGACGGATTGATTGATTGATAATAGGCTTGCTGTTGTATCTTTGATAGGTATGAGAAGGCAATCAAGATTTATGAAGACATGGCACGCCATTCACTCAACAATAAGTTGCTTAAGTATGGAGTTAAATGCCATCTTCTCACTGCTGGCATGTGCCACTTATGCAAAGCTGATGTTGTTTCCATCACTAATGCACTGGAGAAATATCAGGTTCTTCTTCTTCCACAGCAAACAGCCTTAACATCAGCATCCTGGCGTGGTCCTTTGAGTAACTATGACATGTGTTCTAACTTCTACTTTCTTGCAGGATCTGGATCCGACTTTTTCAGGAACACGGGAATGCAAGTTCTTAGCGGTAAAGTTTAAACTCTGGTTTTGTAAGAAATTGCGGAGTAGCTTACATAAAGTATGTTAAGTGTTGTACATTTATTCTCATGAACAGGACCTTGCTTCTGCTATCGATGAAGAAGACATTGCAAAGTTCACAGACGTTTCCAAGGAATTTGATAGCGTGACTCCACTGGTATGGGCAGTAAACCACATACAACTATTTGAATGTAAACTCTGTCTGGTTCTTGATCATGGAATTGGTATTAATGCAGGATGCATGGAAGACAACAATGTTGTTGAGGGTGAAAGAGAAGTTCACCTGGGAGAGGCTATAGGTATGAGAGATTTGAATAGTGATCAATCCTCGGGAAAGCCATGACAGTAACTCTTTGATGGAATCTTCAAGGACACTGGGCTGGTGGATCCTGTAGCCGCCCCAGTAAAGACCATGAACCGTCCAGTTCTGCACCAATTGGTTATTACAACTTATGAAGATTTGATTCTCTCAAGTGAAAAAAGCTTCTTCTTCTCTTTTACCTGACCAGATGTTAAACGAGCTCTATGAACAAGTGCTACCTATTACTCTTAACTTTTTTGGATGATTGCTTATGACTAATCTGAAAATTCAACGGCAACGAGACCAAGAGAACGATCAGATATCACCGTTGGATCAGTCGTCGTCGTCCTAATCTAACGGCCCAGGAGACTCTTCTCCGGTGAACCCATCTGCTTCTAATACGAGTGGTCAAGAACCGAATCTGTCACAGAGTATGAGTGCTCCTGCCTCCTGCAAAACCTGAGAACTCGAAACTTTCTGGTTGCAGCTCTGGTAGGGTCCAGCATGGACTTGAGCAGTCAATAGAAATAACCTTATTCAAAGTGAGCATGCCATAGACAGACAACTGTAAGCATGCCATAGACAAACAAAGTGCAAGATGGTTCAGCTTACATGGCCATTTCAATAACCTTATTTCTAGAATACAGAAGCAGTTTTCTCCTATGGCCACAGAGAGTCTAAAGTTTTGACGACATGGCAGTCTTGTGGTCGAGAGAAATCATCACTTTTCCAATTGCCTTCCTGTCTTTGAGATCCCCGAATGCAAGATCGGCCTGTAATCCAAACGGTAAGTCTTTAACTACATGTTTTGAGTTTTGATGTCATGAAGACGAAACGATGTTTTCACCTGGGAGAGGCTATAGGTATGAGAGATGTGAATAGTGATCAATCCTCGGGAAAGCCATGACAGTAACTCTTTGATGGAATCTTCAAGGACATTGGGCTGATGGATCCTGTAGCTACCCCAGTAAAGACCATGCACCGTCCAGTTCTGCACCAATTGGTTACTACAACTTATGAAAATTTGATTCTCTTCACTGAAAAAGCTTCTTCTTCTTCTCTATTACAAGACAACCCATTTACCTTAACAAGTGCTATATTAGCAGGAATCACAGGTATTTCGCCGCTGGCGAAACCTATCACCAGAATCTGAGCTCCCCATTTCAGAACTTTCATGGACTCCTTGGTTAGTTTCCCTCCCACAGGATCATACAAAACATCAACTCCTCTAAGCTTTCTTGTCTTGATAAACTCTTTGACACTTGAAATAACATTCTCAGTGCCTAGATCAACAACATGATCCACTCCCATTGACTTCAACAGCTGAATCTTCTCAGTTCCTCTACCAACAAGTAAGAGATTTTACCAAAAAAAAAAAAAAAAAAAAAAAAAAAAAAAAAACAAGTAAGAGATTCAAAAACCAGAACCGATAATCGAAGTCCATGGAACCCAAAAGTGAAATGAGTCTAAACCAGTATATACCTAGCAACTGCAATGACAATGGCTCCACAAACCTTGCCGATTTGAACAGCTGCAAGACCAACGCCACCAGCAGCACCTAAAACCAATAAGACCTGCATCAAAGCCAATGAAAAATTTCTCAAGTCTCAACCTTTACAAACTCAGATTCACATCAAGCCAAAAAAAAAACAGAATCAGAAAGATGAGATTTTTACTTGACTAGATGTTAAACGAGCTCTATGAACAAGTGCTACATGAGAAGTCCCAAACGCAACAGGAAGCGCAGCTGCAGCAACCATGTCACATCTTTCCGGTACAAGGAACAGACGAGATTGATCAGCGACGATAAACTGAGCGAAGGAACCGAGATCGGCGAAAGAACAGACACGATCACCGACGCGGAATTTGGTGACGGCGGGACCAATCGCGTCGACGATTCCGGAGTAATCGGAGCCAGGGATGAATGGCAACGGAGGTTTCTCCTGGTATTTCCCGAGAATCTGAAGGTAATTGGCGTAATTCAAGCTCGTAGCGATAACTCTAACTCTCACCGCCGTGTCTGAATTCAAAGACGGGATCGGATGAGTCTTGCTCACCTCCACCGGCGAATCTGGACTACCTGGCTTCGTCGCCGTCGGATCTCCCAATTTCCGGCAAACCAAAGCCTCCATTTTGGCTATATCTCTGATAACTCTCTCTGTTTCTCCTTCTCTCCTTCTCCTGAAGAGTGAAGAACCAAACTTGGGAATGGGACGTTATCGTTCAATAAGCATATGAGGTGAACTTGAGACGACGTCGTTTCACGTAATTATTAAATTAATAATTTTAAGACCGTATAAAACCGAACCGGCCATTTTATGACTAATCTGAAAATTCAACGGCGAAGAGACCAAGAGAACGATCAGATATCACCGTTGGATCAGTCGTCGTCGTCCTAATCTAACGGCCAGGAGACTTTTCTCCGGTATCTTGTGCTTTTTTCCCGTTACGACTTCGTCGACCCCAAAACCTAATCCACCATGTCTTCCAGAAGAAGGTCGAAGCTTGGATCGTGAGTTTTCATCCTTTCAATTTTCAAATTCGTTTTTTTTTTTCTTCTGAGATATGATTATATAAAGATTTGTAGAATTTGATAGCTTTAGAGGACTCTGCTTAGTGTCCTTTACCCTTAAATGTTGTAGCTTTGAGATTTTACTTTTACAGGTCGACGAAGAAGAGGAAGACGAGAAAGAATAAGCAGACTAGGAAGGAAAAAGAAAAGGACCAAACTTTCATAAATCTTCCCTCTGATCTCTTACAACTGGTTATTTCCCGTCTTTCATTGAAAGACAACATCCGTGCTTCTGCTGTCTGCAAAACATGGCACGAAGCTTGTGTTTCTCTTCGAGTGATACATACATCTCCTTGGCTTATCTACTTTTCCAAAACAGACGATTCCTATGAACTTTATGACCCATCAATGCAGAAAACATACAATCTTCACTTCCCTGAGTTATCCGGTTTTCGGGTTTGTTACTCCAAAGATGGTTGGTTACTCATGTACAATGCCAATTCCTATCAACTCCTTTTCTTCAATCCGTTTACCCGTGATCACATACCCGTGCCTCCGCTTTGGATGGCATATGATCAAAGAATGGCTTTCTCTTGTGCTCCTACATCAACTAGTTGTCTCTTGTTCACTGTCAGTTCTGTCACTTGGAATTACATCACCATCAAGAAATGTTGTGCTAATGCTAAAGAGTGGAAAACATTTGTGTTCAAGAATCGGTTACAGCGAAACTTCAACACTTTCGAGCAGATTGTCTTCTCCAATGGTGTCTTCTACTGCCTCACAAACACCGGATGCTTACGTCTCTTTTACCCATCTTTGAATTCTTGGAATGTTCTTCCTGGGCGACCTCCTAAACGTCCTGGAAGCAACGGATGCTTCATGACAGAACACCAAGGAGAAATCTTTCTCATTTATATGTACAGGCACATGAACCCAACATTGCTTAAACTTGACCTTACAAGCTTTGAATGGGCTGAGAGGAAAACACTGGGAGGCTTGACGATCTATGCAAGCGCTTTGTGTTCTGAATCCAGAGCCGAGCAGCAGAAGCAGAGTGGAATAAGGAACTGTTTGTGTCTCTCTGTGTTCCATGGTTTCAAGAGGACTTGCATATATTATAAGGTTGATGAAGAGAGTGAGATTTGCTTCAAGTGGAAAAAACAGAATCCGTATGAGAATATATGGATCATGCCACCACTCAACCTCATTGATCTCCCTGTGTTTGATCAACGTATCTAGTAATAGTTAGAGAATTCTTGTTCATAAATATTCAAACACATGTACAATCTATTTTGTATACAGATTACTGATAATAAAAGAGGGAAATTCTCAGAAGCAGGTAAAATGATGAAACAATGGTAACAGATACAAACCAGAAACCACTTTGGGTTTTGATCTCACACTCATAAGCTGATTAACAATGTTGAGTCAAAAAATAAAACAATCAAACATACAAACCAAACAAATGATCAAGCAAAAGAAGGAAAGAAAAAAGAAATCCGCTGCCTATAATAAAACTCTATGCAGCAACATTGTATGATCAGTAGAAAAACCAAACTTGCACCTTCCTTCTTTGAACCAGTGCGAAAAACACAAAAAAGTAGCCGCACACAAACACACAGAACAAGAAAATCCGGCGTCAGGGAAAAAAATATCAGGTGGTTCGTTAATGACATTGTCTTCTTCACTTAATCATCTGGACCAAGCAGTGTAACCTGCAGATTTAAGCAAGCGTGTTATGTAAACCCGCAGTCTTAAAACTGTATAAAGTGCAAGTCCATAGTGATTTGCAGAGTCTGAGAAAGGCAACATTTCGGTTAGTTTTTGCTTACATTGCAATCGAAAGCGTATTTTCGAGCCAGGGCTATGGCTGCGTTACGTTCTTGTTCTGACTCAAAGGTTAGTATGAAAGTTAGACTCTTTCTTGGTTGCCAGAACACCGCCTTGGTAGGAGCCTTAATATTGCCTCTAACACCACAGAGCTGAATAATTATCATACCAAATAACTTGTAAGAAATATTTTTCATTGAATGTTAAAGAGATGTTTATGTGAAAGAGAATGCAGAAATAGTCTCTAGATAACCTGCATGGATGTCGAATATAATTCTCTCGCCTTTGTGATCCATCCTCGAGACAGCTTTATCCTCGTCTTTCCAACGGTAAAGACGTGAGATCGGGATGCATAGTCTTGTCCATTCATCTGCGATATAACCACCTGAAGAAGAGTTTGAAATGTTCAGCTTATCAGAGCATGAACTCAATGCAAATATTTACAAGAAAACAAGAATAAATTCTGAAATTCTTCAAGAACGTTGTAACATACACTGAATTCACTGTTAGATTTTCGCATCAGCGACTCTACGCGGGAATGCAAGCCAGAATCTGCATTTCAGCAAGCCAAACATTCATTTATTGTCCACCTAAAAATATTTGTAGCATCTATAGTTTTCTTAATACCAACCAGGATCAACTGGATCATCTGTTGTAACTGTGAACTTTTGTCCATTTGAAAGAATGTCTGCCTGTAAGATCCTCCCAACATCAAATGGTTCTGGAGCATACATCGATTGGATGGCACCTAAGAGCAAGATATGAACTGCTCATGCAAAAATTCATTTACTAGTAACCAAATGATGAAGCAAACAGATATGACCATTTACCAGATATAGCTTCCCTTCTACTAGTTTCACATGCTGCACGATACCACTGAATCGAACAGTTGGAAAGATCTGGAGCATTGTCTGCAGCATTGACACGGATTCTTAAGCAAGAGCCAAGACTTTGATTGCCTTCAAGAACAAATGGACAAGACTTGGATTCCTCAGCTCTCTTGATTGTTGCTATCTTGAAATGTTTGATAATGGCGAGAACAAAGAAGTGAGCAAAGTCCAACTCTAGCAGCAAATATGTTGAAAACTGAGTGCTCACAAAAACATACCTCTTTATGAAGTTTAACAGAATTCATATACTTGTCTTGGATTCGATTTCTTAAACCATGAAGCTCGTGTTGCATGCCCATCACCTGAATTACAACAAATAGAGTAGTAACTTTTAATGTGGTGACTCACCAAATTATGAAGCAGCTAGAGTTAAAGTGCAATGAAATCAATGTAGCACCTTCGTTGGGTGATGCATCCTTTTGATTTGCCTAGCCTCTTGAACCTCCTCTACCAATTTTTCCACATCCTAAGAATTGAAAACATGAGTTCACTAGAAAACTTTACTGTTTCAATATCAGAAGATAATATAAAACTATGAATCTAGACTAGATGATAATACTAACCGGCCCCTGAGCTCTAGAAGCTTCAGAAATCCGTTCTTGTTCTTCAAACGCCTCTCCAAGTTTCAGCACAACGGCCCTTGCAGTTTCGATCTCAGCACAAGCGAATGACTTTTCCTGATTTACCAGTTTCTTTGCATCTTCTGAAGTCTGTCATCACAAGAGTAACATTAAACAGCTTCCTTTGTAGTTGTTACTCTTAGAAAAGTGACCAAGCTAAAACAGAACATTTTTGCATTAATATCAATCTATATTCAAGACCTGCTTGAGGAAGTTTCCTAGTTTCTTCACTTCAAACTTCTCTTGAATCAACTCACCTTCATTCTGAGTTAACTTCACAGCTAGAGCTTCAACCTGAATTCAGACATAACAATTCATACAAGACACATAAAAACGTTAGTTTCCAGACACAATATGTCTTTCTAAAGAGAAAATCTGATGAACGAAGTCTAAACCATGGAGATAGCTGTCTCCACATCTTCCTTGTTTTGCCCATCCGTGCGTCCTCTCATGTATTCTAAAGCATCCCTTAGCTTCTTCAACATAACATGTCCCTCCAAAGAAGCCACCTCTCTCAATTTAGCCTAAAAGAGAGTTACAAGAAACAGATTTAAACAAAAAGAGAAATGTTATATGAAACCAAAACAGAGAGTTCTGTAGAAGAAACTAACCTCATCAGCCAAACTAACAGCTGCAGCCAGATTCTTGTCAAATTTACTAGCGAGGTCACGGACCGAAAGCCGCTTGTGCTGATCAGACAACAGCTCGCTCTCTTTCTCGACAGTCTCTTTCACTGATGGACCTTTTTCATCTTCCTTAGGTTCCTCTACTATCTGATTATCAGGTCCTAATTTGTATGTTGGAAAATGATTAGAAGCAAAGCTCACATCTACTGATACTGGAACAACAACTGATAAAGATAATGTCCCTTCTTCTATTTCAGGACACACTTTCGTCATTTTTCCGGGATCTTTATCTGTTTTAACAACAATAAAGAAAGAGCAAATCAAGAATCATTATATGATTCAATTCAAGAACACTAGATTACTGAATACTAGAGAAAATGCACTCAAGATAAACCACATAAGTGAAACACGAATCAATCTTTGACGTTTTACAAAAAATGTCAAATCTTTTATTGATCTGAATTTGGAGGATAATTAGCTCTTATCTAGTTCATAGGAAAAGAATCAACACATATATAACAAGAAATGCTTTATATATACAATCGATTTCAGTAATTGATAAAGAATCAGAGCATCAATTAAAAAACTAGAACAAATATTTTTTATATAAAAAAAAATGTCTAACTCCTGTAACCAACCAAACATTGATGTCATGAAACAGGATACGACAAAACTCAGGAGAAATGCAAGTAGAATCAATCAACTCAAGAAAAAAAAAAGAAACACAAACTTACGAATATACACAAGAAGTCAAGAACCAGAAACAGAGAAGAATCTCAAGAGTGAAGAAGGAAGAAGGAGGAAGAAGAAGAATAAAGACAACTGGTTCTTTAGTCTCTCTCTCTAGTCTTCGTCGTCGTTTGGCATCTTTTTTCTTTTTTAGCTTTTACAAAAGCGTCAAAGACGACAGGATAAATGGGCAATGCAGAGAAGAGAAAAAGAGACACTTTTGTTCCTCTCTCTCCTCCTCTTCAACACTGCTTGTTCTGTTCTCTCTCTTTCTTTCACGCCATCATCGTTAAAAAACCAAAGAGTGCAAAAAAAAAGAAAGAAGAAAACGATTATTTTGTTGGACAGTGTCTTTTGTTTGTTGGGATGGAAAAAGCGACCACGCGCTGTTACATGGGGTTTGAACTACAAGCTCTGGCGCGAGTTGTCGTCGGGGCCCGACCCTTGGCTCCACTGGATATTTCTCTCACACTTTCCTTTTTTTGATAACCCAGTATCCAGACCACACAGTGATCTGACTAGCCCACTGGGCCTAAGCCCGCGTCACAGGGATTTTTAAGCCTCCACTTAAGGGCCCCCTGATAAACTGGTGGTCTGGGGCGCCTGAGCAAGTCCGCAGGTAAATTCCCAGGTGGCCACAGGAGTGAGAGAGCGAAACTGCGTCTGGGGAAGATCGATCCCTGGCCTAGACCAACAGGGCGATCCTTCCAACCAAACGAGAACCACTCGCCCACCACCACCATGTGGTTTCACACTTTCCTTTTCTCTTTTTCACATTATTGATTTTGTGTTTTCTAGTTAGCTTCTTTGGTGTGGATCTAATTATGATCCTTTTAACCACACCATTATTATTTCTTTTGAATCTTAAGCAAAGAATCTAAGAAACTTAACTTCCATATCCACTATCAATATATAAAGACTTAAAATCGGTTTTTATCTATATATAATGTAATATACATGTTATGACTCGGAAACTACAAATACTAATTTTTAAAAATGTATTAAAAAAATCAGATAGCAAATTCTAGGCAAACCGTGGATATATATGTCCAAACCTTTTACAACCTGTAATACTACATTTTTAGATCCATTACTAAAGTTAGGATATCTCAATTTGTTAACTAACCAATCAACATGCAAAAGCTTATCCAAAGTTACAAACATTATTGTAGTAGACATCTTGGAGACTGGTGAGAGATACTGTAACATTTGGCGTGTAGTCATGAGTACTACATTTGGTGGAATCTATGTTTTTAGTTGAAAGGTCAAACTCAATTAGTTTTCCCCTAAAGTAGCTATCCAACGCGTTAACATCACGACTTACATTAAGTATTTAACTAGTATAGTATAAGTTTCATTTTACGTGTAATTTATTAGTATATCTTATCATCGTTTAATTTATTATAATCATCATTGCTTCATCTCATTTTGTTTTACCGATTTAGTTGAATGGATGAACCAAATTCTGCTTATGAATTATGCTCATATGTTTTATTTTTTTGCGATAGGACTATTTATATAGGTCTATAATTATCGATTGTAAACTTAAACCATTTTCATTTTATATTTACATTCTTAACAAAACAAAAAAAAATCTAGGTCGGAGTTCATATATACATCTTTTTATCATGACCAGAACCCTTTTCATACAAGATTTGAAACTCGCTTTTTAATATTCGTCGAATCAATAACGGCAAGAAGTTTTTTAGTTAAAACTTCTACGCTAATGTATTTGTTAAAATTTATCTAGCTCTTTTGATATTACTGAACCAAACAATTAGTTAGGTTGCTATTTATCAATTTCGTGGTCCATGGTTGCTTAATTCGATAACTCATCACGCATTTGATCATGTTTGGACAAATAGACAGAACAATTGGACAAATTATCATTGAAGACCAGTAGAGTGGGGCTATCTAGAATCAATTAATATTTTAATGTTAAAAGGAATTTCCTTAATTAAATTCTTGTATTCTATTCTCACTAAAGTGTCAAAAAAGGCTAAGCAGAGCATGTGATATATCAGGTCACGTTCACATAAATAGATGGTTCAAACATCATAATCGCACTTTTACTTTCTGTTTGTGGTATAACAAGAGAGTACTATAATGAAAGATGCATTTGACAGGAAAAGAAGAGGAAAAAAAAGATGCATTTGACTTTAATTAGATACCAATCCATTTAGTTATATATAACTTAAGTTTGTAAGCTGTAAAGTGTTTCTTACTTAATTCCTAGATAATAACTCTTTTTTGTGCCTTAATGATGTGTTTGTGTCATCTATGAGACTATGACTATAATTAACTCTAAGCATTAAGCATATCCATGGGTCCATGTAGAATCCAATGATACCAAACCTACTCGCCATCACTTTTTTTCACTTCTTCTTCTTTTTTTTTTTCTTTCTTTCTTTTGTTATTGTCTAGGTAGACCACTTGGTTTTCTTTTCCTTTTTTGTATACTCTCTGTTTATCGTAAGAGAAGATCTGACAACTATTTAATTTGATAAAACAAGAACTGCATTTGTGTGTTTAAGTTGTTGGGGAGAATTTTTATTCTGTTCCATACTATAGGATCACTTAGTTTGTTGCGTAGACAATATTGATGATCTGGGTAATGTATTGGTGATGACTTAAATCCGTTATACGTGCATGTAATTTTATTTTTTTTTGATAATTATACGTGCATGTAATTGACTTCTTACCTTCATATGTGCTGTATAAACTTGGTGCAATTTCATAGATTTGTGTTCGTTTTGAACTAGCTAGAAATTTCAAGTTACTAGGTGTATATAGCCACAATTTTCAGGTCGATTCAATATTAAGTCATTTTGTGACTCGCCTTGTGATTTTCTGAACCGCATGTACATAAATTTTGGTATATTGATGGATCGGCCCAAGGTGCATGAACAATCTTAGATATACTTCATAGAAGTTCAGTTCTCATAAATATAATTGTTAGAAGGTTTCCAATGAAAACAATAAGCTAAAAAAAAAAAAAAATGGCTTCACTTATCTTTAGGTTTCAGCAAGACAGCAAGTATCTCTCTCCGGAATAGGTTTTATTGGAGTAGCTGGTCAGCAAAATATAGCATGAGCATTCTCTAATAATTTTGGTTAAGCAATAAAAAAGTGGGTTTGGTGGGCTTTGTGAGCAGTGGGCTAGTAAAGCCCATAAGAAGGAACGAGGTTCAGACAACAGAAAAGGAAGTGTATGACGTGGCAGGAAATAATTGGGTGGAAAAAAGAAATTAGCGGGTGAAGTTGTTGTACCGTCGACGGATTTAGGGTTTAATTTTGTTTAATGAGCCACCGTGTTTCGATTCTATCATCTCATTTATCACCTGTCTCCGCCGTCATGGCTTCCGAGAAAGAAGCTGCTCTCGCCGCCACTCCTTCCGATTCTCCCACCATGTATGCCTATTACGTCTCTCTCTCTCTCTCTCCCTCTCCCTGTTTCTATCTTCTATTGTTGATTCCTTCTCTGGTCGATTTGTTTGTAGATCACTGTCATTTATTTTGGGTGGATTCTTTGAATGATATATGAAATTAAGAATTTTGATTTGAATTTGTATCTAATTGTAGCTTTATAGTGAAACTGAGATGTTTCTCTGCTTTTAGATGAAATTTCAAGATTTTTAGTTTTCTTCTAGTATTATTTTTCTTGGAAGACTTTAAATTTTTTTGTTGTGTTGAATTGATGTTAACATTGATTTTGTTTATGCTGGAATATGCTGCAGATTTGACAAGATCATCAGCAAAGAAATTCCATCCACCGTGGTTTATGAGGATGACAAGGTACCTTTAATTAGCCCTTTTGATATCCTTTCTTAATATCTCTACCACTTTAAAACTTGTCACTAGTTGTACACACTTCATTAGTACTACTATTCCGTTTACTCAAATCATGTTGCATGATTTTGCAGGTCTTAGCTTTTAGAGACATAACCCCCCAGGGTCCTGTTCACATCCTCCTTATTCCAAAAGTGAGGGATGGCCTAACTGGCCTCTCTAAGGTACCTATCACTTTACATCTCTCAAAATTGGACTCTCAATCAAAGTCCAGACAGAAGTTAAATAAATGAACAGATAAAACCATGGCAATTGCTAGACTCGATCCCATTTTGAAACACAAGCTAAATAATGTATTGCTCTGCTATTGTAGGCTGAGGAAAGGCACATCGACATCTTGGGCCGCCTTCTCTACACTGCCAAGCTTGTAGCGAAACAAGAAGGCCTAGAAGAGGGTTTCAGAATTGTTATCAATGATGGTCCTCAAGGCTGTATGTATTTTATATATAATTCCTCCTCTTCAATCAGCCTATTCACATTCAACACATGAAAAAACCAAGGGACATCATGATTGATGTTTTCTCATGTTCGTGTGGTTTTTGTAGGTCAATCGGTGTATCACATTCATGTTCATCTCATTGGTGGACGTCAAATGAACTGGCCTCCTGGCTAAAAGATCATCTTGAAGTGGATTGTTGTCGTGATAATAAGAAGGATGCATAGAGTTTGCTCCCGTCTTCTTCTACTGTCTCTATAAATAAAAAAAGCTTGGGATATGACTTTTATGATTGTTATGCAAAACCTTGTTTTATGTTATGAAAAGGATATTTGACTGTTTTTCTCTTCTGGAATCTTGTGGTTGCTTTTTTTCTAATATTGACTCCGTAAAAATTGACTGCGTGTAAAACTTCAATGATAGAAAAAGCGTGTACCTTTAGAGAAACCAGAGTGCCATCTTTGAGGAATAAAGAGACGCATGAATTGACCTTGTAAACATCCACTACGAGTTCATGAGCATCTGACATAAAATTATATAAAAGCTTGGTAGCAGTCACGTCTTTGACATTTTTATGTTTATATAGACCTTCTCATTGCCTGCAAGTAGAGATTTGGTGGGGTTTTTTTATTCTTAGTTTCCATCTGATCCTGATTTTAATCAGAATCACACTTGAAGGTGCGTAACAATAACATACCGTGGTTCCACGTTTAGACTTTTCTCCTAGTCATTTCACAAGAATCATTTCTCTTATCTTAGATTTCTTTTCCAAGTTTACAATTTGATTCATGGCGGAGGAGAAACCGAGGAAGAGCCTGACCAGCAGTGGCAGCAGAGGTTCTCTCAAGACCAAGAATCCGTTTAGCCGTGTGAAAGACGAAGATGACAACAAAAACAAGACAGGATTGTCGATGAGGAAGTCGTGGTCCACGGACTCACTTGGTCTGCTCAGCAACAGCAACCAGTCGGGGAAGATGGTCTGTATCTGTGCTCCTACAAAGCACGAAGGCTCGTTCCGTTGCAGACTTCACCGTTCATCAGCCACAAGCCATGGTCCAGCTACTACGCAACTTCATCTTCCAAAGCCCTTGCTTTCTTCTCGTCGTCTCGATGACCAGTAATGTAACATAGTCTCTTTCGTTATTCACAAAACCAATATGGTACGGTCCTGATTGTATTGAAGATTGTTTTTTCTATCCATGTGATGAATCCATATGGTATATATTGGTATTTATGTGTTCATATAAAACAAGTACTTATGTGTGTGTTAATGCGTTGCTAAATTACTATTTTTTTTTGTGGTGGTGGAAAGGTCACACATGTTTCTTGACAATAGTATATATGAAACCTTATAAGGAGAACAAGATTCTTAAGAGAGAACACAAAAGTATACAAAAAGCTAAGTGTATGTGAAGATTTTCTCTGTTGACATGCAGAAACTAATTGACATTGATTTCTCCATCAAGCTATGATCAATTCGCAATGTCACATTCCTCTTAACCTTTAAGAACCGCCAAATACCTGAATCAGAAAAAAAGAATATAAACAAAACCATGAATTTGATAACATATGCATGTAAACGAGCCATGCTAAACCGGAACAGCCACTGAAAACCATACTGGTGTCATATATGATAGATTTGGGTTGAAAAGCTGAACACACAGATACTATACGAGTCTAACCAGCACACTTAAATATTAATAATCATTTAAGCTTAAGATATAACCGATTGACTATGCATACTGATTAGAGCCATTAGGAATACCAATGAGGTCTATAAACGCAAGTTGGACTAGCAATGCATTAGTTTGACAGGTTTCAATGTGGGCTTGATTCTGGTTTACCAGCTAAGCAGCTACTATATATGTTGTTATGTAGACGACCTGTGATGCTTCTCACTTAATTCTACTAAAAAATCTTCCTTGTTCTTCAAAAATAAGAGAAAAAAGTACTGACCGATGCTAGGAAATCAGTGGAGAGCCCAGGCTTGCTCTGAGATGTCTCATTTTCAATTGATTTCTTCTGTCTAAACTGACGAATCACCCTAGGTGGAAAGACTGGTGTTGCTTCAGCAGTGCTACCCGATTCTTCCTGAATCTTTCGTTTCTGCCCACCACAAAAACAAAAAAAATACAAACCAAACATCAGGTTAGAGTAGTGAGATTTACGGAGGAAGAAACGAACAATAGAAATCCTCCAAATGAGAGGGCCTATATGTCAACTCTATAAGTTTTGGTAGCATTTACTTCATGGATTTAGAGTTTATAAAAAGATCACAGGCTATAAATTTCAGACAAGCAGACATCGACCATATAAGAAAGAGTATTCTGAATTTAGAAAGAGTGAGCACCTTTTCCATTCGTGCATCTATCTCGGTCATGGCACGCGACTTCTCTATTTTAGATAGATAAAAGTCCTTCTCCCTCTTTGCAGCAGAAAGAACCATATTTAATTTCTGTTCCCGAATTGCACTTTTGTACGCTGCACAAAGCAATCCTTTGTAGATTAGAGATCATATCAAAGTAAATGGTCAAGAAGTTCAGCAGAGAAATTGTGCGGTTAACAATACCGATTTCTTCAGTAAGATCATCCCATTTAAATTTGGTCAAGTATTTGATGTTCCAAATATCATAGTATACTGATGACTTTTTTTTTCCCCCTGAGAAAAGAAAACAGCAAACATTAATAATCATTTAAGCTTAGATTTAACAAGTTGACTATGCATACTGATATTATTCATTATGAATACCGATTTGTTCTCCATTTAGCATATCTGCAACCCGTTTAGCTACGCTCTTCTTCGCAAACTCCACCCACCTACAGTTAATGAACAGAATAAGATACTGAAAACCATTATAAAACGAGTCCTAATTATCAATGTGGAGAAGTGTTTTGAAGTTCTATACAGATATTCAAAAGTAGAACATTACAAACAGACGAGGAAAACTACAATAACTAGCGGGGAAACCCATATCCTTATACATACCCTTCAGAAAACCTTTGCCCACGAAATCCACCAGCACGCTTGCGGTGCACTTGTGCTTCAGAATCTGAATACAAATTGACTAATGTATCAGCTAACTTTTAAATACAGAAACACATATTAACATGACCAAGACGTGTTTTTGACGTTAAACAAGGAGTCAATAGGATAAAACATCACCTTCAGGTGCAAGATAAATCCTTCCTAATTCTCCAAATTGAGCGAGAATATGGCGAAGTCTAACGTGATCCATGTGTGGTGGGATACGACTTAAGTAGCAAACCCCTCTATTGTCAGCTTTAGAAGCTTCCTTAAGCAATTTCTCTTTCAACTTCTTTTTCTTTCTGTCAGCCTTTTGACTCTTCATTGTTTCCTTCGAAACCTTCTCGGTTATTCCATTCGTAAGCTCGTGAGATTCCTCACTCTGCATCTTCTTCAGCAGCTGAAAGAAACCATCACAAAAACAATTTTTCAATTGACAATTGAACAAAGTCTGATTTTTTTTATCAAATCTGCTAGTGTTATTCTCGAGAGTTTCTAGCTACATTGAAATTATAGGACTAATAACACCAACAATTGCATAAATGTGTGGACTTGCAATTCGTAACTTGCAGATGAAAGAGACCCTAAAACCCTAGACACCCGAATCAACAAATTTTCATTCCTCGACCTTCCTCTAATCACTTGATAATGGAAAACAAGCTGAATCTTCATCGAAATATCTACCTTTTCTTCGTTTCTGAATGAAAACAGGAAACTTTACCGAAAGTAAGTAAGAAGAAGAAGCTAGTGACGTCGGCGAACTGGTACTCTCTGTTCGGAAGAAGAAGAAGAAGACGGTGTATAACTTCGTTCGCTTGTTTAGGGTTATTAAATCCGGTTCGTGTAATGGTAAATGTACTAAACCGGTATTTTCGGTATCCGGTTATCGTCATTTCGGTTAATCAGTCCGAACCGGTCCATTACATTCGAGTTATCGGCTTATGAGAGTAAACGTTATTGTAATGTTTTGGTTAGTAATAGAGAGGCAAATTCTATGCAGCTGCCCCAACTCTAGTATTAAAAGTTAGGAGATGTTACCTATTATTGAAAAAAGAAAGATGTGATAATTTATATACCACATCGGAGAAGTGAGAGTGTTTAGCTCTTTTAGTCAAAAGTCTTTACAAATTCCTTTAGCATGTTTTTTTTTTCCGGTAACAATTAAAGATCATCCTTAAAAACAGAATCATTACAATCCAACCAAAATGTGATGAAGAGAATAAGAAGCTAAGGTGAAGAGAAGGAGATGGATGTCAAACATGATCCAAAATCTTTATAGCATATTCAAATTCACATTCGATTATCAAGAAATTAGTAAATGCATGATCCAAAATCTTTGCAGCTTATTCGGATTCAGATTCGATTATCGAGAAATCAGTAAATGGGGGTTTAATCGTCTTGCCAAAAATATGGCATAAAACCCAATCAGTATCTGCTACTGTTTGTGGGAGGCTAATTTCATCCATGAACCAGTTATACTTTGGAGCTTCTTCTTCATCAGATAAACAAATATTATCAGATTCTTTTTCTTGCGCAATGAGAGTAAACCGACGTTTGATACCGACTAATGCATCATTATTCTTTGGATCTAACACATTAGTTTCTTCTCCGATTGGTGTCCAGAGATTAGGAGAGTTACTAGTAACTTGGTTGTTACGTTTTCTGCAAAAATAGTACCAATGCTCTTCTTTTGGATAGCCTGAAAGATAAGAAAGAAACAAAATTCAATTAGCTCATTCACCCGATAAATAACGATGGGTTTTCTTAAGAAGTTTTGATCTACGAATTCTCACCAGGATAATCACGAGGATGTCTTGAGAAGATATCATGACACTCTTCAGGTACCGTACGAGATTTCATGGGTTGTCCTAAAGCTTTTTTCTTCAAGAAATAGTTTGCAATCTCACAGTTTGTAGGACGAAACCTAAATCCTATGGGCAAAGCTTTGTGTGTCGGCTCCATTCTAAGTTAAAAAAAAGGTGAAATTGTGGTTGAAGCAAACTCAAACTAGAATTCTAAAAGCTTGTTTGAGCGGAAGAATAAGTGGGTGTTATTGGTTTGTGATTTAAATAGAGTTTTAGTGACTTAAAATGTTATGTAGAATCTGTTTATATTCAATCAAGATTTTTTAAAGTATGTTAAAGTTTAGTGTTATTAGTTTAAGATTTGTTAAAAGTAATCTAAAATCCTCACAAATCTGAAGTTCTTAGATTCATACTTTTATAAAGTCAATAAAAGTTTCGTGTTATTCAATTAAAACAAAATAATCTATGATTGTTAATGAATTAAATTATTATGTTATTGGTTAATAACTTTCTATATTTTTTTCACAAAATAAAATTAAAGTATCATCAAAATAAAAAGATTGTTTGAAAAACTTTACAATATTATGAAAAATTAATCAACAAGATTATAAAAAACTCTTTAGCAATAATTTAAAATTTTTTATTTATTTATTTTTTATGATTTTATTAAAATCATCAATTTTTTTATAAAATATAAACCAATAACACTCCCTAAAAATTGCCCTCATGAGCTACGTATTTATAAAATATAAATTAGTGATATCCCAAAAATGAGAAAGTTAACGAGACTACATTTCCTTTTTCTATTTCTAGTACTTGATGAGGCCTGGGCGTTCGGATATTCGGGTCGGGTTCGGGTCGGATTTTTCGGGTTCGGGTTTTTCGGGTTTAGAAAACTAAAACCCGTTCGGGTATTTTTAAAACTCCGAATCTAGCCAAAAGTAGCTAAACCACCCGAAAATATCTTAACATCCGAATAATTTAGGCACTTAGGTTATTACAAGTATAAATATTACTAATATATTATAACCATGTACTTATATTTCGGGTATGTTCGGGTACTTGTTCGGGTTCGGGTCGGGTTCGGGTCGGGTTCGGGTTCGGGTTTTCGGGTTGTGAAGTTTAGAACCCGTTCGGGTATTTTAAAACTTCGGGTTCGGGTTCGGATCGGGTTTTTCGGGTCGAGTTCGGTTCGGTTCTTCGGGTTCGGATAATATGCCCAGGCCTACTTGATGATGTAATTGTAGTGTTTCCAAAAAACTAAAGTAATAATAAGGATATTTTCCAAAAGTAAACGAGATTACATTTCCTTTTTATTTCTTTCACCACGTGCTATGCACATGTTTCATTAACCTAGCCGGTATTTTCGATATACGGTTAGTCAGGTCCGAACCGGTCAATCACCGGTAGCAGTTTATTTTAAATGTTCAATTTAACACTATTCACTACCCAACTAGACCCTCTGGCTAATAATTTAACACTCTTTTGTTCACTCGTGGCTACTTCAACAAAGTCCTGGTTTGATAAGCTCTCTATCACTCACTGGGTACTCAGCTTCGGTTCTTCTCTTCAAGTGTTGCAATCCCAAAGAATGCTCTCAAGTCTCTGCAATTTCTGGGGTTTGGATTCTCTTTTTCTTTGGTTGATTTTCGCATCTCTGTTATATTCTTGTTCCAGACCAATATCACGACCTCTGCCAATCACAAAACAGTGTTCAAACTTTATAAAATCACAACTAGCTAGAGTGCTAAACCTCACATCATTATGACAATCTCTAAATCAAGGTACAATATTGATCACAACCACTGATGGATTGAGATACTATGGGGAAAACCGACAACATTGACAAGATAAAAAGTTAGACATGGTTCACAAGCATTAATCAGACCCAACAGCTTCCAACATCATAAGCAGGGATTTCCACACTACAAGATAGCTACACAAGCGAAATCTATTAGCAATGTGATACCTGTGTCAATGATTGTCTCATCTCCTGTCTCTCTCATTTTTCCTTTTAAGGAGTCTTGTGGTGATAATTCTGAAAGAGAAGATGGAGATCATATTAACAAAGAATCAGAAAATAGAACAAATAGAAAATATTGTGGAAACCTCGTATTATCAGCTAACTTACTTAACAAAACACCAAGAGAGTATAAAACGCGAATAACTATCAATTCGCCTAAGGCACACGAAGTCGAATCTTACACCAATACAGTAAAACAAGCAAATGTCAAACCTTTTTAAGCTGATCAAGAACAGTTTTTTTTCACCAGTAGTCGTTGCAAGAACAAAGACCACCTGCAAAGTGATGAAATCGAACTCTATCCCTTACAATAATTTCCCGATTGAATGCTTTTGATACATATTTTGTAAACGAATGACAATCTCTGCAAACTCTCAGATTCTTTGTAATCCGGAGAGTTGTTCCTGCAGTAGTTCTTATTAATCCATATGCAATAGCCAATTTTTCACTGTGAGATGTATCTGCAGATCCTAAACACCGATCAGAGAGAGTAGGAGCAGTTCTGTTTGAGTCCTCTGGCTTGTATCCAGCTAGAATGGCACGGTTTATTACTTCCCCGAGTTCTGAGTAAATAAGTGCATACTCCGGATGCATTTTGTCATCAACGACAAATTTGTGAACTTGATCACCGATCTCAATCCAACTCCAGCCTGGAACAGTCCGTAAATCATGGCTTCTTATTAGTTTTCTCATACTGGCAAAACCTTGCGCATCATTCGCTGCAGAATATATCGAAGTCATAAGCACATAATCCCCTGCATTGAAAGCCTCAAGCTGCACCAATCTCTTCATGGCTACTTCTCCTAATTCCAAATTTATGTGGATTTTGCAAGAGCCAAGCAGGGTTCTCCACAAGACAGGATCTTCATGGCAGGAAGACGTGTGTATCATCTCGAGGGCCTTTTCTAGCTGACCTGCTCGTCCATAGAGATCCACCATGCATCCATAGTGTTTGACGTTCGGGCTCAAATGGAACTGTGAACTCATGATTTCAAAATGCTCAACTCCTTCTTTAACTAGACCTTGATGACTACAACCTAACAACAATCCAAGGAATGTGATGGCATTGGGTCTAACCCCGGAAGCCACCATATTTCTGAAGAACGAGATGGCCTCTACGCCGTGCCCATGAACTCCGTACCCAATAATCATTGAGTTCCAGGTCAACACATCTCTCTTGCGCATCCCGTTAAACACACCAACAGCATTTTCAAGGCTACCACATTTTGCATACATATCAATAAGAGCATTACTCACAAAGACACTACTCTCACATCGAATGTCATAGGCGATCCTGTGTAGCATAACTCCCATATTCAAAGCACTAACGTGAGCACAAGACGATAACAAAGCAACTATCGTGTAAGCGTCAACACACACACCTTCATTTCCCATTCGATTGTACATACTGAACGCCTGATGATGTAAACCAGCATGAGAAAAACAGGAGATCATAGCGTTCCAAGAAACTAAGTCTCTCACAGGCATTTCGTCGAACACTTTGGATGCAATCTCAACACTTCCATTCGCAGAGTAGCAACGAACGAGATTAGTGGAAACAACAGCATCAGCAAGAAACCCAGATCGAATAACCGAACCGTGAAGCTCCAAACATTTCGGAATCGATCGGATCCTCTCACATGCTTTGAGAGCAAAGCTGAAAGTGAAGATATCAGGACGTGAAACAGAGGAGAGAAGCATTCGATTATAGTAGAGAATCGAATAAAGAGGAGAAGAAGATATGGAGAAGCCACGGATAAGGTAGTTCCAAGCCGACGTTGATGGATCAGAATCGAAACGGTCGAAGAGAAGCTGAGCGTAAGACAAAGAACCGGTGACGGAGACGGCGCAGAAGCGGAGGAGATGGTTGAAGATAGAAGGATGATGATGGAGACCATTGACGATGACATGAGAATGGATCTTACGGAGCTTGTTCATGCTGTTGCAGCCTTGTAGCATTCTCACTATCACTCTCGCTTTCTCGCACATCGTCTCCCTCTCTTTCCCCCGCGCACAAAAAAAAAAAAAAAACAATTTGAATTTACTTATTAATGATTTATATAAATCATATGAGTAATTAGGTAAATTTTTTTATATAGTTAATTAGGTTAATTTTTGCTAGAATATGTAATTAGGAAACTATTTGAATCTTTATAAATTATTATTCCGATTTTCTTTTTTGATAAAGGCATTCATCGAAATATTTACTAACAAGGAAGAGCATAGCACATCAAAATATTTACTAGCTAGAGATAAATAATTTAAAATTCTTTTCCGATTTGAAATCTCTAACGAAGTTAATTTGACTCTTAAAATCAAAATAAAGTAATAGACCCCATGACACGAGATTACATGTTAATTAGAAATTTAGAATCCCACCACATAGCTAATTTTCTTTTGATCCATTGATATTTTGTACAAATTACAATGGTAGCCATTTTATTTATTTTGATGGAAAAGTAAAAACACAAAAACAAATCAAACTCCATAGAGAGGTTGAAATCAACTGCTTTTTATTTTCTTTCTTTCATTCCTTCCTTCACGATATCTTCTAGTAAACCGGTATTGTTCGACACTATTGAAAAGGTAATAGATTTGAGAGAGTAATCGTCAATGGAGTCACCAACACTCTGCGTTTTTGGTTGTGGAGGATAGAAAATTGCCGACAATTCATCAAACGGAGATGGACGAGGAAGATTTTGTTGTCGCTGCTTCTCCTGCACCCGACCATGTTGTTGTTTTGGCTGAGTATTCATTTATCTTTGTTATACTTAAGGATTACAAAGTTTAATTATTCTTGGTTTGTTTATCAAATACTTTAGTTTATTCTATATATATAAATGTAAGAAATGGTAATGTATTTAAGATCAAAGTCTTACTTCATATTTTTGTTTTAGGAAATATATCCATACACATTATGCTTGTTCCTCTAATTTCAAAGTTGGATGTAAAACTCTTTAATACTTTACTTTATCAAGTTGGATGTAAGAAAATTCTAACCTAACTAAAGGTTTGAGGTAAGTGCTTACATTTATAATCTGATCCGATCCGATTCAATCCGAAATTATATATTAATATGGTGTATATATATATATACATTCATTTTTTTCTTTATCCAAAAAATTGAATACTAAATTATTGTTTTAGTTTAGATACTAAATTATACATATCAAAACTAAACCAAAATTCGAATTGAACACTCCTAAATCTGTATGCATATTATCGTTAAACTCATAACAAAACTAAAATGGAGTATTTCTATGTGATGCATAGATTACTGATAAGATAATGTTTACAAGGGAAGATACAAATATATTAATCATTCCCCATAAATTGTAGCAATTAGAAGCTATTATACTTAGGTTTATTTAATTTTAAGATGGAAGGGTATTTTCGTCAATAAACTTTCTATGTTACAGTCTTACAGAACATCATAAACCCTTAATTCATCTATCGCCGTCGTTGTCTCTCTTACCGGACGTTGTTTTGTCTCCCTCCGGCCTCCGGCGAGTCCATCAGAGAGCATTATTCATGGCCACAAGGTTCTTTCTCCCTCTATCTCTCAGTCAATGAATTACAGCCTTTAATTTTACCTTGTTTAATTGATCGTCTCTCATTGTTAGCAGGAGGTTAAGAGCATTCAAGAGATGGATGAAAGCTAACGGAGTTGATTGCAGCGACGCTCTCAACCTCGTCGACGACCAAAACGATGGTGTCTCTGTGAGAGCATTCTGCGATTTGAAGGAAGGAGATGTCGTTGCCAATATCTCAAAAACTGCTTGTCTCACTATCAAAACCAGTGGAGCTCGTGAGATGATCGAATCTGCTGATTTAGATGGAAGTTTAGGTCTCTCTGTGGCTCTCATGTACGAGAGAAGCTTAGGTGAAGAATCTCCTTGGGCTGGTTATCTTCAGATTCTTCCTATTCAAGAAGATTTGCCTCTTGTTTGGTCCCTTCAAGACTTGGATTCTCTCTTATCTGGAACTGAGCTTCATAAGGTTCCTATTACCAATTTTGATTACCGTTGCATTTGATTTGATTGTTTGATGGAATCTTGGGAATTTTAGTTGAAGTCACTACTCATCAGTTTGAATTTTTTGTAGGCAGGTGGTGAAGGAAGATCATGTTCTTATATATGAGGATTGGAAAGAAAACATTTTGCCACTTACCTCTTCACTGCCTCAGAATGTTGATTCTGATTCGTTTGGAATTAAAGAGTATCTTGCCGCTAAGAGTTTAATTGCTTCACGGTCTTTCCAGATCGATGACTACCATGGATCAGGGATGGTTCCTCTTGCAGATCTGTAAGTTTACCTCACATTTGTTAAGCTAAAGCCTAAAGATGTATCAACCATGTTGGAATTGAGGCCAGGCATAATACCATAGAAATGCATACATGTATCAGCTGTTTTTGCTTTCTAAGCTTTGCATTAACCATAGACTTATAGTTAGTTACTTAGTTTATGGTTACCATATAGTCATGTCGATGCTTTCTTAGTTTCTTTATTCACTCCCCAGAAGGCCAGAATTGTAGGTTTTTATTGCATCTTGTATTATCAGCCAATTTGCCTAGTTAATCGGATTAAAATTAATCTTGGATAAATATTGGTGCAACATTTACTTATGTATGTTGTCCTCGAGAGATTTTCTCTGTGTAGACTTTAAAGGCCTCATTAGGTTCAATCACTTGGATTAGACCAAGTCTGTTCTAAGTACTGTCAATGATTGCAGGTAATCTATATAGTTAGCAATCAATGTGCTGATTTTTTCCCAGCCTGCTTCTGGATTGCAGCATCTTGGTTATTTACAAGGAACTGTTCTGTTTTGAGTTTTTTTCATGTGGGAAAAATGACCTTAGAAGTCGGTTTTTGATGAACTAAATACGATTCTAGCATGCTCCGTGAATTTTCTGACAAATGCTTGATGATTTACTCATTGTCCACTCTTCTGAATCTTGCCTGTTTACTTCATTTTGCAGTTTCAATCATAAAACTGGGGCAGAAGACGTTCATTTCACTCATGAATCCGATACTGAAGCTGATGAATCTGACAACGATGATGATGCAAATGAGGCCACTGATGAAGACGAGCCTTTCAGTAAAAGTTCTTCCTCGCCTGAGCAGTCTTTCGAGGAAGTTCCTGGTGAAAACACTGATGACGAAGCCAAAGAAGAAGAAGAAGAAGAAGACAACGAAAACTCTTCAATGCTGCAAAATGATCAATCCGGTCTAAAAATGATTATGGTGAAGGATGTCTCAGCTGGAGCTGAGGTATGTATGCTTTTTTCTTTGGGTTTTCAACTATTAGTCAGTTAGAATCACATTTCATTTGCATTGATGTCATGATCTCTGTGTAGGTATTCAATACATACGGTTTGATGGGTAATGCTGCGTTACTCCACAGGTACGGATTTACAGAGCTCGATAATCCATACGACATAGTAAACATAGATCTAGAATTAGTAACTGAATGGAGCACATCCTCATTCACAAGCCGGTACACTCGAACTAGACTGGCCTTGTGGAGAAAACTAGGCTACACAGGATGCGAGAGCCAAAACTCAGAATACTTCGAGGTATCTTCAACCGGAGAACCCCAAACCGAGCTCCTGTTCCTACTCTATATACTGCTCTTACCAGACGACACATACAATAAACTGGATATAGCTGAATCAACAACAGGAGCTTCTCTCTCCAAAGAAAGAAGAGAATCTTCTCCTTCTCACGAGATAACAATTGGGAAACACAAGTTCGTGTTTGGAGAAAGCGGAAACGATATTCTTTTGACAGATGGTGTTTGTGAAGCTCTTCTTACTATTGTGGATAAGCGAGAGAGCTTATATGGATCATTGAGCTCATTGGAAGATGACATTGATAGGCTCAAGACTTGTTGTCTTCCGGGAGACAGGAGACTATATCATTCGCTTGTGTTGCGTGTGAGTGAGAGGAAGATTCTAAAGAAGCTTAGGAGCTACATCCATACAAAGGCCAATGAGTTTTCCGGCGGAAAGCGCCGGAAGAAGATGGTTACTAAATCCTAGCAACAGCCTTAAATTGCTTGTTGAATTTTCACTTTTCATCCCCAAGTTACCATTTTTAAACGATTTGGTCTAGTAACATTGAGTTTCATCTATAAGGTGCATCGAATCTTTAGCATATTTGTTTGATTCTTTTTGTTCTATTTATAGAAATTTTTGAGGTTTAAAAATAAAAGAAAGAAAGGAGTTTATATCGTGAGTATACTGAGTAATCTTCAGACGGAAGCAAAGATAGCGTGACTAAAAGCCGGCGACTGTCAGACAGGTAGAACTGTAAATACGGAGAAAGATGGGGTTACTTTAACAGTGACGGACACGTGGCACGTGGGAATTAAAGGATATTACAGTCTTACACAGAATTACACAGAGACAAGACAACTTCTTTTTTTTCTTTTTCTTATAAAACTTTTTTTTTTTTTTAACAGTCAAAGACTCAATAGAGTGTAACGGAGAGATTCTTCCAGAGTAGCTCTCTTTTTGTTCGTCTTCTTCCTCCAAAATCCAATCTCACTACAGCTTCTTTAGGGTTTCTTCTTCTTCTTCCTTTGGATCTATGTGAATAGGTATGTATCTGATTTGAGTAGCTCTTCTTAATAAACCAAGCAATTATGTCCTTATCTTAGAACTCTTTTGTTCGCGGGATTTTCTTTTGGTTGGATTTAGATCCTTGGATCAGATTTACTCAAATGCTGTGGTAAGGTCTGTGCCTTTGATTGTCTTTTGGATACTTTTGTATTTTTGCTCTGTTTTTGGATTAGATTTGTGGGTTTCGTATCTTTTTTTTTTCCTTTGAAGCTTTTACTGTGATCTGGTTTTTGATCGATCTTATTTCGCTTGATTATCCGTACGAAATATGTTTTGATTTCTGTAGATCGTTTGCATTGTACTTTCTTGATTGTTTCTAATTTGATTTTCTCTCCATTGCGGGATCGCCTGATGTCTCATTTAGAGTTTTTTTCTAGCTCAAATGTGGTTGAACTATATACTTTCTGAGTTCATTTTTAATTGGGTTGGCTTAATTACTAGAGACATAGCATAATGATCATGTTAGAAGAATTAGTCTGTTAATCAGCAGCTAGACATGAGATTTTCCTAAATAGGTGAAACATGTGTTGTAAAGTTTGGTCTCTTATTTGCTTAATTATGTGACTTGTGGTTCCATTTGGATCTTGTAGTATGAACTAAGCTCTGAGGTAAGCTTGGGAAGTAGGGATATGGCCAAAATCTCTTTGGTTTACCAACTTAGCAAAAAAGTTAGCAGGAGTTGGTGATCAGTTCTCCTACCGGCTTTTGCAGGCTAATAACTAGTACCTGACTGTAAAATCTTCCAAGCTTTCAAAGCACACTGGGACCTTGTTTCTTTTGGTATTGTAAACGATGTCAAGTGTTCGGAATACCCATTGGTGTCACAGATGTCAACGTGCTGTTTGGCTTCGAGCTCGAGATGCTGTCTGTTCATATTGTGGAGGAGGATTTGTGGAGGAAATCGATTTAGGACCGAGTAGCCCCTTTGATATGCTTAGAGCTCACAGGGATGTTGACCGTGATCCAACCTTTGATCTCATGGAAGCTTTCTCAGCCTTTATGAGAAGCCGTTTAGCTGAAAGAAGCTATGACCGAGAAATCAGCGGAAGAATTGGATCTGCGGGTTCTGAAAGCTTCTCAAACTTAGCTCCTTTATTGATATTCGGTGGCCAAGCTCCCTTTAGATTGGCTGGTGGTGATAATAATTCAGTTGAAGCCTTTGTCAATGGCGCAGCACCTGGGATTGGTATCACACGTGGCACCAATGCCGGAGACTATTTTTTCGGACCCGGTCTTGAAGAACTGATTGAACAGCTTTCGTCAGGCACTCATCACAGAGGCCCACCACCAGCACCAAAATCATCAATTGATGCATTGCCAACCATCAAGATCACACAGAAGCATCTCAAGTCATCAGACTCTCACTGCCCGGTTTGCAAAGACGAGTTCGAACTGAAGTCAGAAGCAAAACAGATGCCGTGTAAACATATCTATCATTCTGACTGTATCGTCCCGTGGCTGGTTCAGCATAACTCATGCCCAGTCTGTCGTAAAGAGTTACCATCAAGAGGATCTTCTTCAAGCACACAGAGTAGTCAGAACAGAAGCACAAATGGAAGAGAAAACGGCAGAAGAAGGAATATTTTCTCTAACCTCTGGCCATTCCGCTCGTCTAGCTCAAGCTCGACCCATAACCGCAGAGACACAAACAACACAACCACTGCAGAAGAAGGCCACTATCATCATACTCATCACCAGCAGCAACAGCAACAACATCAACATCATCAACAACAATCCCATATGGGTTACAGTGGATGGCCTTTTGACTATTAAAGGTTGATCTAACTCTTGACTCTTTTAAGCCTTCTGTTTCACTTTGGTTCTTTATATTTTGTTTGTGCTTTGTCATGTTTCTCTCTCTCTTTCTCTTACTTTGTTCATTGTTTATTGTAGATCTTCTGTTTCTGTGGCTTATCAACTTTATGTTTTATTCCGAATTGTGTATCTCACACATGTTAGCTTGTTATTGAATTTGCATTAAATAATTTATTGTTTAGACTAATGTATGTTTTCGTCTGGCGCCAACCAAACTTCGATGTCTATTTTTATAAATTAATTATTATATAGTTTATATGTCATTCTTCGTTTACGTTTGTTTTACTTGCACATTTCGTAAGCAAAAAAGCTGCTATACCAGAACCTGAGAACTATGATGTGCTAACAAATCTTGACCATTCTAGAATCTCGACCTCACTTATAAATATTATTAGATTTTGTCCTAGTTTAAGATGAAAGTGATAGTTAGATAACCAAATTGCGTTAGCTCAATGGTGTACCATCAATTTTGTTTATATGCGAACGATATTTTTAACCAATACGAATATGCTAACCCACGAATAGTAGATTCCCATTTATTTGATGGAATAAGCAGCCAATAGCATTAACTAGCCACATCATACAAGTCACAAGAAGGTGTAGAAGAAACTAGGGATGATAAATATCGTAAAAGAAGAAGCTCTGAATTAATAAAATTCATGTCACCGACGAAGATGAAGCTTTAAAAAGACCCACAAGAAATCTGCCGTAGACGAAAAGTGACAAAAGTGTTTGACCTATAAATCTTCTTTGTCTCTTCCGTGATCCAAGTTTCACAACTAACTTGTCTTCTCAACAAGTTAATTACTACCAATTCTACACAAATACCCCATCATCATAAATTTTCTTTATTTAATATCTTGATATCTGTCTTGTCAATTATTAGCGTTTTCTTAAACACTAGTAGTGGATTTATTACGTTTACATATAGTTTGCACCCATAAATGTGATGTTTTTTTTAAATATAATTTTTCATAATCACTAACCCATTAAATCGTTTCACAAATCCTTTCGTAAAATCTTTACTATTTTCTCTGTTTTACGAATAATGTCATTCTACCTTCTTTCACACATATTAAGAAGGGAAATTGTTAATAATGCCACTTTTTCAATGCCACTTTTCAAAAATACCCCTTTTTTAAAATCTTATAAAAAATGCTCTTAAAAATATAAGATTTACCCAAATATGTATGTAATATTATTAAAACATACACAAACTACATTTCTATGTATCTAAAATCTTATAAATACTTTATAAATACCTTATAAATGCATTTTAAATACCTTTAAAAACCTTTAAAATATCTTGTAAAACCTTTGAAAAACCTTAAAAATCATTTAAAATAACTTGTAAAACCTTTAAAAACACCTTATAAAACCTTATAAATACTTGGATCGAGTCTTCAAGTAGTAGTTACAATCCATAAGTACCTTATAAACCTAATAAAACTTTATAAAAATTTCAGATTTAAAAAAGGGCATTTTTGAAAATGGACATCTAAAAGGGGCATTTTTGAAAAGGGACATGAGAAAAGGGGTATTTTTGCTAATCCCCCTATTAAGAAAACTATTAAAAGTTCTACTATATTTTTTTTATTAATATACTAAATAAAATTATCTCTAACTTTCTGTTAATACACTAAATAAATTTATCTCTTATATTAATATATTAAGAGTTAGATTAAATATGGACTTTTATTCATAATTCTGCTTTGGAAATACGAAATGAAAGTCTTTGTGAAACAAAAAAAAACTTAAAATGACCCATTCTTTGTTAAACAGAAAAAATATCAATTATAAGCAAAGTTGAATTTTTTTTTCAACTATTTATAAAAAGCTGAGAATCTCTTTGACATTTTCCTCCAATAATCTTTATTGTTTTGTCTATTTTAATACAAATAGTACAAAAATAATAAAAAAAATTCGAAATTCAAACTGACACGAGCTCACACCCACTAGTGCAACTGCTCTGTACATAATTACTAAACAAATGTTAAATGTAGCAAAAAAAAACAAAAAAAAAAAGATAAAGCAACAAGACCAATATAAACTCTTCTCACACAAAAAAAAAAAGAAAAAGAAAAAAAAGAGGATCCTTATTGTCATTTGCAGAGAAAGCTACTTCACTCCTTTCTCTTCCTTCATCTCTCCGTCTCCCTCAGCCCTACATTTTGTGTTCCCGTCTACAAGAACCACTTTGTTGCTTGCTTTTCGAGCATCGTCGTCTTCTTCAAATTTTGTTTGTTGCTTGCTTTTGAAGCCGGCCTTTGATGGGTGCGGCAGAATCTGGAATCGATCGGAAGAGCTTTGCTTATGGATTTTGAGTTTTTTCTGTGAATGAATCTGTGTTTGTTATGGGGAAAAATACCGACGCGGAGCAGAATCTTCCTGTGAGCGACGGAGCTGCTTCGGCTAGGAATAACGGAGGAGGAAGAAGCAGTTGTTGTTGCTGCGATTGGATCTCTAGCTACTTTAGTCTCAGATGCGTTTTGATTCTTGCTTTTTCTGCTGCTGTGTTTCTCTCCGCCTTGTTTTGGTTACCTCCATTCCTCGGATTTGCAGATCGAGAGGATCTAGATCTCGATCCAAGGTTTAAAGGTATAAATCGCGTTTCTCTCGATTTATGATTCCGTCGAGGCTCACGCAAATCTAGCTTCATGTGATTTGTGGTTCAGATCTAGGGTTTGTGGTTTTTTTTCTGGATTTCACATGGGAAAATGTAGACAGAAACTAATTGAATGAGCTGTCACAAAGCTTGGAATTATTTTTCTATAACAGGACAAGCTCGATTCTTGAATAAACCTTTGATTAATTTTTAATGGGGTTTCTTTCAATGTTGTGAGGAGATGATGTAGGACATGTATATGTGTTTTCCATTGACTTGGACTTAGAAAAGGCTATTTTAAGCGTTTTCTTTATAAGGTTATGTATGAATTATGTTTAAATTTGATCTAAAACCTGTGGAGTTCAGGATTCAAATAAGGATGTGTTTCTTTGTTGAGTCCATGAACTCCATATTTAGTATTCTTAACACCTTTATTGAATTAAGACTGCCTAAAAGGTAAAATTTCTAAAAATGTTTCAGAATGTTGTATTAAGCTTGGCTTGCTTTAGCATGAAATTGTATTTCTGTGCACTGATTAATTTCCATTTATGCACCAAAATCTTTTTCCTCGATTTCTAATTTATTACTATCCAATCTACTATTCTCAAAGCTGGTTGGTAGAATCAATTATGAACCTAGACCTAGTTGGTGCATAGTTTAGTGTGTGATATAGCTGTGCAAACACGTTTCCTCTAGTGATTCTGATTTGGTTAAGACATCTATTGTAGTTGCTGCCACTTGCTTTGGCAGGCAAGGATGTTTTGGTTTGAATTTTGGAACTTGTTTTCTGCAATTCTGTTGTTTAGTTTTTCTTTCATGTTACAACTTGCATATGCGTATAAGCACCTGTATCTTGTGTCATGATCTATCTCTATGTTTGATGATGGAGCAACAATGTCGCTTTTTGGTTTTTGTGACTTTTGCAGATCACAGAATTGTGGCGAGTTTTGATGTTGGAAAACCAGTTTCGTTCATGGAGGACAATTTGCTGCAGCTTGAGAACGATATCACCGATGAAATAAGCTTTCCCATGACCAAAGTAACTAAGCACCCTAATCTCACTTGCTTGAATTTTATTGTTTCCATTGTTGATCATTCTGTAACTTCTGTTTCTTTTCTTGAGCCAGGTTGTGGTATTAGCGCTTGAACGATTGGGTGATCTTAACAGAACAATGGTTATTTTTGCCATTGATCCCGAGAAGGAGGATTCTAAGATACCTGCCGAAATAGAGAGTCTGATCAAGGCAGCTTTTGAAACACTGGTCCAGAAGCAGTTGTCTCTCCGTTTGACTGAATCCTTATTTGGGGAACCATTCTTTTTCGAGGTGCTAAAATTCCCTGGAGGAATCACTGTGATCCCTCCCCAGCCTATATTTCCCCTGCAGAAGGCGCAACTTCTCTTCAACTTCACATTAAACTTTTCGATTTACCAAATTCAATCAAACTTTGAGGAACTCGCTAGCCAGCTGAAGAAGGGCATAAATCTGGCTCCCTATGAGGTATGACAGTTGTATTCGCAAGATCAGTCTATTGCTATTGATTCAGAATCTTAAAATTCTATCCTGTTGGATTGCAGAACTTATACATAACCTTGTCGAATTCCAGAGGTTCAACAGTGGCGCCCCCTACTATAGTTCATTCTTCTGTTCTGCTTACATTCGGTTCGTCTTCGAGGTTGAAGCAACTTGCTCAAACTATCACTAGCTCCCATTCCAAAAATCTCGGCCTAAATCATACATTATTTGGTAAGGTTAAGCAAGTCCGTCTTTCCTCAATCTTACCACATTCACCTGCCACATCATCATCCCCTTCCCCTTCTCCTCAACCGGAAACCCACCAACACCATCCTCATCCCCATCCCCACCATCATCATCATCATCAGCATCATCATGAACTTGCTCCAGAACCTTCACCTACGCCTCCAACTAAAGGCTTTACACCTGTATCAGCGCCAACCAAACACTCACCTTTACCCCCGAGAAACCCGCCTTGTCCTTACGAGCAGAGGAGACCTAAAGGAAACAATGCTCTGAACCATCATACTGCACCACCAACGCCTGCACCACACCGGTCTCAGCCACACCCACACCCACACCCACCAGCACCAAACCCAGCTCCGCCACGTCATCATGCCATACCAGTATCTAGTCCACTTCCCCACGTTGTATTTGCTCATATCCCACCTCCACCAAAAAGCAGCCCAGAACCAAAACCTACCGGCGAAAAAACTCCCTCACCTTCTCCAACCCCATGTAAGTCTTCTTCTCTCAGCTCTCAATATCTGCATCCATGAATTTGTTGTTGATTCACTGAACTAAAAAAATATCTCAAAATATGAAACAGCTTCTGCGAGCACTGGTCCAACCTTGAAAAAGGCATCATCTAAGCTCCTTGTAGTAGTAGCCGGTGTAATAATCTTTCTGTAAAACAAAAACAAAAAAAAAGCGCCGGAAGAAGCTGCTTTTAACGTTCAAGCTGTAAAAATCAGCAGCAGTTCACAAAAGCGCAACTCCTCCGGGTCACAACAATCAATCAAGGTAATTGTATAAAGGAACACAAGAGAGAAAAAAAATGTATGTATGAAAAATGAAGAGAGTTTTTTTGTAAAAGAGTTGTTGAGGTTTGCAACACAAAAGTGTGTCTTGCACCTAACATCCGAGAAAAAAAAAGAAAAACATATATATAAAAAATATTTCTGTTTTTATTTTTGTATATAAAGTAATCTTGTTTTAACCAATTTGTGTGATTTCACAGCTCTATATTCTCTGCTCGAAGATCTCTTGGTAGGGGTTCATTATGAAACTTTCATATAGAGATCTAAAATGATTATACTTAAAGCTAAAAATGATTATACTTAAAGCTAAAAATGATTAATTCAGTATTAAAATTAGAAAAATGATTATTTTCTAGCTCTCTTAGAGCATCCATTAAGAGTTGAGATTCTGCTAAAACTAAAACTGTTTCTTTAATTTGTGATGATGATGACAAGTTGACAACAACAGTTGCATTATTTAGTAATAAACAGAGTTTTATGTCTATTAATGGCAAATTTCATTATGGTTTTCTCTCCTACAAAAGCGGGAAAATCACAAAACGTAGATAAGAACAAAACATTTATAGCACCTAATAAATTTGGAGGAAAGAGGAACAAAAAAAGAGAAAAAAAACCTAAATTTGTAAAGAGAAAAAAAAAAAAAAAAAGAGAAAGAAGAAGTCTGGGACAGGGGAGTCCCAGAAGAAAAAAGAGTTCTTTTTTTTTCCGGTGACAGTGTCGGTCCTCTGACGCTCCCCTTTATGTTCAATCTTTCTTTCTTCTTTCTCTGAATGACTTCACTTGTATTCACGGTACGTTCAAATTCCTCTTCTTTTTATCCGTTTCTGGTAAATTCATATCAACCAGGTCAAAAATATCCAAGATTTTTCCAGATTTAGTGACTTGTTCTTCAAGGAATTGTTCTTGATTCTTAGGGTTCTCCTGATAATGTTATGTAAATATAAACATCTATTTATGAGTAATATTGCTTTCAACTTGCAGAAACTTGCGGTGATTCACAATTGGAGGAGTGAGGGATTATAAGGTCTCCCATTCGCGTTCACATACATGTTTTGAACAACAGTTTCTTATGTTCATGAACTAAAACAAAATTGTAGGTACTAATGGATTCAAAGAACACCATCATATCCCGTGTATCATCAATCCGATTTGCTTGCTGTCCTGGCGGTGATTTGTCTTTTAAATGATTGACGAATTCATCGAAGAAGAGTTGCCACCATTAATCTGATCAGCCAAAAAAAGAAAAAGGTTTGGCATGAACTGTATGTCCGTGGCTTTCGATCCACTAACCGACCGGTTTGCGCAGTTTAGCCGATCTTCACAAAGATGCAGACTCCAATCTTTAACCAACCTTGACTTCAACTTTCTTGATTTCAACACTGAACAAACCAATCTCCCTGCTTCTTCACATTCCTTGAACCACCGAAGTATATCTACTCCATGCTTCTCCATATCCGGTAGTAATCTAGATGGCTCTACTGCTCCGCGCATTGAGATTCTCGGTGGTCAAAGAGTCCCTACTGTACGCGCCCTTGTAGCTGAAGTAACCATAGCTATGGTTTCTGGAGCTCAACCTCTGCTTTTACCAAGTGGTTTAGGAGGTGCTTATCTCTTGCAAACCGGAAATGGTCACAACATTGCGGTTGCAAAGCCAGTCGATGAAGAGCCTTTAGCTTTCAACAATCCTAAAGGTTCTGGTGGTTTGACGCTCGGACAACCAGGCATGAAACGGTCAATCCGCGTTGGTGAAAGCGGAATCCGTGAATTGGCTGCTTACCTTTTAGACCACCAAAGCTTTTCCGGGGTTCCACCAACTGCATTGGTCAGAATCACTCATGTTCCGTTCCATGTCAGTGATAGTGATCACGCCGCCTGTAAAGTTGCTTCTTTGCAACGATTTGTGGGTCATGACTTTGATGCAGGAGAGCTTGGATCAGGAAGCTTCACGGTTGGATCTGTCCATAGGATTGGCATACTTGATGTGAGAGTTTTGAACCTTGACAGACACGCTGGAAACATGTTGGTGAAGAAGATACATGACCAAGATGAGAGTACTTGTTCTAATGGAGTTGGAGCCGCTGAGCTTGTGCCTATAGATCATGGTCTTTGTCTACCTGAATGCCTCGACGATCCTTATTTCGAATGGCTTAACTGGCCTCAAGCTTCGGTGCCATTCACTGACACTGAGCTTCAGTATATATCAAACTTGGACCCTTTCAAAGACGCAGAGCTTTTGAGAACCGAACTAGGCTCAATACAGGAATCTTCCCTGCGGGTTCTCATCGTCTGCACGATATTCTTGAAACAAGCTGCTGCTGCAGGGCTTAGTCTTGCAGAGATAGGCGAGAAGATGACTCGGGACATCTGCAGAGGGGAAGAGAGTAGTAGTGTGTTGGAGATTATTTGCAACAAAGCAAAAGCAAGCGCGGTTAGTGGAACTGACGATGATGATTATAGTAGTGAATGGAATGAAGTAGAAGCAGAGCTAGAGTGTGGAATTTTTCAGTTTGACGATGAAGTTGAATGCAAAGAGCTTCCAGATATGTTACAAGTGCCTTTATTTACAAGAGTTCCATCCATTGCTGCCAATCTATCTGCTCTCATGCGGTGTCCACCAAACCAGTGGATTACTACATATGACACTAACATAGGAGAGGACAGGAGAGATCGGAGTATCGTGAGGAGCAAGAGTCACCCGATATGTGTGAATTATGATGAGAAAGAAGGTGTTTATTTTGGGGACATGAGTGGAGATGAATGGGAGATGTTCTTGCATAATTTCCAGATGCTTTTGCCAGAAGCACTTGAAGGCTCAACAAGCAAGGGACCAAAGCCAAGATTTGGATCTTCCTGCAAATTCTAAGGAAACAATACTAAACAAGAGAAAGATGAAATTTCGAAGGTTAAGATACATAGAAAGCAAATGGAAAATGAGACGAGCAAGCTAAGGCCGTCCAATCCAAATTACTTGTTAGCTTCTTCTTTCTGATTTCTTTATTGTATGATGTATCACTTCATTGCTATTTGCTAAAACACTAAGTATCATAAATATCTACAAGAGAATGATTGGTGTAACTGATCTCGTGTGATTATCTTGTTCTATGTAAGTTCTTGTTGAAAGCTAGTAAAATTACAGAATTCACAATACAGAACACCAAAAGAGATTTTAAATGTAATGGACACTGTCTGTCACTAGCAGTAGGAACACAAGAGTTACTGTAACGTTTATCGCCACAATCGCTCTCGGTTTCTAATCTCTTGGATCACATTGCAGGTTCTTGGAATGCATTCAATATTTCAATCACAAAAGAACCAAAACAACCTCCAAAAGATCAATTACAACTAATTTTCTTGAGACTAAGAGAGCAATAACAATCTAAAATTTGATGAAGAGCACTTGATCAGTACTCAAAGACCATTCCTCGACCCGTAATTTCTCATGACATTGTACCTCTAGCGATTTGGGAGAGAACAGAGGAATTGATTTGGCTGCTATAAAGACCTCTAATTAATTAGGCCATTTAAAAATAAAAACCTCTAATTAAGGCATTTGGCTCCTTGATTTCCATCATAGTGTTCACATCAGTGTTCTTGATTCTTGCGACTTGAATCTTTAAATAATCAAACCATCATCATAAATTTTGTCCAGACTCATATCAATGAGCAGACGACACAAGATCACATTGTGTTTGGCCCAACTTTATTTCAATTTAAGTATAAGCGACTAAAAATATTTGATACAAGGAAAGAAAAATATTGTATAAGATAAATCTACCAATATAACTAGAAAGCCTTAATTTGGATTTATTTTGAATCTCCATGCATGAAAAAAATAACTGATATTCAAGACAAAGTTAAACCGGAACACAAAGATACCATATTTGTGTGCTTTTCTCTAGAGAGTCTTGTTTTCGAAGCTTGGGCAAAAACGTCTGGATTACATGCTTGGTCACGATGTTAAGACAAACACGTCCCATGTGATAAACTTCTAGACAACATCCGTGTTGTTTCAACGGACCATGGCTATACATTTCGGCCGTGACATACATCGCACACCTTGAAGATAACTTAGCCATACATTTGTTAACCAAGTGGTCTGATTCTGGAGACTGAGCCAAACTGGTAGCTGCAGATGCCAATGCAGCCATCGCAATAATTGTGAATAAGGCTGCAACCATGGATTTGGTGACCCTAGTTGCTTTGAGGGCCATGATGTATTTTTTTTTTTTGTAATGTGAATTTGTTGAATTGCTTTTTTATTATTATCCAGAGTATATTTATATTTATATGAAGATACTTGTAACAATTTGAGAATTTACTGATTAAAAGTATGTTTCCTATATATTGTGATGAATGAGGCGTTTACTTGCAGTTATGCGTTTAATTTGCAAAACGCCTACGTTTCAAATGCATTTGAATTTTAATGGGCTATGTGCAGGCCCATAATGTGACCTTAAAGGGTTTGACATACATGAGCCGGATTAGACATGATTCTGATTTTTTTTAAAAGGGCTTAATTTGTCAGAGAGTATATACAAACCTAAGTCAAGTTGATTAATTAGGAGATTATATGATTACTTATATAAATGGTCAAAGGGATTTGGAACATTTATTCAATAATAATAATTACCCTTCTAATGAAGATTATAAAACAAAACCTAAAAAAAGAAAAAAAATGGAGCAATGATATACAACAAAGAAAAAGTTGCTCCTCTATCCAAAATTAAAAAAAAAAGAAAAAGACTTCAAAGGATCTAATTATGCTCGTGAACATCTTTTTCCACACACGAGGTTACGAGAAACCCACCGCCACTTTAGCTGTCCCTGCCGATTGCATTTCAACGTCTACTTCCTCATCGATTCGTGGCATCATCGAGAGAACCTTGATATCGCAGCGGTTGCAACACTTGACAATTTCTAGAAACTTCTCCTCAATGTTCTCTTCTTCATGATCTCCTTCCTTTCCCCATAGAACTGCACAAACTCCCACCAGTAATATCGCCATTCCAAGAACCCTAAATTTCAGAGTTGGATAAACAAAAATAGTAGTTTAGAAACATGATGATGAATCAAGCCATGTGACCTAACCACTAAACCACGTCAAAATCTAGTGGTTGCTTACCCGCCAAGGTATAAATTTTGGCCGAGGATGAGGAAGCCAATGATGGATCCGATTATAACAACAAGAGGGTTAAAAGCAGTAACAAAGACAACACTCTTTTGCTTCGTCATCATTCCTTGAACGTAGTACGCTATGCTCGACGACATTATACCCTATAAAATTATATATACAAATCAGATTATGAGTGTTCCATGGTTACATATATAACATAAGTTATATAATCAGGAAGAAGGACAAACCGCGTAAGCAGAGGCGAGAAGGTTCATGTCAAAGCCAATGTTCCATGCAGAAAGGTTTGGCTCCATCACAAAAGTTAAGGCTGTGGACTGTAACGTGCCCATGAAACACACCATGGTCGATAATGAAAGGTGAGATGAGTATCTCTTCAACGTAGCCGCCTAAAGAAATAATAAAACATATTGTCTTAATTCGTTAGAAGACTGCTTTTTTAGATATAGCATACTATATGATCACTACTCCAGATGTATATATATTAATCCGTAGATAAAGATACTTTTGAAACTGTTTTCAAGAGTTAAGAGATCAGTTGATGTAGTTATAAAACTTGTATTTAATTAATCAACAATATTTTCGATTTCGTTGTGTCATCCCAATTCCCAAGAAATCTAATTCAAGTACCTGAAGAACGAAAAAGGAAGCCCAAGAGAATGAGGCGATGAGGAGGAAGACGGTGGCTTTGAGGTAATCCTCACCGGCCGGCGAAGAATCGCCGGTGAGGTGAGATCGGAGAAAGTTGATTAGAGGAATTTTGAATAAAATCATCAACATGGCTCCAACCACTATCACTAATGTCCCCACCACTTTTGCTTGGAATCTTACTTTTCTCATCTCCACCTTCTCCATCCTTTATTTTTTTCACCAAAACATTTAAATCACAAATCATCATCAACGTAACATATTGTAAGAATTAACCTATATTGTATTTAGCTACCATTATAGATAGCTAATAATAAAGCTATGCTTTAAATTTAGGTACCTGCAAATTATGGAAATGATATAGGTCAAAGCAGGAACGATATTGATGACGGCGCCGGCAAAAGTTGGTGATGTAAGTTTGAGACCGGCGTAATATAAGTTTTGATCGATCAAAGGCCTGTGGTAAATAATTTACCAGTAATTAATTCATATACACATCAAGTGAATGTTTTTGAAAGATAATTCAAGTTTCAAGAAGACTAACCCTAGAAGAGCTAGAGCAAAAATCTGCATGAATATTGGAAATGTCATCTTCGGCCTCACTTTCCTACAACACCCAAGTAATCATTAATAACTTGTTATTCAAATGTTTGTATCCGACGAGAATCAGTCGAACTTTCTACATTTCTATATAATATGCTACCTCTCGGAGAGTAGAGCAAAAGGTGCGATAGCGGCCGTGGCAAAGGCGTTACGATAAGCAACAAGGACGTAATGGCTCATGCCGCGGTCTAGCACAACCTTAGTCACGAGGTTCATGCCGGCGTATCCGAATTGAAGACAAATCATTGCAAAGTAGGGTTTGGCTGATTCTGACATCTTTAACCCCATATCAAAAGTTTCTCTCCTTGTTGTATATGTATGGAGGATACACAATTTTATATAAGAGAAAGGGACACGCACTTGTGGAGGCTTGTGCTCTTCCTACGAACAAATTGGTGAGAGGGGTTCTTTCTATTTATATAGAGCATTATATTTCGGATGAGTTCGAATGAGCTTTTGTTTTTCTTTCCTGAAAATAATTAATTATTTATCTATTTCCTTTTTTAGTGACGTTGGCATTTATTATTCCGTTAGAATTCTCTTCTTCATTTTTTTTTCCGGCTTGTACCAAATTGTTCTCAACAGCGGAATAATTAGATCAAATCTGTTTTAATATATACATATTATGAAAATTCAAGAAAAAACCGATAAAAATGGATACGAAAATGATCGATCAGTGAACCTGAGCACACACGATCTCCGACTCTATCGTTGTAAGTGTGACGATTGATTTTGATATTTAGGGAAATCAAAAAAAAAAAAAAAAAAACAAGTGGACGGAGTGAATTACAAGTGGCAGCAGAAATAAAGTGGGGCCCAGGCTTACGTTGATTGTGGGACCCGTAGATGAAATAATGTCTGTAATTTGTTGCAAAAATGCTTAATTACGAGAGTTGATTTGGTTTTGTTGGTGGGGGCAGAGGCGGTAACCATATCCATATATAGGAATTTGATCCTAATTAAAATATTTTCTGTGAATGCTGATGCAACAATATGCAGCAACAGAGAACACCAAAGAAATTAAAAAGATCAGCAACTCTCAGTGATTAATTATTGCGATATGGTTTTCTTAAGAAAATCAGGGTGCTTCGTTATGTTGCAAGTAAGTGCTTCATTACTTAAAAAAAAAATGTCAAGTTGGGCATGATCCATTACCTTCTCTAGAATATGCATTAATTTCACTTTTTGTGAGACTATCGGATACTTGACAAAGTTAGGGAAGATTTTTTTAACAAATAATCTATTTAATTTACCAGTGAATATTATTAGTACTTAAATTTGATTTACCAGTAAATATATAAAAATCAATTTAGACGCCATCTACGATGTACCACTGGTAAATATTTGTAAACTTAAATAATAACAATGATGTAATATTTTATTATTATTTGTATCAGTCGTGTATATATGTGTCAACGTAACTGTTCCAAATGCTTCGACATATATGATCGGTTCGAATATATTCTTGCTTAAAAATTTGGGATTTTATGCTTCCAAACTCATGGATCATATGCATAGATTAATAAATCAATCTAGACTGAAGACGAAGATGATCAAGAAAAATAACAGATTGCCAAGTCTGTTAGCGTGTAAGGCTTACCTAAGAAAGAAAGCAACGTGTAATTTCACTTTTTCGATTATTTCGTTGAACTTAAGTATTGGTTGTATGGATTGTAGAGCTCTCACTTGTATGCTCATTGATATATTTGTAATCTCTTTTTAAGATTAATAAAGAAGACGTTAAAAAAAAAGATTAATAAATCACCCCATGGGAATAAAACATGGGTATATATGGAGATGCTAGATTCTCGATTATATAATTGGATTTGATTAGTAAAAAATTAGATAGACAAGAAGGATAAAGTGGGATGAAGAATGTGGGTGCGTTTTTGGTTACCAACGAGAAATGGAAACAAAGAGGCAAACAAATCCAAATGGGCATCTAATCATATTTCCAGCATTTGCAAATTCATCTCTCTACCCACTCACATTTTGGACTCAAGTTTCTTATTTTATGGCTTCGTGGTTGAAATTTAACACATATACAACTGATTTTTATTCCATAATTCATAAAATGTTAAACATGTTCAAATTCAAGTACACAGTATGACCTCTTACATTGAGATAATGTATATGTACTTTATTTACTTACCACTTAATTAGCTTAATGATATTCAAACAAATAACTTCACAATTTGATTGAGAATTATTTCCTTACTTAAGCTGGTGAAAACCCACTCTATCTCATTCATCAGATATAAATTTCATTTATAAGTATCGTTTATCATTGACCTTTTAACATTTTAATTTAATTTTTTGTGCATATTCATTTTTTTAGTAAATAATGATTTCAATAAAATTAAACTACTAACCTTCTTTCTTTCTCCTGTTTTTCTTTTCTCAATATGCATTATGCGGATTTGAACACTAGTGTGAGATACATCAACAACACTAACTGCAAATTAACTAGTACATATATGCTACATTTCATTGTCCTCTCTTCATTTTAATGTATTTTCGCCCTTAATCTATAAAAAAACAAACCTACATATGATACTATTCTACATAATGAGCAAAATTTATACATCGAAGAGGAAATTCATATAGAACTGAGAATAGTTGGGTAAACTTCCTTGTTTTAGAATATTATGCAGTTCTTGACAATCTCCCTCCATATATAATAATATGTTAAAAACCTCGAGACCATGCTAATTCGGAGGGTATGAAGATGGTTCAATCCCTCTGCCGTCAATGCGTCTGTCATTCTCCTATTTTGTAGTATTTTATAGAAATATAATTTATGTTAACACGATTTTACCGTGTCAAAGTTATAAAAATTGACGAGATAAAGGCTTGCAAAAGATATGAAGAAAAAATAAAATAAATTAGATTCCATCTTAAAAAAAAAAAGGGTTTAGATTCCACCGGCCAAAACTTTGTAGTACGTAAATATCATTTACTAAATGAACAGAAGACGATATAAAATTATGGGAGGTGGGAAAGCGAAATGGGCCTCTATTGCTTCTGCAACTCTCTTTTGTTTGTCTTTTCCACCGCTAAAAGATAGTAACAATCGAAGAAAAGGTTCACAATGTTGTACGTTCACGTTACATATTATTTCTTGATAAGAAATTATATATGTAATGGCTAAATAGTTGGAACATTGATCGTATTGGCTAAAATACAATTGAAGAGCCAATAGAGAAATATTTGTACCAATAATTTGCATGCTCGTTAGTTTAAGTAGCTAGAAATTTGAATTGTTTTGATATGATTCAGCTTAATTGTAAGATCGTTTGTTGAAAAATTCAAACCGAAGTGAAGTTAACTGAAACAATCCAATTTTGTTTGGTTTCGATCGTTTTTGTTGGATATCCAATATAGTAAATGCAATAAGAAAGCTATCGATTTTGTAATGAATGATCATACCAAATAATTAGTTTAGGAAACTGCTCAAAGTATCGTAACACTAACTGTTGATGATTTGATGGTCAAAGATTAAGCTCAAACATGAGATTCTAACTTTAAATTAATATGCATATAAATTGTTTTCACCCAAAAAAAAGGAAGTAACAAGAAACAAGTATTTTAGTTTTACAAAAGTGTTCAAAAAGAGAATTGCTTTTATAAATAATGAAGTTTGACTGATACATACTAATACAATGCACGTAGATCAATCATAGATGACAATTCATAAGCATTTATATCATCAAAAGTTTTGATTTCTACTTTTTTGCAAGCAAAGCAACAACGGTGCACCCTTCTTTCTCGTCGTCTTTGCTCTTTTCTCTTTTCTCTGAGAAAATATTATTCTTCTTTTTCTTATCTCTTTTCCTTTTTAATTGGTAATAAGACATATAACAACTTCTAGCTTTAAATTTTTTAATTGTGTAACGTTTCGGTAGCAAACACAGTCCCATATTATAGAAAAAGGTGTATGTTCACGCACTTTTTCTCCATCTTTTTCATAATATAATATTAATCTTTTGAAGAAAAGGAATTGAAGATATGTTAGATCTTTGATATTTGTTTGTATCCATGACAAGTTCTAGTGCATCATCTCAACTCCAATACATTCATATCTCTATTTATATAATGGGATCTTCAGAAAACATTTACGTCTAGTGGTCAAAACATTTTATGCACCACTGGCTTTAAACAAAATAAGAAAACCGGTCTCAAACTCTATAGATCAAAGTTATATGAATCTCTTTACAGATGAGTTATGAGAATATGGATCGTCAAATTTAGTTCTGATGTTGGAATTATCTATGAATCTAATGAAATATCTAATGGATACTACTCTTTCTCAAAAGATAAATATCTAATATGGAGGTGTATTAAGATATCGACATGTAACGTAAAGGTTATGAGATGATTGAATACAAAGATTCATGCGTGTGTTAAGAAAACACTTGATGATAAAAAGCAAATTAAATCTCCATTCTTCATAAAAAAAATGTATTATGGAAACCAATTTGTCCATTTCGTGGTTGTAACATCAATTTCTTTACTACTGCAGATGATCGATGAAAAAGTGTTTTGGTCAAAGAATCCTTTTTAAAACATAATTATCTGAGAATAGCATAAACGTCGGACTCTTTTGTAAGTGCTCAATAATGTTTTTTTGAGAGAAAAATGTCCAATAATTTGGGCAATCTTGTCGAGTTTATCTTTCAAATAATTGAAGTATATCTTTTGTTATAGTAGAGTTAAAAACAAAGGAATGATAGACAAGTTAATTAGTATTCAAATCAAAAGATTTTACATTGTCCGATCAAAGTATAATCTCTGTTAACAATCAATGTTAATTTTGGTCACTCTTCAAAGCCAAAGAGAATTGCTCATAAGAACAACACAAGAACACAAGTTTCTTAGACAATTTTTCATTCATTCATAAGTTCCTTCTTGACGTGAACGTCTTTAAATACAAAAAATAAACCAACTTGATCACGATCCTAGAGATAAGGAAGTGGAAAGTGGAGACACTACTTCTCCTATTACTAAGGAGATAATTAAAAGAGTTAACTGACAATAAAATTATCAACTTATCGGTCTCATCAATCTCTCGTGTAACGCTACCGTAATTAAGTATCAGTGCATGATCTTTAGGTTTGTCTCAAGGGTTCAAAACTTGATGAGTCGCTCACGCTAGAGATGTCGGAATTTTTGTAGACTCACGTATACATCTTTAGATTTTTAACCTGATTTATATGCCTTATATGAACGTCCAATTCTGAAACGGCATCGTTTATGTATAGAAGAACACAAAATTTGCGTGGGCTTATGTGTAAGTCTTGCTTGGATTTTAAGTTATCTAGACTTGTAACCCTAAGAGCATCTCCAATGGGGGAGCTCTCTCCATGAGCTCTCTCAAACTTTTTATTATAAATTTTGAGAAAATGATAGATGAGAACCTTTGATTTTTTTTTTTGATTTTTTTGTGTCCAATGGTAGGTTCTCTAGTGGGGTTCTTAGGAAAAAAAAATTATAAAAAATTGTATATCTTAAAAATTAATAATTATTGCAATTCATAAAAAAAAAAGATTGTTGAAAAAAAAAAAACAAGAAGAAGAATAGCAATGGTTTTTTTGGTTGGTGCTAAATTTTGGAGTAACAATAAAAAAGAAAAGAAGAACAATGTGGATTTTTGGTTGGTGTTCCTTGTAAATTTTGGAGTAACAAGAAAAAAAATTAGAAGAACAATGGAATTTTGGTGAGCCGTAGAAGAAGCACAATGGGATTTTGTTGAGCCGTAGAAGAAGAATAAGAACAATGTTTGTGTGTGTAATAATAAGAACAAGGATGTTGTTATATATAGCAAAGCTCAATCATATGGAAAAGAAAGACGTGGTTCACAATCATGCATACAAAAAAGTGAGACTTGTGGTGTTTATACATAAAAACAAAAGCATATGCAAAAGCATATGCAAAAGCAAATGCAACAGCTCCGTGACTTGTGGTATCTTCAGTCCTTGATTCTTTGTCTTCTTCCACTTATACATCCCAAAGACTAAACTACACGGTGAAAATCATGGGTGACTATGACTATAACTAACTGATCAAAAGAATGACAAGCAGATTACGATTATCATATTACCAAACCAGACACGGTGTGATGATGTTCACTTCAAAGTGTTATATATTCATCTAAATTCAGTCTGTAATTTAGAATAATTGAATGATATTATTTTGATGTAAATTACCTACAAATGTTAATAAAAGGAAACACCAAAAGTCAAACACAAACTGATCAAAGTTATCTTCCTTACTCCAAAATATCACCGTTCGCAAGGAGACAAATCTCAGTACAGTTTTCAAAATGTCTACCTGATATATGCTAGAATCCTCAATTCCATCATCATCATCACCGGACTTCAAAATAAGTTCTAGGTGATTGCTGCAAAGTGCAAACACCAAATGCAAAACTTTATTTCTGAGACTAATAAGTAAAAATAGAGCATCCAATTCGATTCAAATGACAAAACCAAACTATAATTTTTTTCCCCAAAACTATGAACCCTAAATCAAACAATCTATGACAAATTCGTCAACAATCATGGAAAATTTACAAACACAAAGCCTCCAAATTGATTAATAATCACCCTATTGTCGCTAAAAACGAAGAACCCTAATTTAGAAATCAAAACCTTAATTTTGTTCAAACCCTAATTTCGATAGATACCACAAAATACAACGAATTAAGTCACGATACACATGGGAAACGGGCTAGATTCATACCTGGAACAAAAAATTGGACCATCCTTCAACGAATCCTTCTTCTCCATCGCTAATCTTCGATTTGTTTTGACTCCATTCGCCGATTTTTTTACCGTGAATCCAGCTGATGATTCCGGCGGCAGGTAACTCTCACAAACCATGATTCCGGCGTCGACTCATCGGAATCTAACGAAATCGCGATGTTTCTGAGGTTTGTTTATCAGTTTTTTTCTCGCAGTCGTCGTGATACCCAGAGAGAGAGAGAGAGTTTTTTTTGGTCGGGAGAAAACTAAAAAAATGAGTGTTTTAAATCTCCCTCCAATAGAACGCTGACACGTGTCCGGTTCTCTCAAACTCTCAAAACTCTCTCAAGAGAATCGATTCTCTCATTTTAATTCACTTTTGAATTATTTTTTTCCCAATTTCACATGAGAACTCATCTAAATTTAAAAGAGAACCTCCCATTGGAGGTGCTCTAATAAACCGGCTATATTGGGCCTTGTAGGAACCCACAAGTTGATGTGAACTGCGTTTTGGGTTACCTTTTTTTTTTCGTTCAATTTAATTCGATATTCAATGTCACTGGTTCGGTTCACGGTATGGTTTAGACCGTACCGGAATACCTACCACTAAAAGAACTCTTCAGCGCGACGAAGAAGAAGATAAAAAAATGGACCTTTTCATCTTTATCTTCCTCCTCTGTTTCCCTATCTTCATCTTCTTCATCTTCTTCCCCAAGAATTCTTCTTCAGAATTTGGTTTCAAGTCGTATCCGATCATCGGCAGTTTACCTGGTCTAGTGAATAACCGTCACCGATTCCTCGACTGGACGGTGGAGACTCTGTCTCGATGTCCAACCCAAACGGCGATTTTCCGGCGACCAGGGAAGCAACAGTTTGTCATGACGGCGAATCCAGCTAACGTCGAGTATATGCTCAAGACGAAATTCGAGAGTTTCCCTAAAGGCGAACGGTTTATCTCGATTCTTGAGGATTTTCTCGGCCGCGGGATTTTTAACTCCGACGGTGAGATGTGGTGGAAACAGAGGAAGACGGCGAGTTATGAATTCAGTACTAAATCTCTCCGTGACTTTGTTATGAGCAACGTCACCGTCGAAATCAACACAAGGTATAATTCAATTTCACTTTCTCATTACCGATTTGTTACTGAGATTTTCTTCTTCCAGGCTAGTTCCGGTGTTAGCAGAAGCTGCAACCACCGGAAAATTGATAGATCTTCAAGACATATTGGAGCGATTCGCGTTTGATAACATCTGTAAATTAGCCTTCAACGTTGATTCAGCTTGTCTCGGTGACGACGGAGCCGACGGCGTTAACTTCATGCAGGCCTTTGAAACGGCGGCGACGATCATATCGCAAAGGTTTCAGTCTGTGGTTTCGTATTCATGGAAGATTAAAAAGAAACTTAATATTGGATCAGAGAGAGTTCTGAGAGAATCAATCGTGACCGTTCATAAATTTGCAGACGAGATCGTGCGTAACAGGATTGATCACGGGAGATTAAGTGACCAGAAGGAAGATTTGCTTTCTCGGTTTATCAGCAAGGAGGAGATGAATTCGCCGGAGATACTCCGTGACATTGTCATAAGCTTCATTCTCGCGGGACGAGACACGACTTCCTCTGCTTTGAGTTGGTTCTTTTGGTTACTCTCTATGCATCCAGAGGTGGAAAACAAGATTCTACAAGAGTTAGACTCGATTCGAGCTCGAACAGGGAAGCGAATCGGGGAAGTTTACGGGTTTGAAGATCTTAAACTGATGAATTATCTGCATGCGGCGATAACTGAATCTTTAAGATTGTATCCGCCAGTGCCAGTGGACACAATGAGTTGTGCTGAGGACAATGTGTTGCCTGATGGGACATTTGTAGGGAAATCTTGGGGGATAAGCTATAACGCGTATGCAATGGGAAGGATGGAGAGTATTTGGGGGAAAGATTGTGATCGGTTTGATCCCGAGAGGTGGATTGATGAAACCAATGGTGGTTTTAGAAGTGAGAATCCTTTTAAGTTTCCTGCGTTTCACGCAGGACCAAGGATGTGTTTAGGGAAGGAGATGGCTTATATTCAAATGAAATCGATAGCCGCTGCGGTTTTAGAGCTGTTTGTGGTTGAGGTTCCGGGGAAGAAGGAGCGTCCTGAGATTCTATTGTCGGTGACACTTAGAATCAGAGGAGGTTTGTTTGCGAGGGTACAAGAGAGATCTTGAGTTACTTGTTATAGAAGCAACCTTTGTTTGCTCTTCTCATGTCTTTAAGTGTCCATATATTACTGTAAACAAACACGTTTTTAGTTGGTTAATCGAAATACAATCACGGCGTGACTTAGGAGAAGTGTGACCAATGGTTGCACTAAACTCGTTAAACGCTCGGTCACACTTGCATTTCAAGTTTTATTTTCATTTGTGTGGTGCATTCGTGAGAGCTGTGAGCTTTCTTCTTGACAAAATCTCGAACAAATCTTGGTTAAATCCTCACACAAACTTACGATCTTGGATCTTCAAAAAACATAAATTGGTCTCTATCCTCTCAGATATTGGCATAACGGATTCAAGACTTTTGGTAATCAATATCTGAGCTATCAAAATTTGCTAAACCGAAACAGAGGACCAGGACCATACCACTTGGAGAATCAATGGTAATCAACTTTGCTTCAAGCCGCTATTTTGGAAACATCTCTCTAATACGTGTTAAAACCCAAAGAGAAGAAACTAAATACTAGAAAAATATTTGACAAAGTGCCATTTTCTTTCCTTAATTAGCCACCACAACATTGAAATAAATGAATAAAACTTCCAAATGGTTAGAAGACGGAAAGAACTAAACCGTTCTATTTGTTAGGACCGGTAACAAATCGTTTCAGAAGAACAGTTTTTAGCTCACTAATCATTTTATGATTTCTAAATTTTATGAATAATAATGAACCAAAAAAACAGTTTTGTGCAGATGAAATCACTGATTAGTGAGTGATTACACTTTGTCTTTCTCAAATCAGCGATCCCACCGGACCGGTCAAACCGATTTAAACCCTAAATTAACAATTCTATGGCTTTTGAATAGTTAACAACACTCAGAACCAAAACCAAAAGCAACTCAGCAATCTATCTATCTCCTTCATCGGGCGACTTCGTCTTCTTCTTCCTTCGTCGCTGTCTTTGTCACAATCAGATTTTTACCAAATTACAATTTTTGAGTATCCGTTCTCTCTCTCAATTGAATCCTCTTCCTTCTTTCTATCGGTTAGATCTTCAGCTCGATTATCTTTTTTCTTCTTCTTAGATTGTGACCATTTCTATGCGTTAAGGATCAGGCTTGATGATCATATTACTTCTTCTTTTACCCTTTTTCTTATTTTAAGGGTTTCCTTCTTCATTTCGTGTATTAAACTTTGATCTGGCGAAATGCAGAAATTCTCATTGCAAGATAGGGTTTTTTAGATTCGTTGATTTTGGATCCTATTTCCTGTCATTGTTGATTTTGTTATAGATTTAGGGTTACCAATCTGGGAAAATTCTTTGCTTTAATACTCTTTCTTATATTTTCCATGTTCTTGTTGCTCAGCTTTCTGATTCCTATATTTCCCTGTAAAATTTTCCTTTAATGGCAATCGAAAATCTTCAAATTTTTACGATTCTATTGATTCCATACTGCAGATGATTTTTTCCAGTTTTGGCTCATTGCCTGTCAATAAATCTCGTCAAAATTCTACTGCTATTTCTTTGATCAACATCTAATTCATTGCTCTTGAGTAGCAAATAGCTTTGAAGACAATATTATAGCATCATGCTTTTATTTGCTTGTTCTTTTTATTGAGTCGTTTATTCTTAACTTTGTCCTCTTATTTTTTTCTCAGAATGATGGAGGCCAAACCAAAAAGGAGGATTGTTACAGAGAATGGAGATACAGGGGAGGATTTAGTTCTTGCAACATTGATTGGAAATGGTGATGATGTTGGTCCTCTTGTTAGGCATGCTTTTGAAATGGGTCGGCCCGAGCCTCTCGTTCATCAGCTCAAAAATGTTGCGAGGAAGAAGGAAGCTGAAATCGAGGATCTATGCAAAACTCACTATGAAGAATTCATTGTTGCAGTTGATGAGCTCCGTGGTGTGTTAGTTGACGCTGAAGAGCTTAAGAGTGACCTTGCAAGTGACAATTTCCGTTTGCAAGAGGTTGGTAGTGCTTTATTGGTAAAGCTGGAAGAGCTTCTCGAGTCTTATGCAATCAAGAAGAATGTAACTGAAGCTATCAAAATGTCAAAGATCTGCGTTCAAGCGCTGGAGTTGTGTGTTAAATGTAATAGTTACATATCTGAAGGCCAGTTTTACCATGCCCTGAAAACCATGGATTTGATTGAGAGGAGTTACCTGAAGCTTATCCCACTTAAGGTTCTAAAGTTGGTTATAGAGAGAAGAATTCCAGTGATCAAGACACACATTGAGAAAAAAGTGTGCAGCCAATTTAATGAATGGCTTGTTCACATTAGGAGTTCCTCAAAAAATATTGGACAGACTGCTATTGGCCTCACCGCTTCAGCTCGCCAGAGGGAAGAAGAAATGCTGGAACGTCAGAGGAGAGCAGAGGAACAAAACACTGGGGGTTTGGGAGAATCGGCATACACTTTAGATGTTGAAGATTCTGAACAAGATTCTGTTTTAAAGTTTGATCTCACACCTCTGTATCGAGCTTATCACATCCACACTATTCTTGGAGTCCCAGAACGATTCCGTGACTATTACTATGAGAATAGGCTACTACAGCTCCAATCAGATCTGCAGATCTCTTATACACAGCCATTTGTGGAATCATACCAAACATTTCTAGCCCAGGTTGCAGGATATTTCATTGTGGAAGATCGGGTTATTAGGACAGCTGGAGATTTCTTGTTGGCTGATCAAGTTGAGACAATGTGGGAAACAGCCATTTCCAAAATTGTAGCGATATTGGAGAACCAATTTGCCAGAATGGATTCGCCTACTCATCTGCTTTTGGTGAAAGATTATGTAACTCTCCTTGGCACAACCCTTAGACAGTACGGTTATGAAGTGGGTCCGGTTCTTGATGCCCTTGACAAGAGCCGAGATAAATACCACGAGCTTCTTCTTGAAGAGTGTCGAAAGCAAATCGTGACTGCTATTACAGAGGACACTTATCAGCAGATGGTAATCAAGAAGGAAGCTGACTATGAAAACAATGTCTTGTCGTTTAATCTTCAGACCTCAGACATTATGCCGGCTTTCACTTACATTGCGCCCTTCTCTTCTATGGTGCCAGATGTTTGCCGCATCATCAGGTCATACATAAAAGGATCTGTTGATTACTTATCATATGGAGTGAACACTAATTTTTTCAGTGTTCTGAGGAAGTACCTCGACAAAATCTTGATTGATGTACTGAACGAAGTTATCCTCGAGACGATTAGCAACAATTCAATTGGTGTATCTCAAGCTATGCAGATTGCAGCGAACATATCTTTCCTCGAAAAGGCCAGTGACTATTTTCTCCGACATGCAGCTCAACTTTGTGGCATCCCAAGCCGATCAGTTGAGAGGCCTCAAGCTAGTTTAGCTGCAAAGGTTGTCCTCAAAACATCAAGAGACGCAGCCTATCTTGCTTTGCTGAATGTGGTTAACACCAAGTTGGACGAGTTCATGAAGCTCACAGAAAACGTTAACTGGACTACAGAGGAAATGCCACAAGGGCCTCACGAGTACATAAACGAGGTTGTTATATACCTCGAGACTGTTATGTCAACGGCACAACAGATCCTCCCAATGGATGCCTTATACAAAGTTGGAGTTGGGGCTATCGAGCATATCTCAAACTCCATTGTCTCTACATTCCTCAGCGATAGCATCAAGAGATTCAATGCTAATGCAGTCTCGGCCATCAACCACGATCTGAGAGTGATAGAAAACTTTGCTGATGAGAGATATCACTCAAGCGGGTTAAACGAGATCTACAAAGAAGGAAGCTTTAGAAGCTACCTAGTTGAAGCTAGGCAGCTGATAAACCTGTTGTCTAGTAGCCAACCCGAGAACTTCATGAACCCAGTGATTAGAGAGAGGAACTACAACACTTTGGATTACAAGAAAGTGGCTACGATCTGCGAGAAGTTTAAGGATTCTGCAGACGGGATATTCGGAAGCCTGGCAAATAGAAACACAAAGCTGACAGCCAAGAAGAAATCGATGGACATGCTCAAGAAGAGACTCAAGGAATTTAACTGATTCTCTATAAACCACTAGTAGGTCCTGACCTCCCACTCACATCATCATCATCGTATCATCCTTTAGCTTTACTATTCCCTTAATTTGCTTCTCCTGGTTAACCTCTAATCTTGTTTATGTCTTTCTTCTTTTTTTCTCTGTTTCTGTTCTATGACCCAATTCATTAATCAATTTCAGTTTTGTCCTAATCGACAAAAATCATCTTATGGCTCAGGACTAATCTTTAGTGTAGAATGAATTGATAGTCCAAGCTAAAAAAAGCTTCTAGCTAGCTTTAGATTCTAATTTGACAAAAGCTGCACTCTTGTAAATCTATTTGTGTGGACCGGAGACTCCATTTGTCTTCCAAGTCACCTTATCCAAAGTGTCACCAAAACCTGAAAACTTTCAACCTCAAAAAATCCAAACTTGAGCTTTGTATTCCGACAAAAAAATGGCGACTGCGTCTCTAGTTCCGACATCTAAAATCTTCTCTGTCTCTTCGAAATGCTCAGCTTCGATTAAAGCAAGGACCGGCGTAGTTGTTGCATCGTCGCAACAGCAACAACAACCAAGAAGGAGAGAGCTTCTGCTGAAATCGGCGGTTGCGATTCCGGCGATTCTGCAATTGAACGAAGCTCCGAAATCGGAGGCACGTGAAGTGGAAGTTGGATCATACTTACCTCCGTCGCCGTCTGATCCTTCCTTCGTCGTCTTCAAAGCCAAACCTTCAGATACTCCTGCTCTCCGCGCAGGTGATGCCTAATCCCACTCTTCGTGTTCTGCATTGTCCGTTAACTTAATCAATATGACTGTGTTATGATTATCAATCTAAACAAAGTTTTGTTGCGTAATTTAGTTACTGTTGGTGAATTACTTAGTTTAATTTTGGCTTATTCACAACATTACCGTTTGATATGATTTTGGTTTGAAGAATTCTAGTTTGGTTCTGTTTTTTATTTCCATTTCCTTGTGATTTTGAGTATGGGGGATTGGTTTTATTAACTTTTAAATTAATGATCTTTGAAATCTAGTCTGGTTGCAGGAAATGTTCAGCCCTATCAGTTTGTTCTACCTCCGAACTGGAAACAGTTGCGAATAGCCAACATTTTGTCAGGTAATTATTGCCAACCAAAATGCGCAGAGCCATGGATTGAAGTGAAGTTTGAGAACGAGAAGCAAGGCAAGGTTCAAGTAGTTGCATCTCCTTTGATCCGCTTAACCAACAAACCAAATGCAACCATTGAGGATATCGGTGAGCCTGAGAAAGTGATTGCTTCTCTTGGTCCCTTTGTCACCGGAAACTCTTATGACTCTGATGAACTTTTGAAGACTTCAGTCGAAAAGATTGGAGATCAAACGGTAATGGCACAACAAGTGGCTGCTTCTCTGACTGATCAATCATTGAGGAAAGTTTTTGATCATTTTTTCTGGTTTATGTCTTCTTGTGTTTTTATGACAGTACTATAAGTATGTGTTGGAGACGCCATTTGCGCTCACGGGAAGTCACAATCTTGCAAAAGCGACAGCAAAGGGAAACACGGTGGTTCTGTTTGTTGTGAGTGCTACTGAAAAGCAATGGCAGAGCTCACAGAAGACTCTTGAAGCCATTCTTGATTCTTTTCAACTGTAAGTCCTGAGTTTTTGTTGAAACTCTGAACTTAAGAAACCAAAGAGAAAACGGTATGTGTGAAGTGAGTGTCTGTGTAGTACAGTTAACTCGGATTCTTTTTTATTACAAATTTGAGCTACAACTCGGAGTTACATAGTTTTTTGCTATTTGTTTTGCTTGGTCGTACTACCAGATTGGGACAGATCTCAGTGATATTTTGCTCAGCATATCTCTATGCTTTAATATCAAACATTAGACAGTGAACAGGCGTGATTGTATAACTTTCTCGAGTTATTAAAGATCAAAAGATTACAGGGCTAGGATTTCTGTATATTGTTTCAAAACCGAAAAACTGTACAAGATGCTACTCAAATTCTGACACATTGTGTGGAAATTCCCTCTTCTTATGGTTTCTACATAGAGAGCAGGTCAAGTGGTCACGAGATGAGGGACTTCTGGCCGTGGAAGAATGCAGGAGTATGTTACATACTTCACATCGTCCACAAGCAAGACTATGAAAACTCGAGACAGTGATTTTGTTTCTCCCATCATCTCATCGATGTCTCCATCCCCGCCTTCTCTGGGATCAACAAGCACAGATACAACCATTGACGGGGCAGGCTTGGTGTCTCGGATGTTCTCTTTGCTAGAGCTGTTCTGATCTTTCGTCAGATTAAAATCAGATACTGAAAGACCACCACGGAGGATTCTTCTGTTATTTTTCCCTTTGTGAGTATCAATGTTCTTAGATTGTTCAGTAGGTGGAGAAGCAGGAATGATGGATCCTGAGGTTGCGGAGACATCAAACTGAAACACTTCGGTGCACATTCCCGAACTGAACATTGACCCTATCAGTGGAAACATTTAACAAAAATGGGTGTTATATATGCAAATGGAAACGATTCAGTTCACTATTCTAGCTAAAAGATTGCTGTTTATGTCTCAAGGGGAGAATCAGCGACATTGGAAACTAATGAATACCTGCAACACCTTCACGAAACCATTGCTGCATTTGACCATTGGCTGATGTTAATTTGAGTTGGTCTTTCAAAGCATCATCAGAGCCAGAAGACGACAGGGCTTTCCGCGTTTCGCTATAGAGGTGCTTAGACATATCCATGGTCCTTGTGGAGTCAGGTAAAGGCATTGCAGGAGAATTAATACCTTTAGTAGTAGTTGCTACACCGCTTTTGCCTTCTTTGTTTTTTGTTTCAGAATCCCTGGCTTTCTCGCTCGCCAAAACAGAATGAATAATCAAATTTCCATCGATCTTGACAAGCTTTTCATTCCTCGGGACAAATAGCGATGCAACTAGAGGTTCACTACTATTCCGAGGAGGCCCCAAGTTCTCTGTTTCAGATACGTTTCTTCTCATTCCTTGATCAGAATCTCCCCCACAATGTGCTCTATTACTATCAACAACCAAAACTCTTCCTCTAGACTGATCATAAACCCCATCAGTAACGTAGTTAGACTTATACTCGCCATAGCTAATGTTCACAATGGGAGCCAATGCACAAAACAGAAATAGACAAAACAGAAGACCAAGAACACTAAAACTAGCAACCTTCTTGATCTTCTTCACCTTAGCCACAGATTGTTGTGGTTTCAACCGAGGAATAGGAAGTAAAGGCACTTGAGAACCTTGCGGTTTAACCATATAAGCCGGATACGGCATCCACGGATAAGCCATTGGAGCCAACGGTGGATACATCGGTGGTCGACAAATGCCATTTCTGGGGCCCATCTGCTGCCTCAAAGTAACATTCTCAGCCATGAAATAAGACATCTTACTGCTCAATTCCGATATAGTGGAATGCATATTCTTAACTTTATCTTCAAGCTCCTCCACGTAATGTTTCTTCCTCTGTCTTGAAAGGTGAGCACTTTCACGGTTTCTAACTAGTCTCACGTTCTTCTTCTCAACATCTTCTTCACTACCACCTGTGACAACACTTGCAAAGCCATCTTGATCCAATCTCCTGTACTTATTGTTCCTAGATTCTTCGCTTGAATCTTCTTGAATATCTTTTTTCCTCTTCGCAGACTCTTGAGCCGATAAACTCAAGCTCTGAGTAGTACCGGAACAATCAGAATCCCCAGGAGATTCCCTATCGCAGTAGATTGGAGTAGATATTAACACGCCATTCGTATTCTTCTCCGTTTCTTCTTTAACACAATCGCCTGAAAGTTCCGACGCCGGCGTAAAATCACCGGACATTTCTTGATTCGTATCGTCAACAGGAATGGCGAAAGATTCGTTCCCAGAGGGGAAATAGAGATTGTCTTCTAAAGTAAACTGGAAGTCTCCGTCTCCGTCGTCGTCATCAATCAAAAACCTCAGATCAGAGATGGAGTTCCCAACTTGATCGGAGCTAGAATTGCAGAAATTGTCAAACGAAGAAGGAGGGATCGTGATGGAATCGAAATCGGAAGAGAAGGTAAGATAAGTGTCCTCCAAAACTGGTTCCGCCATTGTTGGAAAGCTTTAAGGTTTAGAGTTACTAAATTGGGGAAGAAGAAGAAGAAGGCTTTATAAGAGAGAAGGACGTTGGTCTCCTTCGACGCGTGAATTTCACTCAGGATCTGATCAGTGCATTGAATGGAAAGTGTAATAGACGCGCAAGAAAAGGAGCGTGGAAGATATTGGAGTCCATATTCTTGCACGTTGACTGCATTAAGTTGGAGTGATGCAGGGTTTATATGCTCTTTAACGGTTTTTTTCTTTTTAATATGCATCTCTGACTCTTTCTCTCAAAAACATATCTATCTTTAGGATTGGATCTTAAAACAAATCTAATCTATTTTATATTCAAACTTTGCAATGGAGTCTCTTTGACGTCACGCATGTCTCCTCTCTTCTAGCATCATTATTATATATGTTGTTGAGCTTAAATTTTTGGATCAGCTGTAAAAATCCGACGACCTAGTAAAAACCATCAGCCATGTATCGCCCCATCATGGAAGTAGATTTCTATCGGTAAATAATGGTTATATAGTTGGTGTAAGTGAATAATGGTTACAAGTTTACAATATAACCGTAACTGAAAAAACAAACCATAACCTAAAAACCCACAACCAGACCTACTTTGTAATAGGCTAAATGTAGCCTCTAAGTATTCGTGTCTAATACAAACACATTGTGTTCTCGACATAATCCGGAACAGTCCATATCGAAGTAAAGTCGTAACGCCTTCTATCCTTGGGTAAAGTACCTTCGAGGTCAACATACCTCATACTGTTTAGCTTCGGATCATAATATAAGACACGTAACAACTTTTCGTGATAGAGCCTGCACCTCAACTCGCCAAAAACGATCTCACCACCACGAGTAGCACCCAAGATGCGCCAATTTGAAAAGCCATGCATCTCGTAAAAGAAAATCCTGGACCATCCTTGTGTCTCCTTCCCAGCATCCTTCATAACCCAAATTTCCATGTCCTTCTTGCAATACACGAATCCTAACTTCCCTTGGTAGTTTACCAGAGTTGAAATGTCATCTGTATATGTTTTGGGGGCTTCGACATGATAAATTTTCTCAGACCTAACATCAAAACTCATCAATTTATATCTAGAACTAGAGAGTCTAGAGTTATAACTTGTAGTAGTTTCCCCTCGATAATAAATAGCCCCATTGATGCAAACTGCACCTTCAGGTGGAACGTGATGAGATCCAACACCTTGGAGTTTCCTCCACTGCTTCGTCTTGGGATCTCCCAACGTGAAAACTTGACAAGCCTGCTTCTTATAGTCTGATGATAGGAACAATACTTTGTATTGATTCTCGAGAGGGTCGTAACCAAAAAAGCAAGTGCCATAGTGCATCACCTCTGGTAAGTGAAAGGACTGCCTTGTGGTAGGGTTATATATAACTACCTTCAACATCAAACCAGAGAAACAACAAATCAAGCCGCGAACGTATTGCCCCAATATCCCAGGCATTGATATTTCTGCTTCCATGTCAGTATTTGGAGGGCAAGTAGACGACAAGACTAAGAAACATTCCACGTAGGGGCCTGGAGCGACGTCGAAGATGAAATGGGCATCACGAGGAGGCTGAGTCAGAGATCGAGTCACTATCGACTCTATGAAGTCTCTACGCCTGCTGATAATGGATGACCACAGCTTCGAGACACATTGGAACCTCACTAGAGATTTCGCCGGGAGTTTTTTTAGTATCTCCACGGTCAGATCCAGAGGAATATCAATAACTCCGCCGTGAAGAAGTCGTTTCGGCGAGGGTGAGGTCTCATGGCAATTCTCTTCGCGTCCTCTCTTCATCATTATCTGTTTTGTGAACCCTAGACTGATTAGGAACTTAAACAATAAAATTCTTCTCTTCGTGTCTTGTCTTCATCACTTCTGTTTTGTTTTGTGTGAAACCCTAGAAAAGAACAACGAGTGCTCTCTATAATCTATTTGCACATTTCTAAAATAATTTATGATCGTGGTACTATATTGTTAAAAAATTATAATGTAGTAGGGTCCTGTTTGTTTCTCCATCCAAATGATTCATCTAGATGAATCATTTGGATGATGTTTGTTTTTGACAATTTAACAAGCATTTGGATGGATCATCTAGATGATCCATCTGAATGAGTTTTTAAATTTAGGCAAATTTATGAAACTCATTTGGATGAACTTGATTGAACCATTTGGATGGAGATGGTTCATTCAAAAAGAACAAAAGACAGATATACCCTCTTATACAATCATATTTTAAATAATATTATTTTCTATAGATTTCTTATTTAATATTTTTAAAATTACATATTGGAACAAAAAAATACTCTAAAAAATCATGAAATCACGGATTATTATTTTACGTCAAAATCGTAAAATCGTGGAATTGCGTTTTTCTGCCAAAAACTGTAAAATCATAATTTTTGATGTAAAATTATAGAAAGCGCTATTCCACCAAAACTGCAAAATCATATTTTCCCGCCAACACTGCAAAATCATATTTTCCCGCCAAAACTGCAAAATCATATTTTCCCGCCAAAACTGCAAAATCGTATTTTCCCGCTAAAATCGCAAAATCATGTTTTCCCGCTAAAACCGCAAAATCATGTTTTCCCGCCAAACTGCAAAATCATGTTTTCCCGCCAAAACTGCAAAATCATATTTTCCCGCCAAAACTGCAAAATCATATTTTTCCGCCAAAACTGCAAAATCATATTTTCCCGCCAAAACCGCAAAATCATATTTTCCCGCCAAAACTGCAAAATCATGTTTTTCCGCCAAAACTGCAAAATCATGTTTTCCCGCCAAAACCGCAAAATCATATTTTCCCGCCAAACTGCAAAATCATATTTTCCCGCCAAAACTGCAAAATCATATTTTCCCGCCAAAACCGCAAAATCATATTTTCCCGCCAAAACTGCAAAATTGTATTTTTCCGCCGAAACTGCAAAATCATGTTTTTCCACCAAAACCGCAAAATCATGTTTTCCGCCAAATCTGCAAAATTACATTTTCAGGCAAAACCATAAAATCATATTCTTCCGCCAAAACCGTAAAATCATATTTTTCCGCCAAAACTGCAAAGTTATATTTTCCGCCAACGACAAATCATATTTCTTATCATATTAATTTTTTCGTTAAAAATCACAAAAAACATATTTTCCCGCCGAAACAGAAAAATTATATCTTTTGCCAAAACCCGCAAAATCATTTTTTCCGGCCAAACTTGTATAATTATTTTGTATATATTTTAATAACTATAAATAAAATTAATTTTTATTTGTTAAAATAATAATTTATTTAGTTTTTATATGTGATTATTTGTCAAAATGAAAGCATGGGTATTTTAGTCATTTTGGTCTATATGAGATTTATGATGAATTACAAAATGATCAAACAAAAAAAGATCCATTTGAATGAAATAACAAATATTAAAACAAACATCATTCAAATGCATCATCCAAATGAATCATCTAAATGGACCATTTGAATGCAAATGTAAAATGATGAAACAAACAGGGCCTAGGAGATATTTATTTTCAATTAAAAGGAAAAAATAATAAAAAAAAGGAAAAAATATAAAGTTTCCTTTCCCTCTCGTTTGCTTTGGCTTCCCGAGAGAGAGAGAGATAAGATTTGGTTAGCATTCCTCTTGTCTCTCGCCGCTCTCAATATGCTCCGATTTCGATTCTCATCTTCCTCTTGATTTGTCTTCTTCTCTTTGCTGCGGAGAGAAAAGGAACCCAAGGGTTTAAGCAAGAGACGCGGCGAGGAAGCTATCCATAACTCTCTAGAAACATCCATTCCCTTTTCTCATGGACGCAGCGTTGCCGGAAACCGCCGTGGGAACCGGTGTTATGGTTATCGGAGATAATGGATTGAATGTAGATCCTTTTCTGGTTGAGGCTTTGCAGAACTCTCGCCATCGTCTCACGAGTAAGCTCTGGTTTTTTTTTTTTTTTTTGGGCTCTTTGATTCGTGTCGTAAAACCTTATGTCTTGAAATTAGAGCTGATTTTTGTCATGTGGATAAACAAATTTGAATTTTGGCTTGGTGGTTTAATCTGAATTTAGCTGGGCATAGTTAGGTTAATTTAACCGCAATTTGGGGCTTTTGGGTTTCAGGAACTGGCTCTCTTCTTAGATTTGCGGTTATGTTGGTGCCCATTTTCTCTGTAATGTATAATCATGGTTAATGTTATTAAAGCTGTAAACTTTTGTACTATCCATGGTGTTCAACATTTGTAACAAGGAAAGTGATTTATATAGTTGGCTTTGTTTGCATCAGTAGTACTTTAATTTACTCGTTTTTGATTTTCTACTCGGGGTTTTCTGGTAGTAGCTTAGCTTTTGTGTGGTTATCTGGAACTGCTTGTGGTGTGTCCTGGCTTTTGTGTTTTTTTGCTACTGTACCTAAGCCTTTTGTTTTTTTTTTGTTTTTTCTCTTGTTTTGTTAGTTTTGCGGATGGAACTTGATGTTCAAAGGTTGTTGCAGAACCCTGAACAGCAGCAGTTTGAGTTCCAGCATTTTCCTACTTCGTATCTTCGTCTTGCAGCACATCGTGTTGCTAACCATTATGGACTAGCTACCGCGGTTCAAGAGAGTGGTGTTGATGGAAATGAAAACAGAATCCTTGTGACAAAAACAACAGAGAGCAAATTCCCTGCTGTTCGGTTGTCTGAAATCCCGGTGGCTAAACAATCAGAAAATGGTAAGTTTGAGAGCATGAAAGTTTCCATCAAGACTCGACCTTCTAAAGGATCTGGATATGGTGCTGGTGAACTGGAAAATAAACGTGGTCCTCTTAGAAGTGTGGAAGAGAGGAAAGAAGAGTATGACAGGGCTCGAGAACGCATATTTAGTGGTCTTACAGGTCTTAATTGTGATGACTCTTCATCTGAAACTCAGGTGTATGGGAGGAATACAAGTCTTAACAGAGATGACAAGCAAGTATCTAAGAATGCTTACGTTGAGGTCAAGAAGAACTTAAGCCTCAGGGAAAGTGGTCAAACATCTCGTGTTGCAATATTTAGAGACAGAGAGAAAGATCGCTTTGACCCTGATTATGACCGCAGACATGAAAGGTGAGTAAAGCAGCTGTTAGTTTACTGGCAAAACCATTACTATACTAGCAAAAAACAACAGTCAGTTTCATACATGATGTTTGATGATAATTGTGTGTGTGAATGCAGGTACATTAGGAGCCTTCCGGTGAATCAGAACTTCAATCTACCACCCTTCAACATTCAGCAAATGCCGACACCATACTACGAAATGGGATTCACTGGATATAACCATATTCCAAGTACTCCTGCTCCTCTTGGCTTCGTGCCAACTTCAAGCTCTATCATGAGTCCCTATGGCACCACAATGGATGCAATGTATATGCATTGGCCTAATGCAGCTATGATGTATGCTCATCCGTATGAGCAGTTAAGGAATGGCTCTCTCCAGGTAAATAACCATTTTCCTTTACTCTCTTTGAGATAGTGATCATGAAATGAAAACTTGTGTCTCCAAATAGAAGGACCATGCGCATAATAAGAACATACATTGAAAACTTTTCACCCACATGTTTACTATCTACTTATGCATAGCTGAGAACTCTTTAAGAGAAATGGATTTCTATTAAAGAGTTGGTTTGCTGCATTGTTTCCAACGGTTGTCTGAAAGTAGTTGTAACTTGTTTCTCCAGGCACAGTTCGTTCAACAACCCTTGAGCTTCGACTACATGCAGAACCGCTAGGTGCTCGTCTCTTTGTCAATCTTTATCTCTGTTTACCAGTTTTTTTTTTTGTAGAACCTAGGAACTGTTGTAATGGAAATTTTGGAGTTGTAATGTCAAAATTCAGGATGAAGATACCTTTTGTTCCTTTTACAATGATCAGATTCTGTATGTTATGTCAACCAATTGACTACTTTTGTGGGTCAAATCATCATCGAAATTCTCTGTTTTGAACTGAATGTTTAGTGTCATTGGCTGCAAAAGAGCTGTCCTTTAGGTTTGCATTGCACGAGATAAAGAATCAGTCTTCCAAATCTTTACATTATGCTATTTGTTCTGTTGATTCGTACAAGTCTGTGAGACGCAACAAAAAACAAAATCTGATTTTTTAACGGAATACGTATGTTAATGATGGAGAATTGCCCAAGTTTGCTGGTATCAACATTTGTTTACGAACCAATGTGGCGTCGAAGAAACATCGCAACTGATTTCAATGGTGTCCTGGAAAAATATTAGCATCAAAGTGAGTAACTTACAACTTCAAATAACCAGAACAGAATGGATATAGAGATATATATTACCATAGAGTTCGACTTTTGTTTCCTGGTTGTGTAATCTCCTCTTCTCTTTGTGGATCTGTATGGACAAGTCTTTGGAATTTTTCAGACAGTGCTTTGTAAGACTGAATCTCTGTTGGTTCGATCTGGCTAATCGCAGCTTTTAAATGTCGCATGCTTATTTTCTCCATTTCAAGACTCTCCTGATTGATAAAAGTGTGTAAGACACTTGCAACAAATTTCAGGCTTACCGCTGAAAACAAGAACTAGTATAATAATGAAAAAAAATCAAACCTCAAGTGCAGCAATAGCTGCTTCTCTGCATATCAATGATATGTCAGCTCCTGTGTAGCCTTTGGTAATGGAAGCGAATTCCTTTAAACAAATATCAGAGCTGCATGGGATTTTACGCAAATGGATTTTGAGTATTGCTTCGCGATCAGCTTCATTAGGAGGTCCCACATATAGCAAGCGGTCAAAGCGTCCTGAAACATTATAACATATTCAATTTCACCAAACGAACATTCAAATTTATTTGTGAAAATCAAAAGAATCAGTGAAAGAATGTAATTTACCAGGTCTTAGTAGGGCGGAATCGATCTTGTCTGGCCGGTTTGTAGCAGCAATGACGGTAACACCAACTCTTTGATGCAAACCTGAGTTCCACATTTAAGTAATCAGCTCCCTGTAATTTGACAACTGCATCTAGATATCAATTCAAAGGGTTCTTGTTACTAACCATCGAGCTCCACAAGAAGCTGGCTCATAACTCTGTCTGAAACTGACACCCCATCATTTTCTTTCCCCCTAATGGAGGCAAGACTATCTATCTCATCGAAAAAGATAATGGAGGGGGCATTTGCTCTTGCCTTTGCGAAAAGGGACCTAACAGCCTTTTCTGATTCACCAACCCATTTGCTGAATAGTTCTGGACCTTTGACCGCAAGGAAATTCAGCTTGGCCTCAGAAGCTACGGCACGTGCCATAAGGGTCTTGCTACATCCAGGTGGACCAAACATCAGTATCCCACTGGGTGGCCTTGTACCTATTCTCTTGAATGCGTCCTGATGTTTTTGAGGCCATTCTACTGCTTCCATTAGCTGATTTTTCACCTCATTTTGGCCACCAACATCTTCCCAGTTAACTTTAGGAATCTCTAATATCACCTGAGAGTTGCACACCAACCAGCAATTAGACCAGAGGTTCCAGAGGAAGAGACATAAACATAACGCCAATAGGTTACACCATAACAGTATAATTTATATAAGTGTTTTCATTCATGCAATTTGATATTTGACATGAATAAACTGAACAGATCATCATCTCAAGCAGATCAGAAAAACTACAGAAAATGAGTCAGAATGAGGGGAACAATAATACGAAGAGTTGGGAATAGCTCATCATAAAGTCAGCTAAATTTTCTATGAGGAAAAATAAAAATGGTCCATACCTCTCGCATGGCACTAGGTCTGATTTTGATCTTAGCGTTTTCAAAATCTTCAAATCCTACACTTAAGGTATGTTCTTCTTCTTTTCTAAGCATCTGTTCAGAACAAGAGTTGCCACTGCTTTGAATAGCATCCGCTACTAGAGAGACTGTCCCATTTAAACTAAATGTACGCTGAGCCCCTGAAGTTGTGGGTGAAACTGTTATACATGACGATGCAGAATCCGAACTATCAGATGATATGTCTGACATATTTGTCGAGGACTCAGCAATATGTACTTCTTCAAGAGGCAAATTGCTAGAAGAGGAACTCTGATCAAGATGCCGCCTTAAGCAGACAAAGGCTGCCTCACAACACAGTGCAGACAGATCTGCACCAACAAAACCATGTGTTGCCATAGCAAGCTGTTCAATATGGATGTCTGAAAGTGAATGCCGCATCCCACGGAGAATGACGCGAAGTATATCGGACCGTTGTGCAGAAGATGGTACACCTATTTTGTTAAGGAAATAGTTGAACACATATTAGGGAGTAAGAATCTGAACTACATCGAGGATGGTCTACTTTCCACAAGGTCTACTCTTACCAATTTCAATTTCCCTGTCAAGTCTTCCTGGCCGTCTAAGGGCAGGCTCAATGCTATCAGGCCTATTGGTTGCAGCAATTACAACAACGCCATCACTCCTACTTATTCCATCCATTAAATTCAGTAATGTAGCTACCATCCTCTGAGACAATTCTTCGCCTCCTTCTTTCCGAGCAGGAGCAATGGCATCCAAGTCATCAATGAACACCTTTACAAGAAACAACATTATTCACATCGCAAGCAGCTAACTTGGTAAGATATCTAATGTTGGGGTAATAAGTAAATATTGAAACACCGATAAATTTACGTATATAATAAAGAGGAAGGTGCAAAACTCTAACCACAGCTGGTGTAGCATTGCTAGCAGATCTGAAAACCTCATCTAGAGCTTTCTCGCTTTCGCCCAAATACTGGCTTATAATCTCAGGTCCATTCACAGAGAAAAAGTTGACACCAGAATCGTGGGCAAAGGACCGAGCCAAAGATGTTTTTCCTGTGCCTGGAGGTCCATGAATAAGCACTCCCTTGGTAGGTCGCAAACCAAGACTAAATTGATCATGCCAATCATAAACATACAAATAATTAAAAGTAAAACAATAAAGCATACATATCAGCAGAACACCAACAGCTTTCATCTCAACCTTCCCAGTGAGTCCAAAAAACAGAGAAATGAGCGCGACACAACTTAGGTGGACTACATAAAATGACTTTGTCCACTTTCCATACATGTTTACTTTTACAGTTCAAGTAGGCAAAAGATTTGGCTAGTACGGAGTCACCTAAAATATGTGCACTGGTGAAATAAAAGTCAAAATGCTCAAATAACTGCAATAGCTACCTTGATAAGGAATTCTTTGTGGACGAGGAAACAATTATGTCCCTTAAAATTGCATATTCTTTAGAGAGACCACCTAACTTTGAGATTTCACATCCCACATTTTCTCCTTCATCGTCTTCATCAAACTGGAGACCTTGCACAGATTTTCTCTCTCGAATTTCAGATGCTAAGTCCAATGTATGATGGAGGTAGACTTTAGTTTCCTGATTGATTATAAAAGCTTGATTTCTATTGGATGTATCAGATTGCCTTTTATCAGCCCTTTTGACACAGAATATACAGATTTCTGAGAGAATTGGCACAGCCACAAAATTCCCATACAGCAGGCTACAAGGGTAAAGCCACGAACTTGCACAAATCTGCAGAAGTTTCTTCGAACTTTCATTGCTCAACACCTCTCGTAGATCAATCGAGCTTTCAGATGAAAACCGCTGCTTGCTACTGAAAACAGAGTCCTGTAAGATTGGTGAAGCCGGAGATTCGGGGCGAGGAGAACTAAACTTTTGCAAGTTTGATGGTGTCTTAGGGGTTGAATTACCATTTCCGTTCTGCTCGTGAGAACTTTCAAAACCATTTTTAGCTTGTAACATATTCCTGAAGGGAGTCCACTCCAAACACAACTCTTTACAGGCAAGCAGCGACAGATGGTTAACATCATCATTGAGCGATCCACCATTCCCGTGAAATTGATCACTTAAAGAAGGTCCGCTAACAGGATAAACAAAAACAGTCCTGCCTGAAACAGGACAACCAAGCCCATAGCAAAGATTCAATGAAATACGAACAGCATCCTTCAAAACCTGCAGGAATTTGAAAAATGCAAGAAGTTTGAAATCTCTTTTCCAACCAAGGAAAAAAATCAGAACGCAAAGTTCGCTTCGAATCAGAACCATCTGACCTTAGAAGAAGAGAAAACGGTGGCAAGCACAAAATAGTTCCCTGGTTCATCAGCAATGCTACTCTCATTGTCATCTCCATATTCAGCTTTAATCGAGCTGAGTGGGAAGCTCCTCGAAAATCTACTCTCCGGGGAAGCCAGTGATACCTAACATTAGCATTTCAAAGCTTAAAAAGGATCAAAATTTGCAGTCATCGAGTGTTGATTCGGTATGAAGAGCTCAAAGAAGAAAGCTTACCGATACAGTGGAACCAGGACTGAGAGAAGCAGCGACCATTGAAGTTTCCGATAACCAAATCTTAGAGCCTCTGATAGAATCTGATGCAACATCGGCTACTCTTCCAATGATTGCAGATTTTCCGAGAAGACAAGGAAACGCAGCTGATGCTTCTTCAATACTGCGCCTAAGCTCTTCTTCGTTGATAAAGTCAGTATCTCGACTCGTTGTTGAAGACGCCGGAGTTTTAGGAGATGCAGGCGGTTCCGAATTGGATAGCCGAGATGGCGTCCTCGACTGCTTCTTCTTCGAAGGCATCTCTATAGCTTTAGCTTATCTACAATCCGGAGTAATAAGCAAAACTTGTTTCCAGTGACAATTAATAATGTTACAGAACGCCGGCGATCCTCGCCGGAGATAAGGAGCAGAAAGGAAAAACCTTCAATTTCTCCAACTTAGGGTTTAATTAAACCAACCCAGGCCCTCTCTTTTGACTAAATGAACCCAAGCCCAAATATTTAAGTAGTTGCAGCTAAAGTGTTCGATAAAATGTCTGAAAAAAAACTAAAGAGCATCATTTTTGGGGGAGTTCGCTCTGTTTCTTTCTTTAGGCGCACCAAACTGTAAGTATTTACTGTTATACCAAACAAATATCACAGCTTGTAGAAGTAAAAGATAATTCAGGACAGGAGACTGAAATATAACACCCAATAGATTGGTTTGAACTGAGTTTAGGTGTATCACATTCTGGAGTATAATGTTGACATAAAACTAGAAAATTCATACCAAAAATAAAAAAAATTGTTCATTCATATCTTGAATTACTCTCTTTAAGTGGATCTTCCCTGAAAGAATTGCCTTTTGAGACCTGGAAGATGAACGTTGACAATGTAATGCTCCCAGTCAATGCCTCTGGCATCAAACTCAAACATCTTTCTCTCTTCCATTGACATCTCCTGTATCAGACTTGTTGTGTTGGTGTCGTCAAACCTGATATTGACTTACGGGTCAGTAATCATCTGATTGCTTAATAAAATAACAAGGCCAAGAATGTTATTTACCGCGCTTGAAAGAACATGTAAGGCTTATATGTTCTTGCTAGGGACACTAAATAGTCCAGCCTCCTCTTTCCTTTCTTGCTCAATGTGGATATATGTGACTCTCCTTCCTGTTTTTTTATATTGTTGGATACAGAGGAGTTGAAACATTCTAAGGAACTGAAGAATTTCATAGGCGCTAAGTCTATCACTGTTTCTTCCAATGGAGAGTTACGAAGATGTTGATAAGAGAGGTCCATCAACTCGCCAAATCGCAAGGGATTCGAATGAGATGATGAAGTGACATTGTAAACTTTGAGCTCTTGGATACCATTACCACAACCATGCTTTGCCATGACTGCTATTGCCGCGTTCGCAACCATATCAACAGGTGTAATGTCCAGTAAGGATTTAGAATCTGCACAGAAACCGGAAATCTGGCCTTTGCCATAGGCAACGATGATTGGATCAACCATTCTGTTTATTTTTATATACCAAATGAAAAATTCAGTTAAAACCACAAGCTAATCTATTAGTCCCTTGTTAAACATTTTTTGTTTTTTTACCTTATTCCTTGGATCCAGCCAGGGAAAGGCTCATTGTAAGAGCTTTCGATACAACTAGGCCTTATGATCACTACAGGCAGATCTCCTCGCTTGCTGTGAATTTCAGTCTCACCCATGGCCTTTGTGAATGTGTAAGTGTTTTCCCAGCCATAGTATTGAGCTCTGGTCTCTCATAACATTAAAAAAAAAAAGCATATTTCTTTAGATTTCTGTACATAAGTAGCCAAGTAGGTGCATAAAGTAAACTTTTCTCGTATATTGTTACCTTTCAAAACCGAGTTCTTTCAGTTTCTTGACTTCTTCACTGCCATGGAACCTTTTTACAGCTTCTGAAGCTAGTTTCAGCTCGGAGTCGATGTTCAAGTCAGAAGTTATGTTTTCTCCAATGCAGAGAGGAGTCTCAAGTACTGTCCCGTTTTTCTTACCCGTCACGTAAGCTATATATAAATAAAAAAATGAGTTTCTGAAACTTTCTCTACATATTTTTTGCAAAACAAAAAACTCATACCAGTTGAAAAATGGAGGAAAAGTTTCAGTTTTTTGCATTCCTTTCCGAAGCTTAAGAGCCTACCAGGTCCAAGAGCATTGACACTTAAGGCAGAGTCGTATCTGCTTCCGTTTGTTTGGATTGAAACCAAAGTCAATTATTAATTACAGTAATAGTTTTGCAAGCACCGAAAAAACAGAGCAAGAAGAAGCAGAGGAAACACCTGTCATCAAATGTTGTACGACCACCACAATTGATAATGACATCAATCTCCTCACTAATCTTCCCTGCTATTTCAGATTCGATCCCGAGATTAGTTTCTCCAATGTCTCCAAGTACTGGAATTAACGTGCTCTTCATGAAGACTTCGTAAGAGCTCCCATGCATTTGCTTCAGAAGATTGAACAGATCCGAGCTTATGATCTGCGTGGAACAAAAGCGATACAAAAAGTTGTTAAAAAAAAAAAAGAGAGAATGCAAATGGAAATGTTTATAAAGAACCTCATCATAGAGTCTCTTGTTGGCTGAATCTTGATCCTTAGATCTCATCAGAAGAAAGATCTTCCCAACATCAGGACTTGTCCTCAACAATTTCTCAATCAACACTGCAACAAACCATTTTCCAATCCTAAAATCCTTTACTTGGATAAGAACAAACTCTGTTTTTAGTTTTTTTTTTTTTTTTTTTTCTTACCTTTAGCAAGAAGCCCTGTTGCACCAGTAACAAGATAGCATTTCCCTTTCAAGAAACGGACGATTCCAATTCCGTTACTGTCACCACTTGTGTCTGCCTCAGGCATCATAAACGACTTCACAGCTTTCAAAGACGTCTCACGATAACAACACAAAGTTTGGACTCTACGAGTCGTTTGTGACAAACGACGACCCAAGTAGTGGTTTGGTTTGCCGGCAAAAGAAGAGAAGAAGCTAACGCCGTCCAATTTGACGACGTTGCTTGTGGCGAGGAGATTTGTGACAGCCATTTTTAATTACCAGATAGAGAAAAATAATATGAAAACATTAAATTTGGTTATTGGAGAGCTTTTGTGTGATCATCATACTTTTATATATTATACGCTGTTCGGTCTCGGGTCATGTCATATAAGGTTTTCTTTTTTAAAAAAAGATCTTCATAATGAGTGAGAAAATGATCAAAATAATCCCCAACTTTCTCCAAATAGCAGAAAAAACATTTACCCAAGTTGCGTCATTGACCTTGCAAAATAGAGCCCATAATTAGTCAGATAATGTTTCTCTTGTAGTGAATTGTGCAGAAGGTGTTATAAAATATACATATATACAGATCCTATAATTATTGGATATACAAAGATATACTCATCAGATTTACAAGATAGTGTGACATCATATAGGGTGTGATCGTAAATGATTGATGTTATTATAATATTGTAACAACTCCCAACAACTCCAATCAATTTACAACTCTCTCACTTTAATGAAAACCCTACTCCATTAAGCCAACCTTGATACACATTGAGTGAGAACTTGGTTCGAAACAGCGGCTTGATCAGAGCCAATTCACATGTGATTAGCACAAAGATTTGTCAGACGGTCCGACATTATTTTGACTCCGAGAGTGTGAAGCCAATCTCGTCAAGTAAGGAAACACAACCCATTGAACTTCAGACGCTGTCGAGGTCACAGACTTGTATTCAGTTTCCGTGGATGATCGAGCCACTGTTCGTTGCTTTCTTGGAAACCACGCAACATGGAGCTTCCCAATATAGACTAAGTATGCGCATGTGGATGTATGATCCTTAACTGTTATTAGCGGCAAGAGAGCATCATAGCTGTTACGGATCGATTTCGTAGTTATACCATAGAGCCTTTTGGTGGATTTGTTAAAGCTTCTTGGAACAAAAATCTTATGTTGGGGAGTTCGCTCTGTTTCTCCTTTTTAGCACATCCAAAATTGTAAGTCTTTACTGTTCTAACATACATCACAACTTGTCGAAGGAAAATATAATTCAGTTAAGTAACACCCAGTATCTTCACTTTTTGATTGATACACTGAGTGAACACAAGCACTTGTACCAAAATTATTGAAGTTGTTAATCATTCTAAAGCTAAGTAAAGATGGTTGATTATATAGAAGAAGATCAACTTATTAGAAAACTAAGGAAATAGTGAAATACAAGACCCAACTTATATCCTACTGCTCTGGCAAGAGCTTAAATATATAGAAAACCCATGATTGGTTGCTATAACATTATTTAAGCTTGTGATTGATTGCTATAACATTCATATTTTAAACCACTCTCTTTAACTGAGACTTCTCACTGAAAGAAATTCCTTTTTGAGACCTGGAAGATGAACATTGCCAATGTAATGCTCCCAGTCAATGCCTTTCGCATCAAACTCAAACATCTTTCTCTCTTCCATTGACATCTCCTGTATCAGACTTGTTGTATTTGTGTCGTCAAACCTATAGTATTGACTTTTGGGGTCAGTAATCTGATAACTTTTTTTATTATTAAAACAACAAGGCCAAGTATGTTACATACCAAGCTTTAAACAGAAGTCAGAAATCTGGCCTTTGGCATAGGCCACGATGACTGGATCGCCCATTCTGTTTTTTTGTTGTTAAACCAAATGAATTTTTTGAATAAAACAATGAGGCTAATAAAGTAGGTCCTTGTCTTTGAAAAGAATTATTTTTACCTTATTCCTTGGATCCATCCAGGGAAAGGCTCCTTGTAAGAGCTTTCAATAATACTAGGCCTTATGATCACTACGGGCAGATCTCCTCGCTTGATGTGAATTATAGACTCACCCATGGCTTTTGTGAATGTGTAAGTGTTTTCCCAGCCATAATGTTGTGCTCTGGTTTCTCATTACATAAAAACATATTGTTTTACGTTTTTGGTACATAAAAAAAGTAAACTTTTATCGTTTATTCTCACCTTTCAAAACCGAGTTCTTTCAGTTTCTTGGTTTCTTCACTGCCATGGAACTTTCTTACAGCTTCTGACGCTAGTTTCAGTTCGGAGTCGATGTTCAAGTCAGAAGTTATGTTTTCTCCAATGCAGAGAGGAGTCTCTAGTACTATCCCCTCTTTCTTACCAGTCACGTAAGCTATATATCAACAACAACAAAACAAATTAGTTTTCTAAACTTGTCAACAAGAAACTTATTTTTAGCAAAGAAAATACCAGTTGAAAATTGAAGGAAAAGTTTCAGTTTCTTGCATTCCTTTCCGAAGCTTAAGAGCCTACCAGGTCCAAGAGCATTGACACTTAGGGCAGAGTCGTATCTGTTTCCGTTTGTTTGGATTAAAAGCAACGCCAATTATCATAGTAATAGTTTACAAGCTATGGAAAAACAGAGCAACAAGAGACAGCGGAACCACCTATCGTCAAATGTTGTACGACCACAGCAATTGATAATGACATCAATCTCTTCACTAATCATTTCAGCTATTTCAGATTCGATCCCGAGGTTGTCTTCTCCAATATCTCCAATTACTGGAATCAGCTAGCTCTTCATGAAGGCTTCGTAGGAGCTGCCTCAACAGTTTCTCAATCAACGCTGCAACAAACAATTTTCCGATCCTAAAATAAGTTTACTTGTACCAGAAGAAAACTCTGATTTAGGGTTTTGTTGTTACCTTTAGCAAGAAACCCTGTTGCACCAGTAACGAGATAGCTTTTCGCTTTTAAGAAACGGAGAATTCCAACTCCGTCACTGTTACGACGTGTGTCAGCTTCATGCATCTCTAGCGACTTCACAGCTTTCAAAGACATCTCATGATTACAACAAGAAGTTTGGACTCGACGAGTCGTCTGTGTCAAACGACAAGTCAAGTAGTGGTTTTGTTTGCCCGAGAGAGAGGAGAAGTAGCTGAAGGCATCCAATTTGACGGGGTTGCTTGAGGCAAGGAGATTTGTGATAGCCATTTTTAGTTATCAACAACAAAGAAGAAGAAATAGATTGTGTGTTTTATATGGCTTTTGTGTGATAAGATATATACAGAAAGTTACTTAGGAATTAATGCGGGTAGGTCTCAGATAATGTGTCATATTGTGAGCGTTGTGGAAAACAAGCTTTGGTTTATTGGTTTATAGCCGTATTTCTTGTCAATCTAATTCTGTCTACTGAATCTTTTCCATTCTAAATGAGACTGCTTACCAAAAAAAAAAAAAAAAGGTGAAGAGACCTTCTTTTGTATTTTGCACAGTCTATCTAACTGGTCTAAAGTTCAGATTTGTACACATTGATCGATTGTAACAAGAAGTTTTCTTGTAAATTGTAATAAACGAAACATTGTATATATATACAATCAGCTAGCCAAAGCTTAAAAGGTGAACCACTAAGTGTTCGGATAAATTTGTAACGTTTGTTGTGTACTAACTGATGAATAGAATTTTGCGAAAGGGAGTGAAACAATATGATAAACATAATTAAATGGTAGCTCTCCTCGTAAAGCGATATAGTAACTAGCAGATTGAGGATCCATATGGGCCATAATTATGATATAATATTCACTCATATATAAGACACAAGTACAGTACTATAAGACACAAGTACAGTACTCTCAGTTTCGATTCCTAGATTGTCTTCTACAATGTCTCCAATTACTGGATCCAACTCGCTCTTCGTGAAGGCTTCGTAAGAACTCCCGTGCATTTGCTTCAGAAGCTTGAACAGATTCGAGCTTAAGCAAAAGGGATACAAAAGTGGAAAAAGGAAAAAGAACGAAAAAATAGAGTTGAGAATAGAAATGTTTAAACAAAACCGCATCATAGAGTCTCTTGTTGGCTGATTCTTGATCCCTGGATCTCATCAGAAGGAAGATCTTCCCAATCTCAGAACTTGCTCTCAACAATTTTTCAATCAACACTGCAACAAACAATTTTCCAATCTGAAAAATCAGTTTATTTGGATAAAAAGAAAACTCTGCTTTAGTAGCTCGTTTATTAGTTCTAAAGGAGTAGGAGACTGCTGACCAAAATGTGCAAGAGATTTTTTTGAATATTATATTACACAATCTAAAGTTCAGATTATAATTGATTTTAACAAGTTTCTAGTTGTTCAGAAAAAAAAAAAAAAGTTGTTCAAAAAAAACAAGAACCTTTCTTGTTGTTGTCAAAAAAAAAAAACAAGAAGCTTTCTTGTAATGAACGGAACAGACTAAATACAATCGACTAATCAAATCTTAAAGGTGAACAACGAACCACTGTGTTTGATGAATATTGTTTGGTATACTTTATAAAACTGATGAATAGAGTTTTGTGAAAGTAACAGTTTAAGGAGATGAAACAATATATATATTGGTTGATACTCAATAAAGAGCAATAGGATAAACATAAATCCAAATACAGACATTGTAATCGTTGTTGTTCTATAATCATTTTGTGATACGTATATATAAAAGTTTATTATACTCGATGATCTTCCAAAATCCAAATACAGACATTGTTCAATTTGGTGGCTTTAGAGGGCCAAAGTAACGAAGTTTCTCTACACTAAAAAGAATCTCTAATATGAGATGAATGCTGTTGTTGGTTGTTGGAGTTTATGGAAACAAACTTTTGTGGCTATAAATGTTATTTGTACGGACTTGCCCACAACAATTTTTCACTCAACATTGCAACAAACAATTTTGCCATCCGAATATCAGTTTACTTTTATTAGAAGAAAACTCTGTTTTAGGTCTTGTTTTCTTTCTTACCTTAAGCAAGAAACCCTTTTGCACCGGTAACGAGATAGCTTTTATCAAAGAATATGTTATTTGTGAGAGAGCAATCTTGACAACGTAAAACAATTTTGACAACGAATGCGAGTGTGAGAATTGTACTCGGCCAAGTTTGTGGAATTTTAACATAGTTTTCCGCGAGTCTGAGGATCCATACATGTACTCTGGCAGACTTTGGAAAAAAAAAAAAAGTCTCTGGCAGTCTTGCGTTTTGTATTCATTTGCAAAGTTTTTAATTTTAATTATAGTCTTTAAGGTTAAATCTCAACCAAAACAGCTATAACTCTATACCAAAGTGGAATTACGATGAGCAGATAAGAACTCGATAACCTGAAACTTGTTTTGTTGCATATCTAATCAAGTTTATTTTTTGTTAAAGCATGTTTTTGTCTAAACAGCAGTAACGGGTACATTGGGTATATGAAAATGCTCAATATGAACTTGAAGGCTTATTAATCGCTAACTTAAGATTATCACATGTTTCTTTATTAAATAAAAAATATATTCATACATTACCGAAGTTTGATGTGAGACAAAACAAACAAATAAAATTTAAGAGAAAAAACTGTTTACATATTAACTTACTCATATACTAATTCGCATCACAAACCCTATAGTAATTAACATATCCATGTATCAATTTGGGAGTTAAATTCATGTATGGATTTCATAATTTATATATATCTACTTAATGAAACCCCTAATAAAAACTCCGTAAAGATTATCATATAGAATCGATGCTTCCAAAGTCATTCACATTGTAAAACGTATTAGAGAAAAACCCAGAAAAACCTGCCGACATCTGATCAGGTAAAAACATCTCTTCCCCATTCAACGGCGGCACATAACAGTCACCGACTCTCTCATCGAACGGCTCCTGATGAAGAACACGTGGCTCAAGATTCTCCGCCGGTGGAGAAAGGTTGTGGTCGTCGGAGGAAGGGGAATAGATAGGCTCCGGTTGTAGATCGACGGCGTCTTGGCCTGTGAGTTCTTGAACGAGCTCTCTGAACTTAGAAGCACAAGTTTGAACTCTCATGGGGTTTGAGATGTAACGGACTTTGATGGGTTTGTTCGTTGAAGTCGTCTTCTTCTTTTGCTTTGGTGATTTTCTTGAAACCGGAGATGGTTTTCTCTTGTCTAAGCTTGTCGTGGTGAGAAACGTCGATGATGATGACTCCATGTTCGGTTCCTGTAAGAGAATTCAGATGTTTTTGATTTATTTTCTTAATCAAATCTCTAGCTTCAACGATTATATATATATAACGTTTTTACTTTTTTCATATGTTTGGAAGGTGAGAGGAAATTAATGGGAAGGAGAGGTTGCGGATAAAAGGAAACAAACGTATTGAATGACGGCGCGTGTAGGTCACTTGTCTACCGATAGGTGGGATGATTCGAAATATCTACTTTTGAAGTTTAGAGCGTACATCTCACTCGCGGTAACGGTCGCGTGGTGGGGAAAAGGAACAAGAAGATAGGTTAAGTGGTGATCAAGGCGAGGCGGCGGCTGCTCTCACTACTCATGGAGCTATCGTTGAAGCTCCTCCACGTGAATGCTACTCTCATCCAAATTACGACGTCTTACATGACATCACCATAACTCCTACGGGATGACGTCACTCGACTGGTCATTGACAAAATGGAAAAAAATCTTTCGTGGAAAAACACCGCATATTTTTTTTGTTTAAGATAAAAATTGAGTTTGGTTTGTTGTCAGTTGTTTTTTCATAAAGTTTGTAATCAGTTGTTGTTTATGTTGTTCCACAATATATATAATTAATATTTTGGATATAAATACCCATTCGATTTTTGGTTCGTTTCGGGTTTAATTCCGGTTTTCGGTTATAGGAGTCAAGGATCCATTCAAATATTTTGTCGGTTCCTTTTTCTTTGTTCAGTTTCGGTTCGATTTCCGGTTCTGGTGTTTTTGTCCCGGCCTACTCGTAAGAAAATTTACAATGCATTCACTTCAAATGATATTTTAGTACATCAACAAAATTACAGACGTTTGTGTGTTACCTTTCTATGGAGTACATGTTAGTTTGGTCTTTAATATTCAAACAGATTCGAGAATAGGAGACACAATACTTTTTTCCTTTCAATAAATTTCATTTTTCAAATATAAATTCCGTAGTACGGTGTTTTTATGTGTTTATATGGTTGTTTGTGAATTGATTTACTTTCGCGTGACAATAATTAAACTACATTAGTACATTACGTTGAGTAGAAACCATCAATTTAAATATATTTGAATCATGGTTTTCTATTTACAAAAACTGACTGATAATAATATTATAAAACACTAAAGATGCTGATTATTAGATTATTATTAGAAATAATTAGTTTAAATTTTATTTTTGACGTTTATTTTATAGCCAAAAAAACAGTAGAGGCCATAATCATTAGTGTCGGGTACAATAATTTAGAAGAAAATAAAGAGAATATTAATTACGGTAAGGGTTAAGAAACGAATAGGAGATGAGGGGTCCACGTGAGCAAGTGGGAAGAAAGCAGCATTGTGGTCTCACTATCACAACCTCTCTGCCGAGCCTGCGTATTATATAGGGTCCTTTGATCTCCAAATATGAGTGATTGATGCTTATTTAACGTGTGATTTACGGCGGATTTATAAATGATAGTAAGAGAAAACAAAGCATCGATATATGATTTAATGTTTTAATAAAGTCAATAGGGTTGATTCATGATTTATAAAGAAAAAGAAGAGTTATCAAAAAGCTAATTAGTCGGCTACTAGAAGATATGATAAAACGATTAAAAGCATCTTTTGATCGAAGAAGATCTTCAAAAGTCAAGTCACGTGTATACGTAGACCCTCTTTCCACTTCTCCTGACAAATTCATTAATTTCCACTTTATCTCAATGTCGAATAAAGTTTTTTTTTTTTTTCGAATAAAGTTTTGTTTTTAGAGTATCACCAAAAAAAAATATTATTCTATAATTTCTCTTGCCATTACTTAATTACATAATTCAACTTACAATGTTAAATTATTATCCTTATTTTATAAATTATACATTTTAATAGAATAGATATTTTCAGATGCTTCTAAATACATTGGACCAACTTTTTCATATTTTATTTTGGTAAAGACCAACTTTTTGATATAACACTTAAGAAATTCTGATGTATATTGGATCTTAATCTTTCTGAAGTTTGAGATGCATCATTTTAGTTGCAGGAGACTCAAACTCGAATCTAGGTTAATATTTTTCATTGGTGTATAGCTGGTTGAATTATCCCCCATCCTTACTGGTATTTTCTTATTTTTCTGTAAGAAAAAGAGAGAAAAAAACAGAGATAAGACAAATTTAAGGATAAATGAAAGTTGCAATAAAATAAACAAATATTATACGTGTTAGAATTTGTGTGATCAGTAAGCACGTGCGTTGACTTCCAAGTAAACGGATTCAAGCGACTTTTGCTTCCTTGTGGAAAAACCGAAAAAGAGAGGTTTAACTTCTTTATTGCACTTAAGGTGTAATTCGATTATATCAAGACAAAAGGTTAGAAACTAATCATGTCCACATTCAACGTTAAAATAATTCGAAACTTGCAGAAACATGTAGAACAACGCTGATTTATTTTTAAGTAACATCGTACTAGTATATTATCGAATCATATATATATATGCGATGAGCCGATGACTGTGACGACGAATTGAAAATCTAGAGCTGTTGATATGGGCTGGATTTTATTACATATCTTTAGTATAGGAACAATAGCCAAAAAAAAAAAAAAACAATTTCAAGTTTGTTTTCTTGGTCTTATCAGAAAAATTATATTTATTTAATTTACTGTGAATCATGTTTATACTAAAAACATGGAAAGCACAACTAAACAAATCAAAATATACTTTCAAAGTATATAAAATCAGAAGAAGTTTTTATCTTCATAGCCGGAAAAAAAGCATATAAATATACTTGAACTCTCATTACTTGTCTATAGATTGTACTCCCTTTTAGTTGTCGTTTAAGGTTTTTTCACACAAATTAAGAAAAACATTAAATTTTCTGTTTTACCCTTTATTAATATATTTTATAAAAAACTTCATTGGCCAAAACATTAAAACAGTGGGGATAAAACTGGAATTTTCACCAAACATTTGCATTGAAAACCTAAAACGACAACTATTATGAAACAAAATTTACATCCTAAAACGACAACTAAACTGAAACGGAGGGAGTATATATTACAATTTTTCTTTTTTAAAACGGAAAGTTTTCTAGTAATCCACATTCCTTATTAACCAACTCAAAATAATAGTACATAAATATGTGACTCGTTGCGTTTTTACACAATCATGCTTGACAATATTAATTAGTTTAGAATAACTTCTACGCTGAGCCTGCGTATTCTATACGTCTTAAGAGTTAAGAGTTATATTAAGTTTTTTTTTTAATACAATATATTAAGTTATTGTATAATAAGGAAATTCGTATAACTCCTTTTAATGTTATTACAAAAGAACATAGGTCCAGCAAAAATTCAAATCACAATTCATAATTTTCTTAGATTTCTTTGGCAATAGATTGGAGAGACGCCAATGATAGATGAACAAATGCGTTATGAACTGAAGATGTGACAATTTATCGCTGAAAGCATTATCATGTTTTAACAAAAAAAGAGTATCTATCATGTTGGGCCAATGCAAGCATGTCGAGTATCAAAAACCTATGAAAGAGTCAAAATTATGGGTCCAACTTTGATGTTAAAATTCATGTTTGTTTTGATATCTGTAATTATCAGTCAATTGTGCTTTAATATTGTTCTCCTAAATTTGATTTAGTGATTATAAAATAAAATTTATCCTAAAAGAGACCGTAGTTTGAATATTTTTTCACTACGATTTTTAATCATATAACAAAAGTACTGCAAATAAATAAAGTTTACGTAGAAAGTTGGGCCAATCGTTCCCTGCTCCTTTCTCTCTCTCTCGAACCTTTCCCTTTTCTAGATTTAGATCTGAGTTTTTGTTTCTTTGTTCTTCAGTGATTAGTCTTGGTTTTGCAAGGAGGAAGCAGGGGTGAATGAGACCTCCTCTCCGTTCAACGGCGGTGTGGTTTCCTCCCCAATCGATGCCACGACGGCTCTGATTTGGTGGCAGAGAAGACTCGAAGCTGAGACCAGTTTGGTAGAGGACGCCGGTGGATCACTTCGGACTCTTCTCACGGCTCAACCATCAGATCGGAGCTGAAGCGGCGGCGGAAGTCGTTGGGAAGGTTGGTGGGTTTAGTTGTTTCGTTTGGTGGTTAACAGTAGATCTCTAGGGTTCTTAGATGGCTCACGTGGGCTCCGATATTTGGTTGGTTGATTGAGCCATTAACCTCCTCTTACCGCCGCGTTGTTGCTTCCACCGGACCGGATCGAGGTGGTTCTTGCTCGGAGTGGTCTGACAGCTACCAGATCTGGAAAAGAAGGATAGATCTGTGGACAATTTGCTTGGTATGGGAGTTGTCATCGGCGAACCGGTGAGTCGGTGAACGGAGTATGCTGGGAGTTCTGTAGCGGAGTTGATGGCTCGTCGGTGAAGAAGCGGAGTCGGGAATAGAATACTTCCGGCGAAGTTTCAGATCTGATGGTGTTGTTACGAAGTCGTGGAACTTGTATTCTCCAGTATTAATGCTCGAGTTCTCTGCCACCGATGATCACCAGGATCCGAGCTTTTTTCCGGTGACGGCATGTTTTCCGATCACTTGTTTTGTACCTGTTTTCGATTTGTAAAGCCCAAGGCTATTTGGGTTTTTAGCCCATTAATGAAAGAAAAAAAAAAAAAAAAAAAAAAAAAAAAAAAAAAAAAAAAAAAAAAAAAAAAAGTACTGCAATTTTATGATTTGATATAAACGTATAATCTCATAATCATGTCATATACTTTAGTCTTGAGAAGTCAGCCCATTATACTGCTAAATGGGCTTTCATGGCTCATTAAGTCTCACCCCCTCCCTATTAGATTTGTAAGAATTATTGCACCGAGAAAAATATCTTCCTTGGAACCCTAACCTTTTTCTCCCAATTAAGGGATCTTTTGTAGAGATAGAGATAGAGATAAACCACACTGGTAATAAATTGAAGATTGTCAAATTTGTCGGAATCCTTGATCAACACAACACATGTTCTCGATTATCGATTCGATCTCCTCCTAGTCTTGTAATTTTCTTCGTGTCTGAAAACTCCACCAGTGATCGGTGAGCGAACATCCTTTCAATTCTGGTTTCATTCATGTTATTGAAATCGTTAATTGTGTATTACTTGATACGATTAGAAAACATTTGTTTTGATTTTTGGAATCGAATCATTTGATGCAGGTGTCAAGCTCCATGGATACCGAACTGAATTCACCTCCTCATGATGATGGTGGTGATACCACAACCACTTTTCGAAAGCCTTCCAATGACGGGGCTAGCAGAAAATACCGCCGTCGAGCTTTAGCTGACGATGGCTCATCTTCATCTGATGGTTAGTTCGTATCTCGAAATTATCAATAGCTTATTTATTATATAGACTGTAACATTAGCGTGTTTGATTGGTTATAGCATTTTAGGTGATGGGGTTTAAGATGTTTTTGATTTATCATGTATTGTGCATCTTAGTGGCGTGTGTCTAGCTAGGGGTTCGATTTCTTGACTGTTGACTATCCGTTTCATGTCCTCTTTAAGTTCTAGCCATATAGCTTAGTATAGATCTGTTGGTTCTTGTTTTGTAGGAAGTCCTGAACGTAATCAGAGCCCTAATCCAAAGCATTCTAGGGGAGATATTAGGAAAGATTCTGAACCAGTTCATGTGAGGAAAGAGGATAGGCGGGAATCTGATCGCAGCCTCTATGGTAGAGGTGGTGTTGATTCGCATAAACGCGATGGGTACTCTAGGGATGATAATTACGGATCTAAGCGTGATGAGTACAACAGACATGGGAGGGATGCACATCGTTCTAGCTATGATCCAAGAGGTGGCAGACATTCCGACCGCAGAAGAGTGGAGACTGAACATAGCAGGTCAAGAAATGATTCAGACAGACATTCCCGTGATAAGTATAGCAACTCTGGACATAGAGTCAATAGTAACGAGAAAGGTCAAGATTTGTCATCTGGTAGGAGACACGCAGACTCAAGAGTGGAGGATAAAGAGAAGGATTACGTGCGGGGGAGAGATTTTCAAGATGAGAAAAGAGGTTCTCGCTGGAGTTTTGGTGACCGCTATTCCCGTGATGAAAGAAAGGAACATGAGGACCCTGAGATTAGAAAGGAGAAGGATGTTCATGTCAAATCTCCAAGAGACCGTTCTGATGATAAATGTTTGGCCACTGAGAATCGAGATACTCATTCTAAGAAATTGAAGGGGTTCATATCAGAGAAGTTTACTACTGGCAGTACTAATGGTAAGACTTTCCTTCTCTTGTTTTCAAATGTTTTCTTTCTGTTATGTAGCTCCTTGCTAAGTTATAGTGCTACAGCAGAAGAGAAACAGACATCAATCTTAAAGCCTGAACCCGGTGATGTTGATGCTGCAAAAGTTGCAGCTATGCAGGCTGCTGAATTAGGTAATACTGTGTTGATGCTATTCATAGACTTCTTGGCTGTTATTCTTCATTTATTTGGCCTCCTTACTGAATTGACTTGTCCATGTTTTTGTATGCTTAATGATCTTGCCATCCGAAGATACTTAATTGAAAGTCATGCTTTATCTAGATAATATTGTTTCTATTGAAAATGCTTACAGAAAAACCTACTCATGTCTGCTTTTACCTAGTTCTTACCTTAGCTGTTTTGCTTCGATGAATCCAGTGAATAAAAACCTTGTTGGAACGGGTTACCTGACAACAGATCAAAAGAAGAAGTTATTGTGGGGAAAAAAGAGAAGCACGGCTTCAGAAGAGGTATCTTAACTATTTGTGGATATAAACCTTAAACTCAGAATTTTTCCGTGATTCTACTTTTGCTTATATTCCTCCGAACCAGTCTGCTCATCGTTGGGATAATGCTAGTGCGCTAATTGGTGACCCTGAACGACAAGAAAAATTCAACAAACTTATGGTAAATCTCATCCTTCCTCCCCTACGTACATGTTTTGCTTCCATTGATTGTATTCCTACCTCAGTGATCATCATAATATAGGGCAATGAATCCAGAATTTTGCAAAGTCTCATATTAAAAAAGTTGCATAGAATTGATTGTGTATAAAGTAATACTAACACATTTTCAGAGTCTGAGGTTGCGTTGGTGCATCATTGTAGGGTGTGAAAGCGAATACAGTAAACCAAGAGCAGAACCTGAGCGAAGTCGAGGTGGAGAAGCAGAAAGAGTTGCAGATGGACCTAGAGAAGCAGTACACAGCAGGGTTAAGGAGGAGAGATGGACGAACAGTAGGGTTAGGTCTTTGAACCTTTTTGGTAAATTATTCTCATACTCTCGTCTCCTTCTAAGCAATCTTGTAGCATCTTCTTTTTGTACTCTACTACTCTTGCCAAATCCCTTGATCAAAGTTACCTCAATGTGTGTAAGAATTAAGTGCAGTAACCATGTTTTGAGACCACCCGAGTTTGGTTTTGATTCCGACCTAAAGAGTGAGATATTGAATTGTTGTCGGTTTTTTTTTTACATCTTTGGTCGCCGATTGAAATAGAATTCGTGGACTCAAAAAGTGTTAAGCTTATTAAGCGATACCATTAGAGCTATTCATGTTAAACTATGAAAGCATCTTGACATTAATTCTTCATTTGCCCTCGTTTCAAAAACAACAATGTGTCCATTGAAAAATCTATACAGTATATGTAAAAACTCGAGAGTGTTTCATTATACGAAATAATTGGATTTAACCCGAAAAAGCATAGAAACTCTTCGAGTGTTTCACTCCTCAAGTGTTTCACTCCTCGCACCTTTATTACAATCAACTCCACATAATGTTTCTCTCAATTATTTCTCAGGGTTTTATGAGCTTTCCGGTTTTCAAATTGCTGGATTTTAGCACTAAACCCAAACCGAAAATGTGTCAAGATAACAGGGTAACTAGTCGAATCGGGCGTGAAAACATTAATCCAAATACATCAAGTTTAATTTAAACTCGAAAAGTATATAGAAAACATTGAAACTATCCAATACTATTTTAGATATCTATTAAGATAAAACAATATTTTTTGGATTTAACGTCTCTATTAAAATTTAGACATATATTATCTTTTACTGTCTACTAATATTATCCATATATTTTCAACAAAAAAAATATTATTCATATATTGCAATTTTTTGCTCATTTTTAATTTGACTCTTTAAAAATCAATCACAACACTACACAACAAAATAAAAATCCACAAAGAGGAAGTATGACTAATATCAATTACATATGGAGCTAACTGGATACTAATTTTAATCCTCAACTGGTGAAATCAATTAATTGGTAGGCTAATTTGTTGGGTTTTTTGTTTGTCGACTATTTGAATCAATCGAAATATTTGTATAAAAGTAAATTAAGAACATATAAATCAATATAACTAAAAAGTGACATTTCAGTTTGAGTCATAATATTTAAACGTTAATCAAAACAAAGTTGGAGATAGAGAGATGAAATAAGATAGTTTGAGAGAAGAAAAGACATCTCATTAGTTATTACATTTAAACATAAACTACTCTTAAATAAAATCTACCATCTTGAATACGTAACCTTGACCTACAACCCTTAGAAGATCAAGATGTGCATTTGTCGGACGAGGTAGAAGTACCCAAAAGCCTTTCGGTTTTACTGCTTTAATAGCAAACCGGATGTCGGGGTCTCCGCTAATTACTAGCATCGTTGTAGGTTCCTTGTGTTGATGTGAATGCCTTTGCATCCATGCCATCATTCAATGATGATTTGCTTTTGTCTAATGTCTTTTGTTTGTTTACGTAGTTCCGAAAGAAAACGAGAATTAGTTAGTTATGTAATAATCATCAAACCTAAACCAAATATAAAAGAAAATATCACGGTTACCTCTTAGCGAGTCCATAATAAAGACCAGCAGACTCAAGACACTCACTGTTTCCAGGGATCTATGTTCATCATTCTCATGGAAGTCTCTTTTATCACCAACTGCATGCATATGGAGTTCACATGTATAACCAATTTCACTCAGCCCGTTTTTGAGGGAATCCACAAGATTAGACAGATTAGTGTTGTCCCCAATGTGACAATGCACAAAGTCCCAGAAGGATACATATCGGTGCCGCCATGTATAGAAAGTTCGCCACTTTTTCAACTTGTTCCCTCAAATAAGAGTCTGATAATATAAGACATGAAAATATGTAAGTCACCAAAAGAATTCATGACCACACCCACATATATACCATGATAATCCTATGTAGTTTCTAATTCACAAGTAGTAAATGACTATTGAAACACTATGTGGTTATCATTATTAATTTATTAAATGATATGATTACAAATTCAGATTTATGTGCAGCTTTGAAATCATATTGAGAAGAAATCGTCTTAAATAATAATGGACAAATACAATAATTTTGGACAGATATTACCCCATCCGTTTCAAATTAGTTTTCGTACAAAATGTTAAATCTTGTTTCAAATTATTTATTGTTTTATGTTTATTCATGTTTTTGACAAAAGTTTTAATTTTATTCATGTTTTTTTTATCTTATTAATTGATGATATCAAATAAACTAATACATTAATTAAGGCAAAACATAAAAAAAAATATATGTTTTTAATATGTGCGAAACAACTAATTTGAAACAAAAGAAAGATAAAATACATCAAATTTCTTTTAAACTCGTGAAAACAAATTGAAAACACTTGAAATAGCCAACATTTTGTGAATTCATATGAGCCTAGATTTTTCACAACAAAAAAGAAGCCACCATTAATTAAAAGAATGTCAACACAGATGTAGAGCCGTGAATTCGGATATTTCTTTCTATAATTAATGGGCTTGTTTGAAAATATAGGCCCATAGACTTATTGCGTTTGTGAATATCAATACAGATTTATGTCTTTAGGAAAAAATAGGCCCATCTTCACCGTAAATAAACAACACAGATTAATAATTTTTCGCATTACTACGAAACGCAATTAATTTATTGGTCAACTTGAGTTGTTTATTTTGCCAACTAAAAAGTGAAATTGCAGTAATAGTGTTATTAATTGGGAAAATATGACTCTATAACCATAAAAAAATTAATAATTAGGAAACTAACACCAAACAAAAAAGATGATGATATTCTCAATATTTTCTGTATTAATTCTACTTTTGCCCCTACTAAAACACACGCACCTCTCATCTCCTTCTTTCTACCTATCTCACCATCTCTTATTCCTGGCCAGACCCTAACTCTAATCCTGATTCTAGTCTTCTAGATATGTCGCAGAGTGATCGACAACTCCACGATTTCGTCTCTTTATCTATTCAAGTGACTTAAATGATTGTTGCATGCCTTAAAGCTTCGAGTAGATCTCCGACGGAACTTCGAGAGCAAAAAAGTGCGGCAGCCAAACTAAACGAGTTTCCAATTCAGTGGCGAAAAATGGTGGAGGAGTGGTAGTGGATATGACTTCTTCCAGATGAAAGAGAAACGATGCTAGATATGGTCCAGAAATCTCCGATCAAAATCGGAGCTAGCAAAGGCTTCTTCCGACGGTGGCGTCCGGCCTCGGCGGTCTTCAACGATGCAGGGAAGGTAGACCTAAACCGACGAAATTCAATTTAGCCGCATCAGAAATCACAGCCATCGTCGATCTATCACCCGTAATGATTCAATTTGATCGACGTATCAACCTACTATCTCAGCTTCCTCCACGACCTTCCAACCCGAGACTCATACGAAGTAATACTAAAGAATATAGCTCAATTCCCTACTTTTCCAAACCTACCTGCTTCATTTTTCGATTGGGTTTCCGAATCAACTAAATAGCATGAATGTACTATACTATTTTGTCGTTATGGAATTAACAAAGTAATCAATTGAAGTTTATACCGATTTTGGTGTTCTTACATCTTTGTTTTGATTGGTCTTACAAAGAACAAATATGTAACTAAGATGATGACGAAGACGAACTATACTATTTAAGATGATGACGTTACCATCTGTTTTCACTCTCCTCAAGCACACGTACAAAAAGAGAAACGAGTGAGAAGGACTAAGTGGACTTTTTACCCCTCCTTTGTGTTACTTACTTAATTTCCTTCTTTATAGTGCTATATCCTTAAATATATTATCAAAATGTGTTATTTCTGCAAAAGACCCTATTAATTGTTGCACAAAAAAAAAAAAAAAAAAAAAAAAAAGGAAGAGTGAATGATTATTGTATTTTCTAATTTAATGTTTGATTTCGAAGTAAATTGAATTCGTGGAAACATCCTTCTCAGAAAGAAGAAGATCAAAAGGTTTGGTTGTTGTTGTATCGATCTCCAAATCCAGACTTATTCGTCACGAAATTTGCTCACCGATTGTTGCTTCGTCGCCGTCCTCTGTTCACCCGACGAAGATGAACGGCGGTCCCTCCGGTTTCCGTACGTATCATCGTCCTTCTAACGCTTGATCAGCTTCTTCTCTGAAATTTCCCACTCCTGATTTAAATGTCGATTTCTGAGTGATGAATTGTTGACGTTGCAGATAATGCTCCGGTAACGAAAGCCTTCGTTATCACGAGCGCCCTTTTCACTGTCTTCTTCGGGATCCAAGGTCGTTCTTCTAAGCTCGGTTTGTCTTACCAGGTATTCGCATTTGGTGTCTTGTGTTGTGAGTTCTTCTTACTCGTTTTGAGATTTTCGGGGAACCTAGGATCTGATTCTCTGTCCGATTTGTTTGATTTTGATATATTAGAGAAATAGGCGCTTCGGTACTAAGAATGGTTCTTGTTTTGGTAATTGGTGTGGTGTTTAGTCAGTGTAGCTTGTAAGCATTCATCTGCACAATCTTGGTTTGCTGCTTTGTTGAAACAAACGACGTTTTATTCTTGGAAACATGCCATAATCATCATTTTATGAGCTTCTACTTCGATTTTAGACGCCATGTGGTGCTGAATAATAGATGATTTGCTAGGAGGGTTTTGACTCACCGTCAAGTATTAAGGAGTTCGATAGCTTCCATTTAATTTTCTGTTTCTGTTTGCTAGTGACCTGACAACTGAATGATGTTTGATTCCAGCATCCCGGTTTATGATTCTAAGTTATTTGTAGTTGTTGTTATGTAAATCTAATATCTTAAAATACAATTGGTCTTTATAATCTTCTTCCAAACTCGCTGCAGGATATTTTTGAGAAGTTTCGGATATGGAAGTTAATCATGTCGACTTTTGCCTTCTCCTCCACACCAGAATTGATGTTCGGATTGTATTTGCTATACTACTTCCGCGTTTTTGAGAGACAGATTGGCTCAAATAAGTACTCGGTAAGGGATGCTTGTAGCTCGACTCTCTTTGTTTGGTATATATATTCTCATGTGCTTTATGTTTCTTGTTCACTTGGAAAACTGGTTACGAGAAACGTTTACTGGTGATAATTCTTTTTTTTCGTTTTTTATATTTAAATTTCACTATTTTCTTTTACTTACAAAAGTTTAAACAGAGAGTGTTCCTGCTGCAGGTTTTTATCTTGTTCTCAGGGACTGTATCTCTATTACTCGAGGTCATTTTGTTATCACTGCTTAAAGGTACCCATCATTCTCTTTCTAGACAACCTCTTTAAAGCCTTTGCTTGGGCTTATTAGTAGGATTTGCAATAGTGGCACCAATAAGGTTACTACAAGGATTGTGGTTGTTGGTTCACTTAAATTGGCTTCATTTCCATTCCTACAAAAACTATGGAAAAAATGCAAAAGGAAGGATTGTGGTGCTCTGAATTATGATGTGGGAGCTAATGAGTTATGATTACATTACTGCGATGATCTTAATTGGTTTCAATATCCATCCTATTTTTCTTTTTGTTCTAATTTTTATGATGATCTCTTACAAGATATTGTCCTGGTCCATGAATTTGATTATGTGTTTCAGTTCATTGGTTTTTATTGTATATATTTATTGCAACTATCTGTTGTTTCTTTCTCAGATACCACAGCAAACTTACTAACCTCTGGACCATACGGCCTGATATTTGCTTCGTTTATACCCTTCTACTTGGACATTCCTGTTTCAACAAGGTTTCGCGTATTTGGTGTCAACTTCTCTGATAAGTCATTCATATATCTTGCAGGGGTTCAGGTAATCAAGACCATAGGTTTAATTGTATGATAATTGTTGTTCGAGTAGTGTCCTTAGTATTGATAATCTTCTTGGTTTTCTTGTTTTGCAGCTTCTACTATCTTCTTGGAAAAGATCCATCTTTCCTGGAATTTGCGGCATAATTGCTGGTTCCTTGTATCGTCTGAACATTCTTGGCATCCGCAAGGCAAAGGTTACACCTTTCTTAATTCTAACCTTTTTGTAGAAACAAACACATCATTATTTATATCTCTGTCAGGTTGTTGGCTTCTTAGTTTTCAATGTCACTAGAGTAACACTAAATTTATGTCTGAACACATCACAGTTCCCTGAGTTTGTGGCTTCGTTCTTTTCGCGGCTGTCTTTTCCCTCTTTCGGTAACTCTCCTCCTCCTGCCCCAAGTAGGAACATCGTTGGGACTATATCACCTAACACAGGGCGCCGAGCAGAGGTGAGTCATCCTTCTATTTTCTCAGTAACATCCGTTTTGCCTTTTAGCCAAACTCTTAGTCTCATCTAAAACACTTCTTCGTTTACAGAGATCTCAGCCAGCTCCAATGGCGTCAAGTGTGGAGCCATCTGAGGAAGCCATAGCTACATTGGTATCAATGGGATTCGACAGAAACGCAGCGAGACAGGCGCTTGTGCACGCCAGAAATGATGTCAACGCCGCCACAAACATCCTTCTCGAAGCACAATCCCACTAATTGAAAAAGCGTTTTACTCTGAATGGGAAGAGGCAGAAACATTGTTAATTCCAGCTGATGCTTTCTTCTGCTGCCATTGGACAAACTTTTGGAGCCAACATGATCTCACCATGTATGATCCGGCCAAAGATCTGACCAATCTTTTCTCTTTATGTTCGTAGTTAGGACAAATTGTGTAGGTTATGTAGTACAGATTTGGAGTTAAGAGAAACACTCAGAAGCTTACCTATTTGAAACTTCAAAACTTCAAAAAAACACAGATCTTACTACATCTGTTCTTACAAAACCCATTTACAAAAGAACAGTTTGGAGGCCAATGAAAAACCTCTATAACTCTGCTCTTGTTTACATACACTGATTTAGCATTTGACTAGAAGAACGTGGGAAGGTACAAGACTAAGTTTGGAACCAGTTTGAGTAGATTTGCAATGAGACCTTGTAAAGGCACAAACTTTAGCTTGCTTCTTTTTTTCTTTCATCCATGGTGTACACTGGTATTTCCCAGTTCTTGTTCTTCTTAGGATCATCAGTTAAGGTGAGATCTGTTTCGTACTCTTTGAATGTTTTGAAGTAAGTTTTGGCTCCCATCATTACCAGTCTCTCCATCATGAATAACTGGTAATTATTTCCGATTATAGGATCCAGAATCTCACTAAAATTCGATGAGTAAGCCAGTTTGTACCTGCAGTGTAAGCAAATCCGAAAACATTTCACAAATGAGTCCATGTAAATGTATAAGCTTGCACACCTAAATATGTAACCGAAACATCAAAAAAACTTAGTCGACTACGACTTTCCAAGGATCTGATAAAGATTAATTTACCTGACGGCGAGAGGAGAGAAAAATCCAGGCTTCCTCTCATTAGAGCCAATAAAAAGAGTCCTTCCTCGTGGGATCCGCTTCTCTATCCTGCGAAGGATAAACTCAGGGCGCGTATCTCTGTCTAGATGAGGAAATTGAATCCTTTCAACTCCAAATCTGTCTTTTCTGGTTTTCAGTTTGTCCCCGCGACGAACGTGGATGGCATCATAATCACCAAGTTGTGCTTTTATCTATAACAACACCAAAACTTATTCAAGCTTAAACTCAAGATGCAGAGTAAACCTCAGTTGGTCACTAAGCTTAGTTTGCAAGAGATTTTGCACAAAAAGCCAACATTATATGAATTATCAATATCTTGCAGGATATGTATATTGGTTGAAGGAAGTATTTTCCATGATACCTTTTCTGCGGCGTTTCTCAATTTTGCAGCTGCCATATTAGGGAGAAATGAATAAGGAAGCATGACAGCGCTACGATTGCTTCTATCTTTGCACTCAACGAACCTACACCCAAATTGGCAACAATCTCACAGGAGTTAAATAAAGGAGATTATAAATAAGAGAATAAGAAAATTGATGATTATGAAGCAGACTTCCCAAGTTAAGTTACACACATTTTCATCAGCTTGATCATGATCTGATCTCAAAGATTCAATTCCTAAAACTCCCAACGAAAAGAATAAAGGAAGTGATTACCATGCAAGAGGACTTGCGGTTCGGTTAATGATCAAGAGATTTGAGTAGTGACTCTCTGTTAGCCTATGCCGACTGACTCCACTAACATGTGCAATCCCTCTTTCTCCCAACTTCATACTTGTGGATAGAACAACATGCCATGTTTTGGAGTCATCTAATATCACCGGTATCTTCTCAGATATGAGGTCAATGTCATACAAGGAGTCCATTGCACAAGAGCTCCCGACCCAACTAAGAAATCCAAAACCGACCCTTGTGTTAAGTGAATGCCACTAAACATTTCCCCAAGGTTGCAATAGGCAATGCATATCTTAAGAAAACAAACAAGTCAAGCGGATTACAGAACTCACCCTTCCTCTGTAGTTTTGTTATCAGATCGATTGAGTATACCTTTCTTATTATGTATTGGATTGATGCACATTCCAGAAGGCATTACAAAGGTCCTGCAACAAGAACATTGTTATAGAATTGATCATGTCCTGTACTAATATCAACCCCATAAAGCTTCAGACTTTTTCCTAGAAAGCCTAAAGAACTCAACTTTAATCTCATGGAATTCTTGAGCACATTATAACCCAGAATTTGACAATTTCACAGCTAAAGTTTCCATTTTGTCTTGGACGAAGCTCAGAGAGGAAATTCAGTTACCTGTTAAGAAACATGGCTTCTTCAAGTGCACACCTGAGGCTAGATTCTTGGTGACCCAAGCCAGCACAGGTCTCGCAGTTTTTGCCAGGACAATCGATTCTGTTTCCCCAATACAAGTACTTCTCCGACAATGAATGATGTCTCTTACCACGAGGAGACCACACGAAATAATCGATTAGGGTTTGTTGATACGGCAATCCCAATTTTCCGGTGGAGATCACCGAAGAGAAGAGGAGGAGGAATGCGAACACAACTATACATAACAGAACAAGACGCTGAGATCCAGGAGTGGGTTTGGTCCTTTGAGCTTTGCTCATTGTCGCCATTAAGGTGTTTCAAGACTGAACAATGCGAACGAGGAAGAAGAAGAAGAAGAGTACTCGTCGACGGTTAAACACAGAAGACCCGATCTGAAGAACGGTCACGTGAGGTTCGTCTCCGGCAGCTGTCAGAAGTGTTGTGGCGGATCCCAACATTCGTTGAGCTGATCCAGAGATGATAGCTCCGATAATGCTTCTCGGCTTTGGCTGCCATCAAAAGGCTCTCTCGAGCTCGACACGTAAAGTTGGCCGCACAACGCCTGAGCAAACCGGTTTAATTAAACCGAACCGAACTGAAATCGGAACAATTCGGTTCCTAGTTTGTGAGAGATTATTAATTAAGGGTTTTCTGCAAAAAAAAATTCATTTATCTTCTTTTCGTTTAAGGTTTAAAACAATGTCAAGTCATCCATCTAAGGAACATAAAAGAAATTCATTCAATCAAAACATTTTTTAAAAAAAACATTGTAATGCAAAACGTCCCTTGTCTTTTTTGACATTTTTAAGAAATTGTTTCTGTGGTAGATATTTTAGGGCGAAACTTCATTTTATAGCTTTTTAGTATGCATTTTTCAAGTGTAATTTAGTGATATTTAGGGGGTGTTATTGGTTTATTAATTTGTAAAACCATATAGAATTTGAAATTTTCTATTAATTATGAAATCAAGATATATGGATTTTGAAATAACATGTGTTTACCCATGGATTTGAATCCTTCTATTTTCCTCTTTCAATTTCATTCAAATCCATTTAAAACATAATTTGGATTCTCAAATCCAAAAACAAATGACTAAACGAATAACATAGGAATTTAACTAGTATTTATAAATGATAGAACCAATAACACATGATTTTAATTAAGATTTTAAAATCAATGATTGAATAACAAATGATTTTTGTTTGGAATTCTAATTCCTTATAAATCCATGAACCAATAACCCCTCCTTAATTAATGAAAAATTAGTTTCCCAACTTTTGAAAACATGTTAGTTTGCAAAATACATATATGTTCACAAATTCCCTCTCTTTTTTTCAAATCCTTAATCTAATTCTCTACGCTTTCTGCAATGTCCGAGAGGATACACCGTGCAAGAGTCTGACAAAACCCAAGAAACTTAGCTTCCCATCAGAATGTCTTATCCAATCTTGAAGAACAACCTGAACAGGCACCGATGGACCGAGTCCGAGTTCCTGTCAACAAAACAGCACATTTGCAAAAACGCATCAAGCACCAACCAAAGACATCATAATATCACATCTTGAGGAGAAATTTTATACCGTTGCAAGTTCTTCGATCATGATGACTCTGTTCCCATCCTTCTCAAACAACTCATATGCACGGCGTGCGTGTTGCTCCCAAGTTTCCATTGCTTCTAGCTGATAAACACTTAAAGCTGAAGCGCAAAACTCTTCAAAGTCTAGTTTCTTGTACTGAAGACAACTAATCTGCAATCCAAAATATCATTTTGTTACCATCTTAACCCACCAAACATAGTGAATATATAACTTAGTCTCATTGCCTTACCATGTGTACAAAATCCAAGACTCGTGAATCCTTTGTAGCCTCTGTGGAGCTCTTCAGGATTGCCTGCAATTTTTAATCACACAGTAAGAAACCAGAAATATACTAGTACGAAGAAGAGAAAAGCGAATGAAATAGAAACTCACTGTTTTGTAATTCTGCATCGAGATATATCCGTTTTTGCTCGGTCCTAACAGATTAAACTGTTCTTGCAAATACGTCAGCTGCGGTACAGTTAAAGTTTTGGCAAGAGCCTGTAACCATGAAAATAACCCATTAGGGATTTTTCATCCATTAGTCCTGAGGATCAATGGTAAAGCTGAATAAACCAACTCACCGCTAAAGCCGATTTTCTCAAAGACGACGACATTATGTATACTTTTACGAGCTTGTAAATGATCATATCAGATGGTATCTTTAATTCATGTGAGCCAACAAGCCACGGATGACCTGAAACATAAGATAAATTGTTCACATATATGTTTAGAAGCATGAAAATATGATATATATTACTGAAATAGAAGCATCAAGTTGGTTATAAAGACTTACACAAAGCCTGTGCAGCAGTTAGTCTCTTACGGTAATCTTTATTTAACAAACGTTTCACAAAATCTACAGCGTCAGGTGAAAGAGATGGCCAAGGAGCTTCTTCGAAATTGGGTTCTGCTTTAAGAACAGCTCGGAAGATTCCAGATTCAGAACGGGCCCAAAATGGCCGGCTACCACAGAGAAGTATATAAGCAATCACTCCAATACTCCACATATCTGCCTCAGTTCCATATGTACGGTGTAAAACTTCAGGGGCCACGTAATAAGCACTTCCTACAATATCATTCAACCTCTCATCTGCAGAAAGGGTAAAACAATCAATTTTTTCATCTACCATTGCGATAAGCTTCAAAAAGAGAATCCTTAAAAAACTCTCACCTGGCCTGACATAGTCGGAGAGACCAAAATCAATGGCTTTCAAAGGAGAAGACTCATCCTTTGTAGTGAAGAGAAAATTCTGTAAATGAAAAAGAAAACAGAGAGCAAGATTCATTAAGGATGAGAGAACAGTCTAGAAACCAAAACAAAACGGTTAAGGATCTATTAACCTCGGGTTTGAGGTCACGGTGAACCACGCCTTGAAGATGACAATAGGCTACTACACTAAGAATCTGAACCATTACTTTTTTAGCATCTTCTTCTGAGTATTTGCCTCCCCTGATGATTCCAAACAAAGAAAACTCAACCAGTCAAAGCATGATACAATAGAGACAAGAGAGAATCATGCATGATGTAGCAATTACCTTTGAAGTATTTTGTCCAAGAGTTCACCGCCTTGGCATAACCTAATTACAAGAAAGAAAGAAACTATATTAACTACTTTGATCTCAAACATTCAATTGAAAGATGATTCTGCGAAAGCATGGAAATGCGAAATCTATGAAGCAACTTTTACTTACTCCATCACAATGTAAACATTTTCATCATCTTCGAAGGCGTCATAGAACTGGACTAGGTTCTTGTGACCAGTCAAAGCCCGCAATATTTTCACTTCTCTTCTAACATCCTCAATTGCAATTGCCGTAGTCATCTACCGAAAATAGCATCCACAATATTAAAAAATACAAACGGTTAAATCAATAAAGGGGTTCATGAAGACAATTGGTTTATCAACATCACTCAAGAAACTCTGTTATTTTATTCACGCTCTGACGAAAACCTACACGAGAATATCAATCTCACAAATTCAAAATCTAACCAACAGATAACAATTGACAGCATTAGACTTCTACAGTGGATAAATGCAGACAACTTAATCAACTAGCAGTCTACTATACCCATTGGTGGTTGACAGAGCTTCTCAGTAGCTAACTTCAACCAAACAAATTGTATCTGATAGCACTTCGGGCAAAAAATGTAGTAAACAAAGATCCTAAACAAAATGCACGAGTCACAGTTCCAGCTAAGCCTAAGCCTAGGCCTACGAACTACACATGGCAAATGACAAGTGGAACCTAAGGCATGATCATATCATCATAGCTTCAAAGGAATCAACAGATCACAGAGAGATTGATAAGCATTACGAACCTTGGATTTGGGAATAACTTTGACAGCTACATCTTGACCTTTCAAGCTACCTTTTTTCCCCTTAGCAGAGCAAGTATACCCAAAATGCCCTCGACCCACCTCACCATCAATCTCGTAGTGTGAAGCAAACTGCTTAGAGAACCCAAATTTCTTGTCAAGACCAACCTCACACTCACTACCTTCAGGGATCGAAGCTTCATTGGGCTTAACAGAACCGTGACGACGCGCGAGGAGAGCTCGTATGTGCTTAGCTGGTGATGGAGGTGGGAAAGGTCGCTTGAAGATACGAAGTGGCGTGGAGCTCACGCTCGAGGATGACACAGCTGGTGAGGTTTTGAAGAGACTAGGTAATGGACTTGGACTATAAAACGGAAAGCCTGAAGATTTCGCCTTCTGAGATGAATTCTTAGGTGTCTCTTCGATTTCATTGGAGATTTGGAGATTCTTCGATTGTTGTTCGATAGGTTTCCCATGACACAGCCCCATCAATGGAGATCAAATTAAGAGTAAAGACGGAAACTTTAACCTTTCACACAACAACACAATGTCGAATTTAGATTAAATTTCCAGAAATAAAAAACCGAGAAAGAGAAAAACTTCCCGGGAAAGAAACAGAATTTCTCCCGGGAAAAGAGTGGAGACAAAACCCAGAAAAAAGGTAAAGCAATTCAACTTTCTAATACATGGGAATGCGAGATCAAAGAAGATAAACCAAAACCTAAATCAGTAAGAGTGAAAGAGAAGATATATAGACATAGGAAGAAGAAGAAGGAAAGAAGCAAAATTTTCAGTTCCAATGAGAAGGAAAGTAAAAGCAAAGGCGCTAAGAATAAAGGTAGTGAGAGAGAAGGGTAAAAAAGGAAAAGATGCTTATTAGCAGAAGAAGAGCACCAAGAAAAAAGGGCATCAAAGAAAGAGAATCAAAAGAAAGAAGTTTCCTTTTTGTTTTTCTTTCTTCAAAAATATATTTCTTTTGTTAAAATGGGATCAATGTGTAAGTTTTAGTAGCTAAGAAAAAGTCATATTCCTCAATCTTCTTTTTCCATTCATTGATGAATAATAATGGAAGTGGGGTTTTGCTAAGTTTTGGAACATACCTTAACCAAACCAGCCTGTCTTCATTCTACACATAACCCAAAGTTTCTTTCATTCCCAAATTTTTATTAATATTTTTTTGATTTTTGTAATCTCTTAAATCCTTTCACCCATATCATGAACATGATGAACTAATGAGCAAATATATTAGTAAAATATGAAGTAGGTGTGGAATTTGTTATTGCATATGTTATGTGATGCGATGAACATGGCTAGGTGTGCTTGTGTAAAACACAAGTATTGGAACTTTGCTTGTTTGTTGGGTTCCAAACTTTGACTAACTTTTACGATCTTTAAGGTATTTGTGTTTTGCCCCTTCTTCTCATACTTAATTGTTGAATGATCCATCTCATTTTATCATTTTATTATGTTTATCAAAATTATGCATAGGATAATCTTACTTATATTATATAGATTGACATCTTTTTGTTTGTATAGGGGCTGATTTTGTGTAATAATGAACATACTCATACAAATTTAGATTTATCTTTATTAGATTGCGTTGATCATTACTAAAATAAAATTAAAGTAAAGTAGATACGTAGTTTTCGTAAGAGAGTTTGTATGTTCAAACATTTGTCCTCGTATTTCTATGTTTTAAAGATGAAACCGGTGCTAGCTGGAGACCTTACGCAAACTAACTTTGGTTGGAAATTTTGAAATATCAACTAATGAATACTGTATTTAATTAAACAAACGTAGTAATCATTGAATTAATTAAAATAAAACATAATTTGGTATGAAGAATAAAAGATCCGAGAAAATACGAGAAGAAGAAGGCTAGAAGCACATGCATGTTGGATATAATATTCCTCTTGCTTCTCCGACTATGACATTGATCAATCATTGAATGTTTTTCCCCGCCAATTTTATTTAACTGGTTACACAAACTTTTAAATATAGTCTATATTAGTATTCGTTATCAAGTTTATTATGATGATTACACAATACATTATCAATTTAAAAAAGTGATGGTGGCATTTAATCCTCAAATGTGTATCAATAGCGACATTGAATTTTCTTGATCGTGAAGAAAACTCACTCTTTGCCTCGCATACCACTACAGAAGCATAATCAGACGAATAATACTTATTATATTATATGATTGGATCTTCATATTCCTTTTCCCCTTTTGCTTTTTTCTTTTCTGTTTTCTGTCAATTATTGTGTTATACAATTTCTGTAATATTGTATAGTATAACGGAATAATGTTTTAAAAGATTCTTTCCCTTTTTCTTCTATAAACTAAACAAATATTCCTTGACGACAGGAAAAACTACATATCTCAATCTAATAATCATGTGTTAATGCAATATGATTGATTCTTAACGCATGAATTAAAATACTATAGGTAAAATGATCGTAACTTTCCAACATTTCCATAGCATCTCGATGAGTGCTAACTAATGTTGATGGTAACTAATGAGGGCTAGAATATTATAACTAATTTCTTTATGAGTGTTATACTACTCAACGTTTATCTATATGTACACACGCTCAATTTGTTGCGCAAAAGGAAATGTCAATTTGTACTTTTGCAAATCTGCTATCAAAAGCATTGAGTTTTCCATTTTTCTTTCATAAAAGTATAAAACTCATATCAATCATGTGATTAGTAAAGATTCGATTTTCTTTTGCTAGTTTGTGGATAAAAAAAATTGGGAGATTGTAACATAATGCTGATTAAACCCTTATGTTGATATTTTATAAAAGATAAAACATTTTGAGTTTTTGACAAAATCCATTAATAATGATTTAATAGATGAAAACCTAAAATTGGTATGGAAAGTTGGAAACTTAGAAGAATAAAGCACAGAAACATTGTTGTTGGGCTTTTTGAGTGAGAATTTATTATTGGTAGCGAACAAATCCAAAGCAATGAAGAAAATGGGAGAAAAGTAGGAAAAGCAAAGAATTCTTATTCCTTGATACCTTCATCTCCTCCACTTCTTTATATGTCTGTAGATTCGTAAAGAGTCTAAATTATAAAAGCTACATCTTTTGGATAAGTAGATGATTCATGATTGCATACGCACTTAATTCCAAACTATTGTTGTTTTTTTAGACAACTGTTATTGGGTCTCAGTTTCTGAATGTGAATCAGTGCTTAGGCTGGCCCAATACAATACTTGTTAGTGGAGATGATTTCGTCTTTCACCTTTCTGGGCCTTCAGCCGAAGACTTATCATAAGTAAGACAATTTTCTTTCACTGTTTTTTGGACTTGCTTGGACAATCTAATTAAGAGCTAACCTTTATCATAAGTAAAGGTCGAATTATTTATAATGTCATGAGTATTATTTATACAAATATATGTAGAACATAAGATATATACAGTTATCTGATTTTTCTCATGAGACAATTTTTATGTTGTAGATAGATACTACTCGAGCTAAACATAGTTACATAACGTGCGTGTTTTTTTTTTTCTTTTGACGAAAAAAAAAATAACGTGCGTTTTTGTCTCTTCCTTTTTTGTCAACAGCTTAGTGTGTTGTTAATGATTGCTTTGCTATAAATCTATAATTTCCAGAAGAATATACAAATTCAAATTGTACTTTGTTACAATAGTTTATTTTTAAATGGAACTTTAATTATTCAGTTTTTTTGAAAAGCTATTATTTATGTTTTCTTTTTGGTCGAGAGGTTGAGTATCGAGGAGACACCAACTCCCTCTACACCATCACGCTTCCTAGACATACTTTCTCGATTTATATTTTCGCTTTACTCTTTTTTATTTCTTCAAGTTCAATATGTTATATAGTGTTATACTCTTTTTACTATAGTCTCTCGGGAAAAAAAAAAAAAAAATACTATAGTCTCTCAAATTGCAAAATGTGACATTCACGTCAGATTTTGGAAAAGTTTTCAAATGTCCAACCCCTTAAATAATCATTAATGAAAATTTAAGAATTTTAGTTTTTCTTTTTGCTAAACATAACAGTATATATGCGGTAGTCAAAAGGTATTCAAATGCAAAATAAATAAAAAAGGATAATACTTCAAAATTATCCGATGTCAGCATAGGAAAAGTAAAGCACTGTGGTATCGGGATAAATAAATTAATCAAACATAAGTTAAGAAATTCACCCATACATCACCACAATGTGGCTACTTTGCATATTAAGAAATTAGTTCATCCACACAATCCATATTATAGATTAGAGAAAAATAGAAATGCTTTTTGTCTCATCGAAGAATGGCCCCATCAATTCTTTCCTTTTCTCAGTTCTCTTTTTTCACGCCTTTACCCTGCCTCTTCATTGTTGTTTACTCTTTTTTTCTTTTCTTCCAATCCACTAATGTTACAGATACAATTTAGTACTAGTAATTAGTTATAATAAAGATTTAGCTTTATAAATTTGCAAATTTTATGAAACTGCATATAGTTTTTAATCTTAAAAAATCCTGCCTTGTGGTACTGTTTCTTGTGTCACACCTTCTCGCGCCATTACCTCCTTTTCAAGCACTAATTAATCCGTCCTCCACATTCATAGATTTATTTACATTAACAGAAATAGGTTCTCACATTTGACGAAAAGATTCTCCAGTTTCGTCATACCTACTTTGTTGTGAATCTGTGCTTGCTTTTTCCATGTGCTCCAAAAAAACCTAGAACTAATACTAATATATTTGAATTTTTTTTATATATTACATATATAATATGATCGATTGAAGGAAAAAGGTGGTCAAACAAATATAGAAAAATACTGTAAATAACTTTGGTTAAAATTTTCTTCAAGGAAGACACACACAAAAAATGAAGGTACAAAAATATTCAGAAAGATACGAACAAAAGGCAGAACTCTTTAGGGGACAAGATAACATGAGGTAGCTTTGAAACTCTAACACTTCTCCATATATTCTTTCATTAAGATTCTACAAACAGCTTCTCTTCACTGTCCTACATCGTACGTTCACTTTATATACACCATTTCATGATGCTTTTAAGTTCTATATATAATACATTACACATAATGTTTTGAAAGTCTTGTTTCTCTGCAAGTACTTTACCCAATCACATCTCTTTGTTAGATTCTTCTGCCTGTACAATTATTCCCACAGTCAAATTATAACCTTCGTCATCAACAATAATACTTTACGTACCCCTAAAAATTGATTTTAACTTGTACAAATTATAGTTTCCCATTTTTTTTTTTTTTTGTATTTTGCTTTAATAAGAATCCAAAAAAAACACACAAATTCCTACTTACAAGTCACAACATATGTTTACACTCATTACTCAAAACTTATAACTAAATCCAAATAAAGTCTTTTTTAAATCAAAAGATTTGTGGTAATTATAACCACGTTAATTGATAATATGATAAAATTAAACCCTAAATAATTAGTGCTCAAGTCTCATCAAGATCAGACCATTATGATGTGATCCAGAGCACGACGTCGTTTTAACCTTTCTTCCCCACCACCACCTTGTCCCATCATCACCGACTTGCTTGACCGTTCGAGCAAAGACTTAAGTGCGTTCTGTAGAAAATTCACCGACTGGACGCCGTGATGCTCTTTGTCGGCGGCCACAACAAGAACGTTTCTTGTTCGACCACCGACTGTTGTCATGTCGGCAAAGAGAGTTTCCATCTGAAGATATTTGAGTGTCTCCATGAGATCTTGCAAGAGATCTGGCCTGTCCTCGCAGCAAAACGATACCTTAAAGATTATCCGTCGACCGTCGTCATTGGAACAGTCTTCAAAGTTGAGTACACTGATTTCGTCTGTCTCCGACGGTAATGTTTCGTCGGTGATTTCTAGGGTTTGTTGTTTTAGTTCTTTGACTCGTTGAACCACTTTTGCTAGTAGTGTGGCTTTGTCTGTCTGTGTAAAGAAAATAAAAATAAAAGGAAACAAGGAAAGAGAAAAGGTCAGATCATTAGAATTTGTCTTGATTCAAGAAATTTTGTCTTGATGTTCAATTGTTTTCAAATGTGAAAAAAAAAAGCTCGATAACTTTCCCGACAAAGTGATAATCAGCTTCAGAGAAAAAAAGGACTTGTAAGCTTTTATTTTTCCTCAAATTTCTAGATATTCCCAGTACTTGCAGCTTTTTTATTATTCGAAAACATTACATTGGACTGATGTTAGTTTAAAAATGGTTCATTTTCTATAAGTGATATACTTCCAATATTCCACCTTTCTTACCAATAAATAAAATACTTGACACAATTGACAGTGTATACTGTGAATAATTAACCAAGCAATATTAATTAATCAAGAAAAATAAATAAAAATTTTGTCATTTGGTTATATAGATTTAAATAAAACACACAAAAGTCATGGTGAGATAAAATCCAAAACTCTAATCCTTATTTCAAAAAATATTTTCTAAATTATATGTATAGACGAGTAAAGAAGATAAAATGTAGGAGTTAATTTCATACCTTAAAAAACTCAAAAGAATTAATAGTTTCATCACGTTTAATCTTCAATTCTTATCTTTTAAGCTTTTTATGATTAGTTTCATTATTCTTTTTGTTTGTTAAAGAAAGTTTCATTATAAGTTTAGAGTAGAGTGGTGATATAGTAAAGTAAAAGATTTGTACCTTGGAGTTACAAGAGAGTAAGTTGCGGAGCTTGTTGAGATGGAAATTGATTCTTTCTCTTCTCTTTCGCTCAGCTTCTTTATGGTTCCTCAGAGAAGCAAGAGCTTTGTCTTCAGCAACCTTGTCTTCTATGGCAAAAGGGGAAAACAACGATGTTGTGGTGGAGGAATTCGACGAGGAACATAATCCTCCGGTGAGGAAGGAATAGAATATTTGATCTGAAATCTCTGGTTGCATTTTTTTGTTGCCGTTGTTTGCTTCTCCGCCGCCTTCTTTTTTGTTGGGTTTGGAGCTTTCTTTCGGTGGGTTCTGTCCTAAAAGGAAGATTATATATCTATACAAAAATGAGGTTGGAGAGAGAGGAGATGGACATTACATACATATATATATATATATATTCATATACTGGTGTTTGTTGAAGAGAATAATAATTTTAAATTTTTTGAAAAAAAGCTTCATTAGTTTTCCCACAAACGAACGATTGCCGTTACACGCATTTGACGCTTTATTATTGTGTTTTCTCAAAAAAATGTTTCAAAAAATAGATATTTTAAGTTTTTTTGCAATATTTATTAGTTATTATTGATAAATTATAAAATTCAAGGAAATCATAGAAAACTATTGGTTTAGTGTTATAGAAAATTATAAATACCAAAAATAGTATATTTATTATCAAATTTTAATATGTGTGAAAATCATAGAAAATACATTAACAATTTAAATAGCTCTAGATACCAAAAGGAAATTTGTGATAGTGAAGGCCTGAAGGGTGGCAAGTGGCAAGCTAGCTATTCCAATTTTTGTTTACAAAGTTATAATATCACAAAATTAATATTTTACAAAAACAAAAACGGAAAAGAAAGTTTTGACTATATATCTTTTACTCCCTCCGTATTTTAATAATTGTCGTTTTAGAATTTTTATTTTTTTGAATTAGATGTCGTTTTCAAATTTCAATGCAAAATTTCTTACTTTTTAATGTTTTATGATGTCATAAAACATTAAAAAGTAATAAATTTTGCATAGAAATTTGAAAACGACATCCAATTCAAAAAAATAAAATTTCTAAAACGATAATTATTAAAATACGGAGGGAGTATCAAATAATATCATATCAAATTTTAATAACAAAATTTGTTATCGTTTTTTAGCCAATCTCCTTACAACACATCAACAACTTTCTACGTTTCTTCTTCTTTGAAAGGGGATTTTATTGAAAGCACAATTTTGATATATTTCATATTTATGTAATGGATTTATTATTGAAAAATGGAATTAATTGGCCTTTAAGACTGTTTTCTACTTGGCCCATATAGTCAAACACACAACGAGGGATATGACTGAACCAGAACATTAATCAGATTGGTTTAAGTCCAATCTCCTTACAATATATCTTCTTTGTGGCGAAGTCGAAAAAAGGTGGTGAGATCTCAGATCTAAAGGAGTTTCGGTGAATCCTCTTCGTCCAGATCTTCAGATTCTATATATACCTCACACGAAATCTCGTAAGAATTAGTTGGAAATTATATTTGATATGACGATCTATCAGTTATTGGATAAACTTGATAAGCAATAAAGAGTTTTGACCTAAACAAGTTATATGTAATTAGGGTTTTTAACATAGTCTAATGTTTTGACCTAAACAGAGACAATGACAAAGAAGGTTTGTTCATGTATCAACGAGTTGCCCGACGATTTGATCTTGAAGATATTGTCATTCCTTTCTACAAAACATGTTGTAGTGACAAGTCTTTTGTCAAAAAAATGGAAATCTCTATGGACAAGGGTGCCTATACTCAAGTACGATGTTCGGGAACACACTAGATTCTTTGAACGATTTCTCGATAAGTCACTGTTGTCACACCAATCTCATGTTCTAGAAAGCCTTCGTGTCATATTAAGTGTGACCCTGTGGAATAAAGACATTGGACCATGGATTAGTACCGCGCTTCATCATCATCATTGCCACCTCCGTGAGCTCGAGATAGATGCTTGTATTGTCCATACCTTATTACCTACTGAGTTGTTTACCTGCAAAACACTTGTTGTCTTGAAACTCAAAGGTAAAGTGATCGATGTGGAAGCTCCTCTTACAACGGTCTGTCTCCCATCCCTAAAAACTCTGCACATTGACCACTCGAGTTTATTCGACTTTGGATCCCTTCAAATGCTTTTATCCAATTGCAATTTTCTTACTGACCTAATGGTCATAAGGGAATCTAGATTCTTTTTTGCTGAGTTCGACGTTTCTTGGTGTAAAACACTTGTGGCCTTGAAACTCGAAGGCTTGAAGGATGTGATAAGCATTTCTTCTTCCGCGGTATGTCTCCCATTCCTCAAAACTCTACATGTTGCCCGCATGGTGGACTTTAACAATGATTCCTTTTGCCGGCTTTTATCCAAATGCCCTGTTCTTTCTGACCTAACATTGGAAGAAAAAACCAGTGATGTTTTGCTGAATTTGGATATCGACATGCCTTACTTACAAACATTGTCGATTATAACAAGAGTCGATGATCCCAAGCATTTGTGTAGTTTAATGACAAATTACACTCGAAAGCTTGCGATTATCGCACCTTCTTTCAAGTTCTTCAACATTCAAGAGTTCGTGTATGCCCGCTACCGGTATATCGTGAGAGTTAGACTCGGAGTTCCATCAACACTAGAGGTAAACTTTTTCATTCCATGTAGTTTCTTTTTCGTGTTATATCTTGTTGGAACCATCACATAAATGAAATATCATGTTTTAATTTTTTTCTAGGATGCAAATATCTTTTGTCGAATCGTACATCTGGAGATGAACATATGTAGTGAAAGACATGGGGAAATGCTTGCAGATTTGCTCCTATGTTTTATTAAATTGGTGGTTCTCAAACTTGAAAATGTATTCAGTTTTCTCCCTTTTTTCCTTTACCATTTTAATTTATAGTGTTTAATATTCGACCTTAATGATCTTATTATTAATAGCATTTTTACCAATTTTACTCGTGATCGCAGGTTTACTTACTAACTCCGTTGTGTCGTTGGGAACCGCCAAGTTTGGTTCCTGAATGTTTGTTGTCCAGTCTTGAAGCTCTAGAGTGGAAAGGTTACACAGGGAGATACGGAGATAAAGATGTGGTGAGTTATCTCCTGAATCATGCGCTACGTTTGAAAACAGCGAAAATCTTCTATGAGTCATATCCATATGTCGTGGAAGGAAAGCAACAAATTGAAGAGGACTTAGCTTCTATGCCAAGAGGTTCGAAGTCATGTGAAATTCTTTTGAATGAATTTATAAGAAGCAAAGCAAATTGTTAAATGATTGCTACTATTTGGAAACTCGGGACATCTTATGATATGATGCTTTGCTAATTTCACTGTTTCACTACAATTTATATTGAGGTGTTTCACATTCTCTCATGTTTAGGTTTTAATTGGCGTTTTGATTCGTTGATCATTTGAAGCTAATCGAGTCATCAATTAATGAACCCCGTTAGGAAATCTATTTAACGTAAACAGATGCTTTGGTCATTGATACGATCTAATTTGCATTTCACAAAACCATGATACAATGCTCTACTAGAGAGTAGAGACCATTAATAACAAAATCACGAACTAGACCAAGTTACAAATTACAAGAGCAAGACAACAAAAAAACAAGACTTGAAAATGTTGAGACGCAAAATAGAGCATAAAAGGGATATAACATTCGCGTCTTAAACAACCAGAAAACAGACCTTGAGTCCCATGAATAAAAATTATAGAACATAACATAAGAATTTATATGTAAGAGATGCAAACCAAGTTTAGAGCCATTGTTTTGGTTCCAAAACCGCATCACTTAGCCATCATGACCTTAACAAACTCTTCGTAGTTAATCTGACCATCACCATCAACATCAGCTTCCTTGATCATCTCATCAACTTCTTCATCAGTAAGCTTCTCACCAAGGTTTGTCATCACATGGCGAAGCTCAGCGGCTGAAATGAAACCGTTCTGGTCCTTGTCGAAAACCCGGAATGCTTCCTTGAGCTCTTCCTCAGAGTCAGTGTCCTTCATCTTACGAGCCATGAGGTTCAAGAACTCTGGGAAATCAATGGTACCGTTACCATCAGCGTCCACTTCATTGATCATGTCTTGAAGCTCTGCTTCGGTTGGGTTTTGTCCAAGGGAACGCATCACAGTCCCAAGCTCCTTGGTGGTAATGCAACCTACAAGCAAATCAAGGATTTGTCATCATTCAATTCTCTATAAATCTTGAAAAGAACAATTCAATCAACAAATATCTTCAATTACGAAACTCAATGAAGTCAACAATCAGGTCTCTGTACAAAAGTATCTTAGCTAGAACCCAAACATCTCTATTAACAGTAAAAGAATTCTGATGGATAATCAACACAAAATTTGAAGAATCGGCAATCACGAAGGACCAAATCGATAAATCTGCAAATCCTCAAGTCATCATCCAAATTTTGATTCACCAATACGATTTAAATCCAATCCATAAACCAAATGAAAAAAATTCAAGGAACGAGTCTAGAGACCACGAATTACAGATCCGTTATTTATGTACATCGACACAGATCAATTGAATCAACAAGACGAGCAGAAATCAAATCAGATAAAGCTATACACCAAGATCCAACAGTAACAAAATCCTATGCATTCACAAACATTTGGAGGTGCGAGAGAGAGGATGAAAAAAAAAAAACAACGTACCATCACCATCCTTGTCGAATAAGCTGAAAGCTTCCTTAAACTCAGAGATCTGATCGTCGGTGAGCTGATCCGCCATTGTTTTTTTCGTGAAACCTGTAGATTCAGATTTTTTGTTTCCTCTCTCAAAACGAGAAAGAAGAAGAAGAGAAAATTAGAAAAAAGCGTCTCTGCTTAGAAAACGAGAGAGAAACCGTATTTATCGGGTACGAAGCCTATTAACGACTTTTTTGCTCCGACCCGGATCTAAAAGCTTTTTTATTAACCCGTACCGGATTTGGAAATATCGTTTATAACCTCGGATTATGACGATAACTACGTTAATGCCATCCACAATGATTTTCTTTCTTAAAAACCGCCACAGTGGACAATGGAACGGATCACACGTTCACGCGGTCTGTACGCGGAGCGTTGACTTGACTGTCACGTCAGCATTCTCGCTGGGTCCTCTCATTCTCTCTTACTCCAAATGTCTGTTTCTGATTTGGCTCTATTTCTCTATTTAAATTCCTTGTCACCATTGAATTTATTTTATTATTTACTACATTATCATTCATCACCGGCAAATTAATTGGATTAGATTTCGATTTCACTTTTGCCCAAAATAAAACCTTTTAAACCTAATTTGATATGAAACTGATCGAGCCCTCGAGGTTTACATTTGAAACATTGGATATATTAAGTGCTTTTTATTTGTTTTGACGAGTTTAAAAGAAACTTGATTTTCGAGGTTTATATTTCTCTATGTTTGCAGAATCTCTTCTCCTTGATGTGGTTCGTTGTGATAGATGGCTGGCTCGAGCTTTCGTCTTTCTCGTTTTTGAGAGTGGTGATTTTCGAGGGCTTATGCTTCGCTCCTTGTCCTTGCTTTTCAAATCTGTTGAGATTGAATCGCATTTTGAAGGTTTCTAACTAGACGTATCAGAAGCTTGTTTGAGGCTCTCTTAGTGGTTTTGCTTGCTGGATTATGATTTCCTTGGTTCTTGGTTTCGAGAGATTAGCTCTCATCGTGATAGGAGGTGGTTGATGTTGTCTTTGGGTAGACCGGGGGCACCCTTGATAAGTCTCTCTTAGGGTTCATACCTATTTGTGTCTATTCTATGTTTAAGGGATTGTCCTCTCTCGAAATTGGTTTGAAGTTTCTTGCTTTGTAATTCTAGTTGTGCTCTTTGTTTCCCTTTGTTAGGGCCTAGTTTCGGGGGAAATTTCTTTTTCCTCCAGCTTTTGTCTCCGCGGACTGTTTCGTTGTCCGCCGGTTTTAGCTTCCCTTGTTTGGGCATTTGTAATTTCACCATGGTTTCACATCAAGCTTTTCTAATACTCCCTCCGTTTCGTTTTAGTTGTCGTTTAAGGTTTTTTCACACAAATTAAGAAAAACATTAAATTTTCTGTTTTATCCTTTATTAATATATTTTATAAAAAATTCATTGGCCAAAACATTAAAACAGTACGGATAAAACTGGAATTTTCACCAAACATTTGCATTGAAAACCTAAAACGACAACTATTATGAAACAAAATTTAAATCCTAAAACGACAACTAAACTGAAACGGAAGGAGTATAATTCAGATGACAAAAAAAAAAAAAAAACTTGATTTACATTAGTTTGTCCACAATTTGTATTTATATGTGCTTCATCTTGAGATGAAGTTAACTTGAGAGCTTTCACCTAACAAATCTGTCGTAATCTTCTAAGAAGATATCATCTCAATATGATTTCAAAGCTTAACATGAATCTGAATCTTTAATCGTATCATTTAACAAATTAAAAGTGACAAAATTAAAGTATCATTTTGAGTGTAAAACAAACTTCTACGAGACCAAAACCAAACTAGGGTGATCTCAAAATATTGTAACTGAACTTAGTTCTTACACAAATTGAGGTAATTGTGATTAAGGGATTTGGCAAGAGTAGTAGGATACAAAAAGAAGAGATGCCACAAGATTGCTTAGAAGGAGAAAAGAGTATGAGACAAATTACGAAAGCGGTTCAAAGACCTAACCCTACCGTGCGTACTGTTTCTCAATGTATCTGCAACTCACCTTTCTCTTTACTATTGACAAATGCGTCCAAGAGCTACGTCTACGGGTTTTCCGGGTGTTAACACTGAACCGAATGTTGTACCACTCTCTACAAGACTATCTCTAAACTAATGGGGAGAAGACTACAGCAGGACTAACCAGACAGGACAGGTTACCAGTTGAAAATACTATCATCACAACAAAGATAGTATCGGACATCATAAAGAGACTTTGAAACCAGAAACTTCTTGCACTTAAATTAAAAGAGTTATGAGATGTTAGGCTGCACAGAGACAGCCTTAGCAATAAAAGCAAGCAATCAAAATACAAAGTAACTCCAGCAAGAAAGCAATCACAATACAAACTAATTATCAAACATCAAGGTGTCCTGGGGATTGGGGCTAACCACACAAGTATCGTCATCTTCAGTTGGTGTTGGTGGATCCTTTCGCTTACGTAGTGAGCTAGAGTATTTCCCAGCTGATAAGTCTTCCCAAAGCAATTTTGGTTCCATATCAGATGCTGATGCGTCTCCAGGCAGGTTTCGAGGCTGTACCAAGATAATGTTGTAACCCGTCATAAACAATTCAAAAACACCCCTCTTGAACAGTGGTGTGATGCTTCTTCCCACGATTATTATCAAAGTAACGAATGGTTCAAAATCAACTGCCCAGGTTAAAAAGTCAGTTAAGATCTTGAAATGTCTAGCTTTTCTCTCTCCTGAAACCATACCAATCAATCTATATATAAGCGCAGGGCAGATCAAGATAGAAAATACATTAGACATAAAATTGTAAAAGCGAGACTTCACCTGCCGGTGTGTGATTGACCACGATATTGAGCTCTTCATTCGTTTGATCAGAAAATATGGCTCCTGTACCACGATAATCTATTTCCCTTTTCGACAAGTCAACTTCATCACCTGCGTCTGCGTGTTGTTTGACAACGTATTCGGTTGATTTAAGGCCAGCCTTGATCTGATCCGTATCGCCATAAGCATGGATGGTGGCCTTAGCCTTATACTTGAGATTCTTAAGGGCTTTTCTAATGTTCAGCGAAACCTCAACAATATTGAGATCGTCGGGGATTTGGCAATCCTCCATGTCCCAGAAGACCGCCGTCTCTGCCGATTCGTGTAACTCATCAGCCACAGGAAGATCCGTCTCTGCCGATTCGTGTAACTCATCACCCACAGGAGGATCCGTCTGTGCCGATTCGTGTAACTCATCACCCACCGGAGAAGACATCAGATAGAAGAAGAAAGAGAAAAACAAATTAGGTCTAGCGGCTGAAATAAGAGATCTAATCCATCCTACCCTAGCAAAGGTCTTTATATATATATAGGCCATGTCAACTGGGCCGGGGTGGGCATTATTTTTTTTAAGTTATTGAATCAAAACAGCAACTGATATTTCTCTTCTGACATCAGAGGCATCAAGAGTTGGTAACTTCTCCTTATTATCAAGTCATCCACCACCAAACGTAGACATACAATGGCTTTTTTTTGGGTACCTTAAAGCAAAAAAAGTCGAGAGAGACAAGATTTGGGACGTTACTGGCTTACTGTTACTTTTTCTCTATCTTGTCTCCATCTAAATCGTGCACAAAATTGACCTAACTCATTAATTATTTTATATGACCAGTGAGCTGCAGATGTGTGACAGAATCTGGTGTAATAGAAATTGAACCTTTGAAACATGTACGGTTTTAAATTCAACAGACTGTACGTAAAAAATTAAACGGTTTTGATTGAAACGGGAGAGATGTATTATTTGTTCATGAAGGAATAAAGGAAAGATGAAAGAAGACACTTAGTTTTATGCAAAGAATTGCAAAAAAAGCAATACAAACTACTTGGCCAGAAGAAGAAGCTTGAGGAGACAAAGCTAGTCAGAATTTGGAACCTTCCGACGCTCCCCACAAACCCTGATGATAATATCTTCTCCAAATGCCAGGGCCTTGCAAATCCCATCTGGGGTTAAAGATAGCTGTCCTGATGAGTCTGGAGACTGTGCTAAGAGAATTTTGTATGCATATCTAGATTGCAACAAACGAAAAACCCTGAAGAAGTCCTCGCTGCGTGATCATGAGATGTCGCCGACAATTAGCATCAAATTTAATGGTCCATCTTCCTTGACAAGAAGGGAAAATAAGTCTAACATATACACCTCAAGTCTCGCATCTCTATCTCCTGAAAACATATATGAGAACATATCAAGATACAAGACATACATGTTTAAAGGAGAAGTGAAAGGGTAAGGAATTCACCTGCGGATAGGTGACGGACAGGAATACCAATAAACTCACCATTTGATTTTCTCAAATCGGTATAAGGTGTAGTTGAGACATCACCACGATAACCATTATCCATAAGGACACGTTTTATGTTACTGAAAACATCACGAGGACCAAGACCATCAGGGATAGGGCAATCCTCGACGTCCCATAAGACGAATGTTTTCCCACCTGTACAAAACGGAAAACTCATAATAAGTTTACTTTACTAAACTGAAAACTCGAATAATACAATTGACTGCTTCACTAAAAACAGATCAATAAGGTGAACATGATCAGATCTACATGGGATTTTTTCACATCCGTTTCAAATCCCACAAAAAGGCAGAGGTAAAAGCATCAGTAAGCTGAACTGGAACAGATCTACATGGGACGTTTTCAATCGCAGAATTCATCCGTTTCAAATCCCACAAAAGGGCAGAGGTAAAAGCATCAAATCTAGATCTAGACAGTTATGGAAAGAGGCAAAACAACAAACAGATCTCTAACGCTTCAAGGAAATTGCGGTCGAGGAAGAGATAGAGATCTTACCAGCGAAGCCAGACCTCGAATGGACGGCAAAGCTAGACTTATACATGGTTTTGACGGATTGATTGAGAGTATTATAAGCTATCAATCGGTTGGTTAAAAAAAAGGATACCTCTGCCTGCGCAGATGACTTGTGGTTGAAAATTCGGTTTTTATAGCTGCAGGTGAGAGAGACGCTATCATCTATTAAGGGTTAGATCTAAACTGCTTGAAAGACGAATTCATCAAATAGGGAAGGTTTTTATATTGAATGCAAATTAAATAGTGTATCATTCATTAAACCCTAGACAACCAATTGCACTCTATTGAAAGATATGTCTTAAATTCTGAATAAGCTACGAAAATTATAAAATAAATTAAACAACAAGTGTCATAGGTGAAAATTGTCGCAACTATGACTTCCATATCCGTCACAAAGAACCTACAGATATCAATCGCATCAAAACACTAATCTTCTTCGACATGCGTCGAATGGGAGAGAGTTGCTGCTGCCACGTCGGATGTGTCGGCGTTTACCTCCTTCACCGTAACAAACAGAAGAATCTACCGGCGATTTATAAAACTCGTCGTCATCGTAGTCGGAGAAGGAGAGCTCTCGAACGGTCTCTGCGATCAGGTCGCGACAGATGTGATCATGAAGAGCTAAACCGATTTTAGCGACCTCTCTTCGTTGACCAGATGCCACATCATCACAAACTTGGTTCACGCTCTCCATCAAGCTCCGTCTTACCCTCCGCACCACAAGGGGCAACGTGCCACATGACTCTGTCGTCGTCGTTGACGTTGATCTCTTGGAAATGACGTCATGAATGGAGTAATGATCGGGTCTAGTGATTAGATTTATATTGTTGACTTTGTAGGGTTTGTTGTCTTTGCAGCAATATTCGTGATGGTTCATCATCGACAACATCGTGGCTGTATCTGGTTCGTGTTGTGTCGTCTTCGTGTTCTTCTGCGTGTGCGTCCCCACGACGATCTCCTGCCACTGTTGGTTGTTTGTTTAATAAGAGGAAAATAATAATTTATCAGACAACTTGTGTGTTTAGTATATTAATTAGTACGTTGTCACACAAATATATATAAACTATTACTAGCGAAATCGTCTATATATCGATTGTCATTAGATTTGTTTATATAAAATCAAAATAAGACTCAGGCATACGTGAAGTGCTATGTAGAATCATTTTTCTATAAAAGTGGTGTTCTTGATTTGGTACCATAAAACAGTTTGTGGGTCAGAATCAGGAATAAATCAAATAATATATGGGTGGGGGTCCAAATGATGAGAAAAGTTAAAGTGGGCTTCATGACTAAAGGAATAAAGGCCCCTAAAAGCTGTTTCTTCCTTCATCATTTGTCTAACATGCCTCTTTCTCCTCACACTTTCTTTACTATCTTCTCTACTTTAATTTTATTCTATTAGATTAGACTAAACCTCATTACATAATTAGCCCCACTGAAACTTAATTGGGGTCCATACTATCTTGACTTGATATAATTTTGAACATATGACACAACAAATATGCAGTGAACCAATTGTTAGAGCAAATAGATGTGACATCTAATCAAATGACACAGTTAATGCATGCATGAAATTGTTAGAGCAATGAGATGTCTTTATCAATATACAAATTTGATGAGACTGTCTTCCACTATTGGACATACTCATGATTTCAACACCACCAAAGAGACAACTCTTTGGCCTTCCCATTCTATCTTCACTCTTTATTGCTACTTTAGTTGAGACACTGTTCTCCTTATTTTACTACTTTAATTTCTTTATTTTGAACAACAAAAGATTAATACCAAATTCCCTGATACGGACCATATCAATTCCCCCACATTTTAATATGAATTTTTCTTGCTTGATTTATGTTAAGCTAATTGTTGGACCATTAAATAAGAGAAGTTAATATATGTGAAAAACTAAAAAAGTGATTTCGACATGTTTGTATTATTGTTGTCCATATGTTATGACCTTTAATGTATAAGACGACCAAAACAGTAAACAAAAACGGAGAAACGTACCGGTGCCGGAGAATTTAAAATTCTCACGTGTTGTCGGCGGAGAAACCTCAAGTTTCTTGTGAAGAATGTAAGTGGTTTTGATGACGTCGATGGTTCTCCTTAGCTCCTCTAAGTCCCGATCACATTTCTCTAGTGCTCCGACTAGACTCACCCTCGCCGCATCTTCCTCTCCTTCATTGTGCGGAAGCGGTGTCGCACCAATTACTCCGCCGTCTCCGTTTGATGAATCTTGCGGAGGAGAAGCGTAAACGACGGTTCTTTGTTCTCGCTTTTTAGATCCCAAGGTGATGGATTTGCGGCGGTTGGAGGAGAAGCTGAAGGTGGAGAGGAAGAGGTTGAAGAATCCGGGGAGGCAGCCGGAGGAGACGGCGGAGGAGTTTGAAACTTTCCGGGGAGGATTATGGTTTTCTCGCCATGAAGATGAAGGAGAAAGCAAGTTCTCTCGTTTACTCTTCTTCATAATCCTCCTATCTGTTTGTTTTTTCTCACCTCTTTGTTTTCTCTCTATCTAAAACCTTAAATTCCCATTTAGTCAAATTTCTTTTTATTCATTCCAACGGTAAAATTATAATATTAATACCCTTTTTGTGATTTAGGTTGTGCTTTATTTTTATTTTATTTTCCTTTTCACTTTTGTTTTACGTTTTTTACTTTAAGGTTGGTCCATATGCACATGGCAAATTCCAATGCATTGACACTTGCGGAATATTATTAGCAATAGACAGTATAATGTCATTTTTGTGTTTAGGCATTATAGTGTCTTTTATGTTATGTTTCTAATTTTGATGGTTTTCAAAGTTAATTATCTCTCAACTCTAGATAAACTTCAAGTATTCAACTAGACCTTTAAATACAACTTTTAGTGATATATATAATAATGTTGTAGTTATCCAATGGTCTAAGATTTCAAATGAGATTCAGATTTATTTTTGTATGATAAGAAATTTCCATTAACAGAATTTAGAACCCTAATCAAGTAGGCATTTTAGGAGTTTAGCACAAGGCTCTATGAGAAACAAAGGGGCATGATTAAGAGTGTTCTTTAAGATTCATGACCTTGTGCATGCTGGACAGAGAAAACTTTTAGAGCCTTTTTTTTTATCAATCCTATAAGAATTAGATATTTTTTGTACGACTAAGTAATTGCATCATTAATGGCGCTCTGTTTTGAGACCATAAATCATTTACACGTTTGAAGAAAACAATTTATGCTTTCAATTAACAATTTTCGTTAAGTAGAAAAACTAACACTTGCTCACATAATTTTACATGTACAGTAGATATATTTCACTCTATCAAATAGAATTGTAATGTAGTTTTTAAGACACAAAACATTTTTGATCATAAATTATAAAACTTCGTAATTAATTGATTACAGTGCTAATTTGGCAAATTGCAATAAGATTTTCCCAGAAATACTTGCATTGCAAATTCAACTGTGAAGAAACAACAAACTCTACATACGAATTGATTCTCACTGATCAGACTAATCTTATCATCATATCAATGAACACTAAACATTGGAAGTTTCAGTTTTATAATCTCAGTAACAATATAACTGACAAGTAATAACAAAGCCTATTCTATACAAATAAGAGCTCGAAAAGAAAGAAAAGCCAATGAAAATCTGAACGAATGAGAGACACTAAACTAACCCACTTTGGTTTATAGATCGTTCCATACTTTGTAGTCGCTAGTTGAGCTGTTGTTCTGTATATAGTCTTGGCATCCTATGAAGAAAGTAGAACGCACAGGATCAACATTTACTAGAGCATGAGCCGTGCCACTCGGACTAACTGCTACAGCTACTTCATCCTCTCCAATTAACACTTCGGCGTAACCTTTATCGACTTCGTGGTTTTCCAGCTGCAAGAATTCATATAGATATGTCAATAAACAATGTTAGATTGATGGTTTTGGTTCATTTCGACCCAAGTGCAGTAAAGAAATGGAAAACCAGGGCACAATCATCACAGGAAAAAAGGTTAGAATAATAAGATGAGCCTATTTTGTCACATCACTAAACATCTCATAGGAAGAAACTCGATTTTTCAATCTTAGAAGGTGATTAGTGGTCCAGTGATCAGCGAGCAATTGCCTGATGATATTAAGTCCAATAGTCAAGAACATCTTTATGATAGAGTCAGAAGTGATTTTCTCCTTTATTTCTCAAAATAAAAAAGAGATCCCGTGCAGAATCATAGAAAAAATTAGCAAACCAAATCGAAGAAACTGTAATCTAGAGTTTGTTCTAGACACTCTAAACACTCTCAAACCAACGAAAGACCAGCCTGCTCCTGCATCTGTTCAATCCTCTACTCACACACATCAAGCAATCAACTAACATGTAACACACGTTTAGTTAAGTTGGCCTGGCATTAGAAAAACTCTGAACTCTCTTTTCTACCTTCTTTACCAAGAGTTATCAGTTTACAATTCAATGAAGCAATAAGCAAAAACAGATATTCCTTCCTGTCAGAGGTGTTCAACAGGCTATAACTCTTCCATTATGTTCTATCAATGAGATGGATGGTGAGACTTACCCTGAATCTTGTCTTGGCTCCCCATATGACAAACGTCTCATTACAGGTATGGTGTCTATGATTTCCCCTCAATCCACCAGGCCGTATTTCACCAACATGAATGGAAACACACGAGGCGGCTCCACCTTCACACAAGTGAAAAAAGAGAAAACATGAAATGTGAATCTCCGGTATCGAGAAAAGAGAAACTTAGGATAACACAATAGTCTCCTTCAAGGTTTGTCAGTCATTCCAAAGATTATAATTCATAGAGTGATCAAAGCCATGGATACTTTCTCTTCATCAACCTACATGCTTCTATAATTATCTCCTGCAGCTTCATGCTGCTACATATACCTCAGGAAGAAATTGAGAATGGTAATTTAAGCTACAAATTTTCTCAGTTTCGATATACTCAAGAACACTACACGAATTGCTGTTTAACAACTTCCTAAATAACATCAGCAAGAAAACAGATTAAGAATCGATCAGAAGAACCTTTGAGCTGAGAATCACGAGCAAGTATAACGGGATCAAGCAACCATCCACGCTCGTCTTTCCGAGCAGGAGAAAGCGACGCCAAACCGAACCGGACTAGATTAACCTTATCGTCGTCGTCGAAGACTTTCAAATCGGGGTGACTATTTAGCGTCGATTTTGGATGTGAAGAGGAAGAAGAGACGTGAGAAGAGTGCTGTAATCTGAGGGAGATCCATGTGAGGAAGAGGAAGAACGAGAGGAGAATAGGAAACGCTTGAGGCTTCTTCAGTAGATTGATTAAAGGTGACAATCTCTGGTTATCGATCACTACTCTTCTAGGGTTCGCCATTTTCGAAATTCTCTATATTCCTCTGTTCATTCTGATTTAATGTTAATTAATTTTTATAATTTTCTTTTATAGATCAATTAATAGATTTATGAGCGATAAAAATTAGACTGAATGATTGGCGGGCTGAGCCAGGCCCGTGCAGTAGTGCAACGCATGGGCGACTCGTGAAAGCCCAGATAGCAAGCTATCTTAACGGGCTTTCTCCCTTAAAAAATAGAGTTAATATCGTGTGGGCCGATGGCCCACATATCAGATATTAAACTGATAAGAACAGATACTACACTTGATCTTAGCCAAAAGGCCGAGAAAGGTATGAATTGGACGTTGGGCTCAGCTTCTTATTTATACTACAAAGCTTATGACCAACGCTCTCTAGCTTGTCGATGTGGGACTTTCTGAAAAATAGACTCTTTACGTATTTATAAGCAATTAGACATCTGGTTCAATATTTGACATGGGTTTAGCCATCTGGTACTTGTCGGAGATTTTGATCCTGTCTTGCTTCTGCCTCTATGTGTTCTTTGACATCAATTACAGCACTACGAAAGCACATAAGAAATTGTGAGCTGGTAATACTTGAAGCTCAGTGATCTGTGCGCACAGAGGAAGATTGGAATTTGATGAGTGTTTTTCTAATGCAACATCTGGGGTGTTTAAAAGTCATATCTTTAAATTACAGAGGCTAAAGCTGGATCCTCCTAAAGAAGAAAGGTGGAAATTTTCGAAAGCTATTATAAACTTCTCAATCTGCAATGCTAAGATTTTTCGACTCAGAATCAAATACAAGGCTTTATACAGACAAGTCTCGAGTATTATTTGCTGGTGGCTGGCTTTTGGTAGGTTTGAAGGTTTGGTCCCATGTCTTCTAGCTTGTGATTTGAAACGCTGAGACCTAAGCTTTGTCTTCAATGAACGTTAAAGTCTTCACAAGCTTCATGTATTGGTTTCAGGCATAAAGGCGACACAGCATGTCAAAATTTTGCTGATCACTGTCCATTCTTGAGCCAGGTTTCGCGGTCTTTCTTACGAGGTCCAAGCTAAAACCTGTGTCCAGCCAAAAGAGTTTTCACACTTTTCATTAACTGGAACCATAACAAGAGCGTAACAATAAAAACTGATAATTTTTTTTCTAAACTTCATACTTGAATGAGTCTAGGAACAGTCCGAGGGCGAGTCCAGTCTTCCAATAGTTAAACATAGTGATCGTGCCCCGCATCTTGTTGATTAATGGAATAGAGGCTCTGTACATTAAAGCTCCAATGCATTCAACTACAAGCACAGCCAATCCAGCAGACAGAACATCCCAGTCTCCTGTTTGTCCTATGAATGTAGAGAAAGCAGTTGCAGAGTAGAATCCCACCAAGAGAAAGAACAGTTTCTTGGGGAGATCTTTCTTTATCTCCTGAATTTTCACCAGAAGCTTAGTTCTGAGAACTTGTATGGCTTTGATTAGCCGTAGACCTCTGGAGCTATTATTACTTGAAGAACCGGATGCTGGATCGAATCTGTCCCCACCAACCGAGCTTTTGATAGTTGTCCATGACATCCTCCTGGAAAATTGCGAAAGACCCACTTAAACTTGGACACTCAACAATTGAGTTCAACAAAAGACCTTCTTTAATACAGTAGCACATCTCACAGGAATCGACAAGTCTAAGCAAACTTGGAGGTCTAAGGATTTCACTTACTCCATATTAAGTCCGATAAAGCACAAAATCACTTTGTATATATGTAACCATAGATTTTACTGGTTAGTATGGTCTCTGCCTTTATAGACAATATGCAGAGAACTGCAAGAGATATTCAGGTGTTGCCAAAATCCTCAATCATTGAACTTCCAGCAGATCATTATCTAAAAAGCCACATCAGGAATACTAACTTCTAAGCCACACATTGATGCTACAAAATGTTAGAAACTTGCCTTTGATGTCTGACCAACAGAGGCTGTGCAGGATGAAGGAAATGACAGAGTGAACAAAACTCCAAGCAAATGGCAAGAGACAAAGCACCTTTGTCTCTGAAACTCTTTTTAGGCAAAAACTTACTTCCACAGTTAGGTAATGTCACCGTGATGGCAAATCCCATGAAACAGCTAGAAGAAATGTTGGTCTTCTGACCCAAATGTAACTACTTCCTAGACCAAAAGGTTTCCAGCATATCAATTTCTCAATCCAATGTAACATCAAATAGCAAACTTCGTTAAGAGAAGAACCAACGTGTCTGGTTTCAACTAAAAGCTGATAAACAAATAGCTAGCTTTACAATTCAAGTTATCGGAGTTCCACTAATAAAAGTAAGGATAAACTCATAGACGGAGAAAGAACATGAAATACGAAACTTGACTCAGCAGGTACCACGATTAAGCATTTTAACGAATACCTTGTAGACGACAACTCAAGAAAACCCTAAATTTGCCCAGATTCCTAAGTTCCTTCACGCCCATTAGTCTAAATCAAGCCAAAAATCGATCCTTTCGACAATTTACTGATGAAGGAATCAAAATTCAAAACCAATTACGATTGAACACAGTAGTAAAGAAGCCAGAGAAAAGAAAAGGGACCAGCTTGGTGAAGGAAAAACAAAGTATGAAATGAGGAAGATGAAGCACAAACCTGAAACGGCGGCGTTTAGCTTGATTAGGCTCAGGAAGCTTGGGCTGCAAAATGCAAAGCCTGTAATGTAATAATGTAAGAGAGTCAGAGAATAAAAAACCCATTTATGTGGTGCTGAAGACATTTTGCTGGAGACTAGATTTTACTTCATCTTTGATCTAAGACGAAGAAGAAGAATAAGAAGATGCTTGCTTGTCTTGGTAGAAAATGGATGAGATTGTCAACGAGGAATCTAAAACGAACCTGGAACTTCGTAAACGCCGTTGACGCAAGTAGAACAATTGTGAGAGGAATAAGCGGTGGAGGAGCTGAAACGATAGCTAAAGAGAGAGTCGACACCGTCGTTATCGGTGCCGGAGTCGTGGGTTTAGCGGTGGCGCGTGAGCTCAGTCGGCGAGGCAGAGAAGTGCTAATCCTCGAAGCAGCCTCATCGTTTGGTACCGTGACGAGTTCCCGCAACAGTGAAGTCGTCCACGCCGGAATCTATTATCCACCAAACTCTCTAAAGGTACAATCTTTCTCTTGAGGGTCGAATCAAAATGTGTTTTTGGTAAGTTCAATAGTGAATTTTGTTGGATTTTGAGCAGGCCAAGTTTTGTGTAAGAGGGAGGGAATTGCTGTATAGGTACTGCTCAGAATATGAAATCCCTCATAAGAAGATTGGTAAGCTTATCGTTGCTACGGGATCCTCTGAGATACCGAAACTGGATCTATTGATGCATCTTGGAACTCAGAATGGAGTCTCGGGTCTAAGGATGTTGGATGGTTTTGAAGCTATGAGAATGGAGCCACAGCTTCGTTGTGTTAAAGCATTGCTATCTCCTGAATCTGGGATTCTTGATTCACATTCCTTCATGCTATCTTTAGTGGTATAGAAATTAACTCTCTCTCCACAGGATCTTCAGGTTTTTCGTTGTTCTGTCTTTAGGAAAAGAGTTTTGATTTCATGGTTTACAGGGATAACAACAACTTGAGACTACAGGGAGAAGCAGAGAACAATCACGCAACTTTCTCGTACAACACTGTGGTTTTAAACGGTCGTGTTGAAGAAAAGAAGATGCATTTGTTTGTTGCTGATACCAGATTTTCTGAACCTCGGTGTCAGGCAGAAGCACAGCTTGAGCTTATCCCTGATCTCGTTGTTAACTCTGCGGGACTAGGTTCTCAAGCTCTAGCAAAGAGATTCCATGGCTTAGATCATCGATTTGTTCCTTCGTCTCACTATGCCCGTGGATGTTACTTTACACTATCAGGCACAAAGGCTCCGCCTTTTAATAAACTTGTGTATCCTATACCTGAGGAAGGAGGTCTCGGTGTCCATGTCACTGTAGATTTGAACGGACTTGTTAAGTTTGGACCTGATGTAGAATGGATTGAATGCGCAGATGATACATCAAGCTTCCTCAACAAGTAAATACTTGCATCTGTTCTTGATTTTTTTCCTTTCTCTCTTGTCCATTTTGAAGTTACTCAAGATCTTCAAATGCTGTATATATTCAGATTTGATTATCGTGTAAACCCACAACGAGCAGAGAAATTCTACCCAGAGATCAGAAAGTACTATCCGGATCTCAAAGATGGATCATTGGAACCCGGTTATTCAGGCATCCGTCCTAAGCTTTCCGGACCAAAACAGTCTCCTGCAGATTTTGTCATACAGGTAATCTTTTGTTTGTCAAAATGCATCAGACCACACTTACAGCGTAAGGGTCCTGTGGAATCTTCGGTTTTCTTATGAAAGCATTTGTTATCTCAAGACTCTTGTGTGTTCTTGATGCAGGGAGAGGAGACTCATGGAGTTCCTGGTCTTGTTAATCTCTTTGGCATCGAATCACCTGGTTTAACTTCAAGCTTGGCTATTGCAGAACATATAGCAAACAAAATTTTGAGATGAATTTGAGTTAAAAAGTCTACACACATTTGAGAACAAAGGTGGCCTACAAGAAGAAGGCTTGGCAGATTTAAACGATTTTCCCTTCTGAGTGATCCATTTAAACTTTTTCTATAACTCTTTACGCTTTGTAATCAAATGTTATAAACACAAGTTTTGTTCTGCTCAATCTCTGAATTTCAATCAGACTCATGAAAACCATTACTGCTGCTACTACAATAATAACTCAAGAGAATGTTTTAAAGAAAGTTAACAGAATTGCTCCAAGTCAAGAAAGTCTACGGAATGTACAAAGAAACAAAGCTGTTTTCTCTCTTTTTTATAAGTGAACCGACACAGAAGACAAAAAGAAAAGAAAAAAAGAGTTTCGGGATCAGAAAGGAGCTGAGCTTGTTCGCCGGAGCTGCCGCTTGGGATCAGGCGGTGGTGCACTTGGGAGGATTTTCTCCACCTCCTGAAATGTAATGTAAGGATTAGCTTTGGCCACATGTAGACGGAGACAAAATTGAAAAACATAAAGTCCATGAAAAATATAAACCAGCAAGATCAACTAGTTCCGAGTATAGGAGGCCTATGTCTCTTACTCTAAAGTCTAAACCTATTCATCCTTCTCTTGTTCGTGGTTACATTTTCTATCATCTATTGTCTACTATGCTTGTGCCCTATTCTATACTTTACTACATCTTCTATCATTCCCTCTAATACGAATCCAGAACTAACGATCACCTCTTACAAGTTTCTAGGAATCACAAATTTAATCAATGCATATGTAGTAAAAAGGGAGAAAAACCCTGCAGTGCATTACCTTTTGCCTCCTGAGTCTTTCGTTTTCTTCTTCTAACCGCGAAACTTTGATCTCTAGCTCATGAGTGTAAGCCTGCTCATCAATATCCAATGTTAAAAAAAAAAAACGAGCATGACTTGACAAGATGAATAACACAAACAAATTTGTCATAACAGAAGTGGTTTCTCACCTGTTTCCTAGCTCGGGAACGAGCAGCAGACTCTCTGTTCTTTATCATTCGCTTCTGCCTCCTCTCTACAGTCTTCTCTACAACTTCCCCTGAAGCTACCCTCTTCCTTCCTGGAGTTTGAGTATCTGACAAACCACCCATCAAAGAAGACTGAGACACCATCGCTTGCATATCTGAAACCGGATATGGCATATATGCTTGAGGCTGTGGCATTGATGGGAGCTGATGATATTGAACCCATGGGCCAACTTGAGTTATGTTTTGCCCTAAACCAGCACCTGAACCAGCACTACCACCACCAATAGGACCACCAGGATCATCATGATTCGAACCAGGGATAGTCTCAGTCACCACTCCTGCTTTCAACAACAAGTCTTCAAGCGTCATTTCCCCGAGTGTAGGCTGCTTATCCCTCCTCTCATGAGCACTACCTCCATTCTTATTCTGCTGAATGTCTTTCCAAACCTCATCAACAGTTTTTTTGCTAAGATCCCGTGGCAAAGTCAAACTTCCCTGGCGAGAAAGACCCTCCTGAGCTGTTCCACCATTGACAGCCAAAGACGTTGGCTGATTAGCTTCAACAGAACAGACACTCTTCAAAAGCTCATCAAGGTTCATGCTTCCCAGAGCTTTACCTGAACTCCCCAAGTGATTTTGAACCTCATCAAGTGTTAAGCTGTAGAGAGAACCTTGTCTATTCAAGGACTGAGATTTAGCTTCTTCAACAATACCCCTCTGAGAATCCATAAGCTTTATAACGGAAACAACAACAACAACACAGATAGATAAAACAACTCTGAACCCACAAATCAGAAACCCTAATGCTCAATTTGATAAATGGCCACACGACGAGGAATTCATCAAATCGAGCCTAAATCGGAGGCGAAAGTAACGTTTTTTCTAAGGTAGAGTGGCGAAACATGCAGCAGAGAGACGAAAACAAGGAAACCCAGAAATCAAATCGGAAGGAAATGGCCGAGAGAAATCACCGCGTTGTAGCAATCTGAGAGAGTCTTGGGAATTGCATGCAGCATCGAAGGCTATCAAATGCAGATACTAAACATGGAAATCGCAACACGAGGACAATCAAACGCTTGCGAGGAAGAGATTTTTCGAAGAAGAAGAAATCAAAACTTAAGCAAAGAAAAAGTAACAATTTTTAAGGAAAAAGGGTAAAGGAATTTGGAGCTTAAAAAGGACCAGATCTAAAACAATTGTAAGTTTGGGTTTTTCTTTCTCAAAAGAGAAACGAAACTATGATAAGTGCAGACAGAGAGAGAAGAGAGAGAGAGAGATTTACAAAGCAAACCTAAACTCTTCTTGAGTCTGTGTGTGTGAGTCTCTCTCTCTCTTTCTTATTGCTCGTTTTGTTTTCGCGCAGGAGAGGAAAAAAAGAGAAGAGAGAGAAAACCTTTTGATTGAGAAAGTGACACTCGATACTGTGGCAATGCCCCCCCTCTCAAGCCTCCTGTGGAATTTTCAATGCGTTTCTTTTTTTAGTTACCCAAAAATGGTATCCAACACTTTCGATCAAAATACGAAACAGATATTTGTTTAATACTTGTGATTACTGATTTTACTTTAATGAAGGTGGTTATCGACATGTGCTTCCTTCAATCAATTAAGCTTCAATGGGAATTTAGGTAGATTATTGATTATCAAAACTTTTCGTAATTATCACATATACATGTTTACATTCTCTAGTTCTGAACACTATAGTTTCTAGTTAAATGGTAAGTGATTACTGTAAATTAATCTGCAATCATATTAAAACCATTTTTGGGTAATAATCAACAAACTTGATTGTATTTTTTGCAATATTGAAATTCGAAACCTTTATTTATACTTTCTGAGTTTCTATTTTACAATCTCAGATTGGTTTGAAAGAACATTGAATGGTGGCTTTGAAGAATATTGCACTTGGATTCTCTTCATCAATGAACTACATTTTTCTCCTTTTCGAAATTTGACATTAACAATTGAGAGATTGAGATCAAAGACACAAAACTCTACTACTTACTTCCCACTTCCACCTCAGCTCCTGCTTCTCTTCTTTATGATGATTCCTTCAACTATATATATATCATCATAGCTAACCTTAAAGCTGCACTTTTCCAAAAAAAAAGACTTCACCATCAAAGTAATCATCACCATTCACCAACAAACTTCATGCACTCACGCCTCTCTAAACTCCTCGAAAACATCAAGGGGAACAATCTATCACTTAATACTCTTGTGACTTTCTGTTAATCCCTCAACCTTGTGCCCAAGGACTTGAAGGTACATGCTTTTAACACTTCAAAGAGGGGATATGACCAATTAACAAGAACATATATAGGCAAGAGATTCGCGCTGAGAGATATACTTCAAACACTTTTGATTACTTACCCTTCAACTGCAAGCACGTTGTAGATAGCCAAAGAACTTACCTTTTAGCTGGAAGCATGTTGTGGAGATCCAAAGACTTAACTGTAAGAAACCAACAACTTCACCTGTTGTCGAGAAACTCTCTTCAAAAGCTTCCACTTTTCAAGTATTGTGAAATTGCTTCAGACATATCATTCTTCAGCTGTGTCATTGAGAGGCTTGCACCACTTCCCGCCAAGATCGACTGTTTCAAGTTGGCTACAACTATGTAATTTTGTGGCAAACAAAGTTCTAACTTGAAACAGTCATGTAAAAACTTTTGAAACTTGTCAAAAAAAACCAAAAACACAAGTGAAAGCTCTTGCTGCGTTTTAAAACTGTAAGTTTTGATGGTTTTAGAAACCAACTGAACTGAGATTAGTATATGTGTGCTAAAGAAATTTCATTGTGAGTTAGGGCCTTAGGGGTACATAATTTGGCTGTTCAACCGGCAGTCACATTACCTGCAAGAGGAATAAGGATTGAACAAACATAAAATCAGGATAGTACATAAAGCCAGGTTAATCAAGATAACTTGATACAAAATACACTGCAGGCAGAAAAACACATGAAATTGTAAAACAGAAAAGTCGATAAAAACTATTTAAGAATATCTGGAAAAACTAGAGTTCGATAAGCAAAGACCCACATGGAGCGTAGTTGCGTTTTTTTATTTTACAAATGAAAGTCTAAGGGGGATGTTCAGAAAACTGAAAAAGTAGAGACATAAACACTGAAAATAGTAGTACAAAGTTTTTTAGGAATACCATAAAGAGAGTTTGGGTAAAAAAAACAAGTAGATGAAAACTAAAACTCCTTAAAAGGTTTTTATGAGTTTGGCCTTAGGAGCGACCAAAGAGTAACATTTCATAAAGACTTCATTTTGCATCAGCTCCTTATAAACTTGAGAAGAATCACCAGGCCAATATTAAAACACTGATTTCTGATATCTGCACAATGAATTTAAGAAAATAAGAGAAGTAGCAAGCTTTAACAACCGTTTCAAAATCCCCCAAAACTCCAATGCAAACAAAAACCATGTGGATCAGGACACAGAAAGCTCTTGTCTTTAGACATTAGTAAGTTAATATATACTGAGGAAAGACAATGAAATAATTCAACAGTGGAAATGCATTGCTCTACCTGAGAGGATACATGATACATTTAGTGGCCCATGTAAGGAGCACCGTATGGCCCGACACCATGTTGCCCTCTGCTTGTACCGCCTTGACCAGGTTGCGGAGTCTGATAACCACCTTGCAACCCAGGTTGTGTACCGTACCCAGGCATTGTCCCCGGTGCCATAGCTTGAGTACCATAACCAGTTGGCATTCCAACTCCATTCGGGTTTACGCCTGTCGCTGTCCCCAAGGAACCCAACAAAGCCTGTCCAATCGCCGGATTAAAAGCCAAACCAGCTCCCTGAGATGCCAGTATAGCTGTCAAGGCCTGTCCAATGGCCGGGTTTATCACCTGTGTCGCTGGACCACCCATTCCAGCTGGGTTACCAGCCATGAGATGTCCATGACCTCCAGGCGGACCATAACCATTGTTATCATTCCTTTGGTAACGAGGATTGTTGTGGGCGTGTGGGTTATGGTGATGCTGCTGCTTGCCCGGTTTGGGACCATCGATAGCTTTCTGGCAATGCAAGATATGACCTTCAAAAGTCTTGTGTGGCTCCTCCAAAGCCCTCTTGGCGCTTTCAGCAGACTTATAAACAAAGAGACAGAAACCTTTAGGTCTCCCAGTAAACTTATCAAGACCCAAAGGACCTTCTTCAATCTCTCCAAACTTTGAGAAGAACCCCAACAACTTCTGTGGATCAAGCTCTGCTCCAACATTACTAACATAAATCTTTTTCTGCGTGTGCTCAGAGTTCGAATGCTGAGCAGGCGCTGAGACAGCTGCAGCAGCGATAGGAGCTCCACCAAAGACAGGTCCTTTAGAAGCCAATTGACATGCCGTCATACGACTACCAATCTTCTTCTGAGGCTGCTTAAGTGCATTGCGAGCACCTGACCGAGACTTGTACAAAATAAAGCCATAACCTTTAGATTTCCCTGAGATCTTATCAAACACAGCCTTGCAATCTTCGATCTCTCCGTACTGCTTAAAAGCTTCAATAAGCGTCTCTGTTTTGGTATCCCAACCAAGACCGTGCACGAAGATCTTTCGATGAACAGGGTCTTCATCAGCTACTTCCCGGATTCGATTGGCTACATCAAGATGCTTCTCTGCTGCTTCTTTAAGAAGACTCAAAAGTTGTTCCTTTGAAAACGGTTCCAACAGATCCTGAATTGGCTCATCGTCATCATTATCATCATTTACATCCCCTTGATTCCCAGATCCAGACGTCGCCGCCGCCTCAATACGATTACCCGCCGTCTGATTCTCATCCTCATCGTCATCGTCGTCTTCGTCATCATCTTCTACTTCTTCTTCTTGCTCTTCCTCTACTTCCTCGTATTCAACTTCTTCGACGTCTGCTTGATTTTTAATAACGAGCTGCTGCTCCTCCTCCGGCGTCTGCTTCAGCTTCTGCGACGGTTCTTCCGCTTCGTTAGATTCTCCTTCGAGCTTTCTCTTCTTTGTCATGGCGGATACTTTAATGTCGAATTCTAATGGGAGTTTTAGGGTTTCGAATTTATTTCTTTGGTTTCTTCTCCAAAAAGCTGATTTTTCCCCTCCTTATCTATAATGCGCCGCTATGTGGTGTGTATATCATCAACCTCAAGCAAGTCCTCGCTAAATGGATTTACACATTTACCCCTGGCTATTTAATTTATAGGCCCATTTAATAATTATTGGGCTTTATGTTTGAAGACCCATTTACGAAAAGATGCTTAAGGAGTAACAAAAAAGAGAATAACGTCAAAGTTCCCGCCATGTATTTCCCGCGAGACTTGACGGCTCATAAATTAGTCACTCAGAAGACAAGACAACAAAAGAAAAAGTGGTCTTCTCTTCTCTTATCTCTCTGGCTTTCCTTCTTACAAAGAGCTCCAATTTTCAGTCTCTTGGCCTTCTTCTTCGTCTTGTTTTTAAATTAATCTCTCTCTGTCTCTTTAGTGAACCCTAGATCCAGAAATTAGAGTTTGGAGCCCAGGATTCGGCATTCATTTTCCTTCTCAATCTAATTAAGCGTCGATTAAAGGTAAATTCAATGTCCTAGATTCAATTCCTCTTTGATGCATTCATTTTCTTTACCCAGATCTGCTCTCGAATTAATGCAGCTACAAAAACAATTGATGTAGCGAATTAGGGTTTTGATTTTTTTAATTTGCTTTTCATTTATAACTTACATTTTTTGGGTTTCAGATTTCTGCAATTAATTTTCCAAGAAAAGACTTTTGGTTTCAAATTATGTTTAGTAGCTAATTTGATGTTCGTTTCTCTGATTGTTTGATGAAATTTAGGATTGTTGACATTGTTGTTAGCAGTATCCTTATTGGCAATTCCTTTGTTTGTTTCAATTCAGGACCTCGATTTGGCGTAGATTTTTTGGGTGTTTAAGAGCTTAATCAGTTGTTAGGAAGGTATTTATCTGCTAGTTACAATGGTGGGGTTAAGAAGTAGCACTCATTTGAACTCCCATATGCATTATATCCGAACCATTAAAGACGGATCTATCAAAATACTGATGAACATGGATGCAAAGAGGAAATCAAAGCTCAAATTTAGACAGTTGGTGGATATATATAATCTTGAACACTGTCAAGATGATGAGTCAGTTCCAAGAGTAGTCAGGGATTTGGACAGTCTTTCTGATATTACACAAGGTTCTGAGTCTGAAGATTTTAGCATGACAACACTGGAGAAGATTCGGAAACAATGCAAAGAAAAGAAAAGGAAACTTAGAAACTGCAGAGATACTACTGAGACGGCCTCAAACGTTGAAGTTAAAAAAGAGTATGTGACTCAAGATGAAGGATGTGATATTGAGGAGCCTCTTAGCAGTTGGGATACAAAATTCTCTAAGAGAAGAAAGAAAAAGCAGGAGCGTAAAGCAAAGTGTGCTACTTTTACTTCCTCTCCATCTGTGGAGAAGGTTGATTTGCCTGTGGTGTTCTTTCATGTCAAGCCTGAAGCTTGGGATGATAGCTATTCAGTTTCTGAAGCTATGGATTGTAGCGAAGAGTCGGAATCTCCTACAAATACAGTGTTGGTGGAAAAAATAATGCTTGATTCGTCCAGGGACATGAGGCTGGTTCCATATTGCAGTGCAGAGCCAAATTTTCCTGGAGTGGTAGCCATTGAAGAGCCTATAACTACAAAGCCGTTAGAGGAAGCTTTTGAAGATGCATCAGAAGAGTTTGACGATGCTAGGAAAGTGCAATGCTGTCTTGCTGATAATATTGCTCTTCAGGATAAGCAAATTGTTTTGTACGGTAGTGTGCCTAGAGAGGAGATGGAATTGGATGTTAATCCACAACATTCAGAATATGAGAACTTTGGTTGTGTCGAGAACCTCATTTCTTCTTACACAAGCTCGGGGTGCGAAGAAGCTAAAGAGGATGAGGAAAGCAATGATTCAAAGGCTAGCTTAGACATGAGCTTAACTGGTTTGGAGATTGTCAAGATAGAAGCTCCAGAAATACTTGCTATTGATTACTCGGGTTGTTTGCCCATCATTAATTTTTGTGTAGAAGATTCCGAGATTCTGTGGGAAACTGAAGACATTACTAAAGATGATTTTCCTGAAGCAGCTGATATTCTCCAGCTGACCAACTGTTGTAATTCACTGGATAATTTGCAACCAGTTCCTGATGACAGCACAATTTCATTAGAAGAAGATTATTTGCCAGAAAGATTACAACAATCTTTATACTCCAAACATGAAGATGAAGCAAGAGACCACAAGCTATCACAACTCTATAAGGAACCTGATGAATTTCAAAAAGTTGCAGAGACTGACAGTATCCAGCAACAACAGCCACATCACCAACCAGAAAATCTACTCTCAGGGAGAAAGGTTTGTCCTCTGCATAATTTTATTCAAACCACATTCTATTCTTAATGCAGTTCCTCACTAGATACATTTTGGTTTTCAGGCTTTATCTCCAACCTCTCAAGAAAAACTTCGCAAGGCAATGGAGCACCCCGATTCCCCTGAGAAAAGGAGTAAAAGTAAGTCAACGAAAAAAAAAATTGAAGTCTTATTGTATGCTTTGCACTGTAATGCTTTTAGATGCTCATCCATGTTACAAACTGTAATCCAGAATCAAGAGGGAAACTCTACTTCAGTAGTCAAAACTCACATAGGATCCTTAAGGCTCAAGGGCTGGATACCATCGACCGAGTGGAAATCATTCCAGGCTCAAAGCAAGCCATTCAAAAAGCAAGTAATGAAACTCGGCAAACGAAGTATCAAAGAGCCACACACAAGTTTCCACGTCGAGGGACTCAAGCAGCAAAAGCACAGCCTTTTAGCACTGGAGGCACTTCTATACAAGGATGCTCACAGAAAGCTATTGCCTTCTCGCAAGGGCAAATGCGTGATTTCCAATGTGTTGCAGCTAGGCTCACAAAAGAGCTGAAATCGATGAGACAAATTACAAAGAGATGTCTGCTAGCTGAAAGCAACACCTCCAACATCTCTGACTATAACTTAGATGAGGTACCTTTCTTTCTATTATAAGCCATTGAAATTAGGTTTTCAATGTCTAAAATCTTGGCTTTCTCTTTTCAGGTGAAAACTGTGATTGGAAATGCAGAAAAAACTGAAGAGAGTTGCAAGAAATGGCTTTCGATTATAGAGCGTGACTGTAATCGGTTTTGCAAACTCATGGTTTGTTTTAGACTCTTAACATTCACAAACACGACAGAGAGATTTGTGTCTTCCTTCAGTCTCTAACTCTTCTTCATTCCCTTCCTTTACAGGGTATGGTCAGAGAAGATTCTCCAGCTACTGAGAACGTTGTTCATAAGAAAAAGAAGATTAAATTTGCAGATGATGCAGGAGGAGATCTTTGCCATGTCAAGGTTTTTGAGATTGATTTGGAATCTGAATCATAAACAAAGTCTGTAAAATTAGTGTAATGAAACTCTTCACACCATTTGTAGATTCATCATGCATTGAGATTTCACGAGATATAAAGCTTTTCCAAAAATAAGATGACTTTACTTAATTCACGCATAACAACGGTTATTGCAGCAAGCCAGCAACTAGTTATTAGGTTTGTTTTCCACGGATGATGCAAGGGCTTCAGATAACAAACAGGCGACAAGAAGAGCCCCCAAGTTATCTTCTTCCACAGTTAGTGACTTAGTGTTATATGGGTGAATGGTTTGTTCAAACTAATAGCACAAAAAGAGTAGTTGAGTCTTCAAACTGAAGATGAAAGCTATGATCAACAGAAGAAAATGTTAACGATCTTTTTCTAAGTTCGATCCAAACCTTGAGACAAAAACCAAGAAGCTGATTCAGTTTCTGTAATGAGTCCTAATCCTGATTGGGCTGAGTTCCAGTAGGCCCATACATATGAAATATGTTCGAATCAAGTGGTCTTATTGTATCCTATCCAGATGTCCCAGAAGGAGACAAAAACTCGTAAATAATTTCAGTTTTTTCCAAGAAAATAATACTACTAGCATTATTTACCAAAAACGAAAATGGAATCTTTGAGAAAGAAAGGAAAAACAAAGAGAGAGGAGAGGGAAGCTTGGGCGACAAGAGTGGGCAGAGTGTATTGGGAACGATGAAGAAACTTTGGGCGCAATGCATACACGACCGCTAGCTTATCAAGTCAACAACATTCTCACGTGTCCTCTCTTTTTTTTTTTACTTTTACTTATTTTTATCACTTTTAATTTAAAAACAAAATCGTAAAATATTGCCAACAAAATATAGAAAAAAAAAAATATGACGCGGTATCGTCATGATACTGTCATGATTACATAGTTTAAAGGAATGACGCCATCGCTGGCGTCTATTGACTTTGTTCTTCCCATTAGATCCTTTTTCCTTTTTTTGTCAGGATTCTCCGATTAGATCAATGCTACATTTTTCTAATTTACTAATCAGAAGACTTTCTATTTTTTTTTTTGTGTATTTATTTGTAAGCTGATTAATTTTGTAGGTATATTATCCTCCACTACACTAATTACTTTGACTATACAACTGGAGTGGACTATGCTTAATTACTTATTTCTTAGTTTTAATTTTATTTTTCTTAAAGAAGAAATTTTCTTGGATAAATACTTCTTAGTTTTGACAAAGAAAGTTAGATGAATACTTGCTTTTTGTAAAATCCTTTTACTGTACTTGTACCATGTCACAACTCCTTTTAACTGATACTTAAAATAGAGTTTCGACAACTCATTTTGTTTTCAAACTGAAACTCGTTTCAAATTGCAAATTTTAGTGAAATCTGGATTAGAAAGATTATAAAAAAAAAACTAGAGTTTTAAAACTTCGTGGACACCTAATTAAAAGTTTCATACATTTATAACTTTTTTACATTATAAATTTAGAGCAGATAAATATATTTTCATATTAAAGAAGATATATAACTTTCTTGAGTCTGAAGTTTGGACTTCTTGAACCCACGTGAATCGTCTCACTCATCGATCTGCTATAGGATATGTCTCACTTCTGCTCAATTTACACCACCAATCACGAGAGAAAAAAATTCTTTTTACTCTCATTCTATTTGGACTGGAAATAGAGTAAATGTGTCTTTCACTTTAAACAAGAATAAATGATTTCGTTGTTCTTTTCTCTTTCATTTAATTACTGTTTATTTATTTTCCCACCATTTTATTCTCTTTATTATTATGCCATTTTACTCTAATGCAACCAATCACATAGTGGTACCAAATCAAATATATGAAGACCATGATAATATACAGTGGACTAGTATTTACTTGACCTCAACCTGATTAATGGAAGGTCAGAGAAAGAAATAAAATTCTTATATTCAAATGGTGATATTGATGAGTTTGCAGCTACTCAATATTTGCTAATTGTCAATGATCGGGACTTCACAAGTGTTGTACAACATATGAAGACTAGCGAAATTATTGTGTGCTGACTCGTTTATTCTTTAGAGTTTCACAAAATTATCTTCTTCTTTTTTTTTAAAATCAAAATAATTTTTATTTTCACTTTTCAAATATAACACACACTTCTTTAAAAAATAAAAATTATTTTTGTAATGGTTAAAAATTATTCTTTGAATGTGTTAATAAGTTATATATTCGAAAATGTGTTGTTAATAAATTACATATTCGAAAATAAAGAACAAAATGAGTGGAATATTTCAAAACTCTGTACGGTTTTGTGGTGGTTATCAAACTATTTATTGCTATCTTTTTGTATATAAACGATACTAGTAAAGTAGTAAACCTTAATCAAGCATGTTGAAGGAACAATGCCAACGTCATCCAAATTTTATGTCGCCAATAATTGACCACTAAAATCAAACAACTAATGAAGAGAGTTATGTAAAAGATTGGTCCATCTGTTTTTTATGGGTCCATGGCGTCCATCTTCTTCGCTTTATATTATCGTATTAACAATATTAACTCTTTACGAATTTAATTTCGCTTTATATAAATATCTATATATATATATATATATGTGTGTGTGTCTTAGATTCTTAATCAACCAATCCAGTCAATATAGCTTTCTTCACGCAATCAGCTTCGTCCCATATATTATCACGAGAATATTTATATACATATTACTCCGTTGTATAAAATATCAGTCTTCTTGGGCGTAGTAATAATCACGGCTCGCGTAATTAGGACTCTTCTTATCAACAATCCAGTAATTTTATGGAAATTATTAATAACAAATTAACAATTAGTCAATTACAAGTAGTACTGTTCCATACCACTTGTGAACATATATGTGTACTTGCATAAAAAAAAACATATGTCTCGCATTCATTTCAATTGAGATATTCACGTAGTAAGGAACAAAAAACGAACTCTATATCAAATTAATTAATTACAAGTAGTACTGTTCCATACCACTTTTTTTTTTTGGTGGGAATACTGTTCCATACCACTTGTGTACATATATATTGAACTTTTTTTTTTTTTTTTTTGTTAAAGGGTATTCAAATTTTATAAATAAATGTCCATTGGGCTATTTCCGGAATTAAGCCCATACATATCCCCTTAGGGCCCAATCCACTAACAGTAACCCAACAAAACCATCAAAAACAAAACCGATTCGGTTAAACGTAACCGATCTAAACCGGAAACGAAAATCCTAATCTCAAACGTAGAACACGCTTGAGCCGCCGTCCAAGAACTGCAGAACCTCCCCGGAACAGAAAACCTCCGGTGAGCCTGGACGACACGAGCCGAATGGAGATGGTGATCCAAGATCCGTTGCCATCCCACCACCGTAGAGCAGTTTTGAGGAGGAAGAAGAGAACCGAGCTCCTTTGTCGTGAGGCTCCATGCTCAGTCGTGAGAATTGAAGGCAGTAGGGAGTAGATCCGGAGACCATCGACGGTGGTATAGATTCACCGGGCCGGAGTCGACCTCCCCCATCAAGCGGCGACCCTATGAAGCCTCCAAAATCTCCAGTCCCCAGATCTAACTGCCGTCGTTCCTCGTTCCTCGCCGTGAAGTCTCTCTCTTCTACTCCGCGTCGCTACATCGCCGGTAGAGCTCTTACCGTCGACGTCTCGCTGGAAGCTTCTCCACTCCACTGCACCGTGATTTTGATCCGATTGATTTGCCGAGATGATGTCGTGGATTACGGATGAAGAACCATGAGCCAGAGGGTTCTCTTCGCCACCGGAATTGGCAGAGAACCCACCGGAATTGAAAGAGGCAGACGACAAGAGACAATATCGGAAAGCACGACAAATGCTTTTTCTATTTGAACTTTATTGATATATATTTAATTTCAATTACCATAACTTATTTACGCGGAATATGTGTGAATTTTAGTGATGTCTTTTTTTAACTGAATTGTTATTGATGTCAGTAAACAAATTAAGTACTATAGTAGTATTTTATTTTTGACATGGTAAGACCAAGATTCCGGGCTTGATAACCCTAGGAACTTGCATTGAAAGAGGCAGACGACAAGAGACAATATCGGAAAGCACGACAAATGCTTTTTCTATTTGACATAAATAAACAATATGAATTGCGATAAATTAAGTATATGCTTTTATATTTATGCTAAAACTATTTGTAGGTGACAAGAAGAAGCTGATAATTAAAGTTGCATTAAGAAAATTCGAAAGCTTTTCTTTTTTAAAAAAATTTTACGAAAGCTTTAGTTACAAATTTATAGTAAAAAGGTTTTATTTTATATATAGTATATCCGTTAGTGGCTTCTATTTTAGTGAACTCGACAGTTTGACTGACAGATAATAAGAGGTTAGCTAAATTCAGTCCGATCTAATTTCGTTTTAGAAGACTAGACCTACATATATATGATGCGTTATTAAAAGGATTTGAAAAAAAACAAAGACATGTGCAAATGAATTAGATTTTGATATTTAAGAAAAGAGAAAAGGAAGAATGGGCCGGAGGGGACAGTGTAAGGGAAGTGAGGTGGAAGAGACGTTGGGATACGTGAAAACGCGTTTTCATTTTTACAAAAAAAGGTGTTCGATGACGTGGCAGATAATCATTTTAGATCATTCATGCATGGATCATGCAAAAAGCCTAAAAGTGAATAAAACTCACTTATCGATTCCCACGTTACAGCTTCATTTTACTTTAAATATAAATGTGTGTGTGTGTCCATTTTTTAACACTTGTTAGTTTTAGAATTTCAGTTAATACTAATTACGCTGAGAAAGTATTTAGATGTATAATAATCTTAAAAGCGAATTTTGATTACTAAATGTATTTGGGATCGATAAAAGTTTATAAACGTTCACATGGTATAACTTTGGATGATCATGTTATAAATCAAAGCCCAAGAAAAAGAAAAAGAATCTATAGTTGATCATTGAAATCAATGTCTGATCCAAAAACATAATCCGGTTCAAATGCCTATCACCACTAGCTCCATGCACTTAATGACCTAATTATTAGAGAAAATAAATAGGTCAAACAATTGATATGTGTAGATGTATATCCACGAGAAAATGACTTGATAAAAATGAATATGTATATAGTTGTAGAATCGGTCAACCATGGTTGGATTTATGATCAGCTATCCTTCTTTTAATGTTTTTTCTTGCAATTTACGATATGTAGTATATGTTTGTTTTTTTGTTTATAGGTTGGTGGCATGGATTTAAACAGACAAAAACACATAGATAATTTCCTACATTAATTTGTCCCACTAGAATATAAAAGGAAATGAAAAATTTAATACAATGCCTCGCACTTGCGATAAATTCGAAGCTTTGCAAAAATCAACACAAAAACGGAATCACCTTAAAATAGTACTGTGATTAATAGTATTTGTTGACCCAACAAATATAATATCTAAAATACATAATCCATATATAGAGCTATACTTATTCTACTAGTATAGTAGTATTGCACAAGGGCCTACCTGCATTTATGCAACCTAACGTTTCCCTTTCGTTATGTTGATTTGTTTCAAGTTTGAACACAAACGGTTTCGACGGAACAAATAATACAGACGTTGCCATAACGAAATAAGATTTAAGGAAATTAGCGAGATTAGTGTGTTTAGTGGAGTTAATGGTATTTATTTAGAGAAGTTGTAGGATGTGATTATTGAAACCATTTGCTTCAATCTTAAAAATTTAAATTTGAATAGGATGATGCCAATAGCCGGGCTAAATTTGGTGTTGAATACTCTATATGCGGAAGTGAACAATGCTATACAATATATATTGTTTATCTGATCAACTATAGTTTCCACTAATTTTTCTAAACAAGTATACTTAATGGCAAAACTAAATCAAGTACTTGTGTCAAATCATTCTCTTAAATTTCACCGAAAAAAGCTAAACCAAAAGTATGTCCAATTAGCTTATAGAAGCTTGAGATATTAGGCGCAAATTTTTATTTATTCACATGACCAATTCTCAATCCACTTTTTATTTTTAAATGTTGAGAAGAGATTAATGATGTCATAATGCTTAAATTAATACTACATGGATAAGTTGGGTCAAGAACAATGGGTTTAATTAATAAGACCGGAGACGAAATAAACAGAGCTGAGTCAGAGTTCCGTACAATTCTGCTGACGCGTGTCTTCTCCTTTCTCTCTCCTCTCCACGCGGTTTCTCATTCTCTCTCTCTCTACGCCGTCCTATTTATATTATCTCTCCTTGAGCTTTCATTTCTCCTTCATTATCACATTCCCTTTTCACTCTCTCTCTAACAACAGAGCTCCAACAATGATCCACTAAAAAGATTCTCTTTTTTACCTTCTCCGATTTAAAATTTTCCGGTGATTACTTACTTAACAATCATGGCGTCGTCGGAGGGATTAGCGAGCGTTGACCCTTGGTCATTCCGTCAAAACTTCAACATCGATTCATGGCTAATCTCTGATTCCTTCTCTCACGATAGTGATTTACTCGCTAAAGCTCTTCACAGATCCATCTCCACTTCCACCGAATCATCTCCTCTTTCTCCTTCATCTTTCTTCGACTCTTCAACCGCCGCCGTCTTAGTCTCCGATCTTTCTCCTCCTCAAACTATCTCCAACGTCTCTTTCGGCTCAGATCCAGAAATCCCCGTCGTCGGTGCTCTCGGTGGAGCGAAACGGAAACGTGGTCCTGGTGTTTCCGGTGGTAAACCAACGAAACGCCGATCTCGAGTTTCTAATAAGAAATCTCAAACCACGTTTATAACGGCTGACGCGGCTAATTTCCGGCAGATGGTTCAACAAGTCACCGGAGCTAAGTTCCTCGGTTCTTCCAACAGCATTTTCGCACCGATTGTGAAACCGGAGCCGCACCGGCTCGCTAGTAGACTACCACCGTCGTGTGGAAACTTGGATCGATCTTCAGCTGTTCCAACACTAGATACGTCGTCGTTTTTGTCTAACCATCACCAAGAAAACATTATCACAGATTTGGGCTCTGTTTCAGCTCCGATCAGTTCGTTTCATCATCAGTCAAGTGCTGCTACAACGACGGCGAACGTTGGTGCTGGTGGTGGCTCCGCCGTGGAATTGGATAGTTACCCGAGCTTCCCAACACTTGAATCATGGAAAGTTATGTGATCGATCTTAGTGTTTGTAGATGTAATCTTTTTTTTTTTTCTTGTATTTCTCTTTTGTTATCAAGAATCTTGTTTTCGTCCTTAGCTTTTGCAGCTATGGAGTCTCTTGTTCATACTTTTGGGGAAATCAAATGGTTAATTGAAAAAAACTTCTGTTTTTTATTAGTTACGGCACTAATATGTTAATTTTAATTTTGTTTATCAATGAAAGATTTTTCTTCATAGAAGCTAGGGGAATATCTTGATGGTCCCATGAAAGTATATATTGTCAATATCACACATAAGACAATCATTTACGTTACCACCACCACAATAATGTCTCCATTACTGATACAAATCCACTTTTTAAAAAAAAAATCTAAAGATTCCTCTTATCCTAATCTTAAGATTAACCAAAATGAAGCTTATTAGTGTAATAACAAGAATAAGTTACACAAAAGAGAAGATTAGCTTTCAACAACTACTACAAGAGGAGCATGTCAAAGTAAACGATAATGCGACAACAACAACCCAAGTCAAAAAGATTACATCTTAAAAAAAGAAAAGTTAAAACACTCTCTTAATGGGTTTGGTGATCAGAAACAAACAAAAGTTCTCTATTTGTTAATGGAAATTATATAAGAGAAAAGTCGCAAGCAATTTGAAGTTCAATTTATTTTTCAACACCTCCTTAGGTCAGTTTTAAAGTGAGTCAACGTCAATGCCACAAAAGAGGAAGCACTGATTCATCATGAGTCGTGTTCTTAGTTTGACTGTTAAAACGTCATTTGCGTTGATTCTTTCATTCCTATATTACACGACACCAATATATGTCCCGTTGAGACTAAACTTACTCATTAGAAACAAAACGTAAACTTTTAACAAGACTTAACTTGAGATTCCGAAACGTTAAATCAAGGTTGACACTAGATTTGAATGCACTTCACATTTTTGTTGGATCTATTCACTTAAAAACTCAAAATTTTGTAAATATTGGTGTAACATGTGGACGGTGGAAGAGACTAACCGAGCAATAAATATACGGAGGGACCATAGATTGACCAAAGTGATTATATAATATAGTCAGAACAAAGACTAATGTAAAGGCGACAAATATAGAAGGGGTTGTTGGTGGTTGCACCTGAGATGGGTTTATGAGGGAATCATCATCTACTTTGTCTCACTCTGATTCAGACACTTATCTATCATCTCATGTGGGTCGGTCTTTGAGCTTTTAATTATGAGGACGACACCAAAAGTGTGTGTTCAGTTTACGTTAAACCCAGTATTTATCTGTGGTATGATTCAGCTTATAAACACAACTTATTACCAAGAGCTAGGAAGTAATTAAGTATTTTTGTATTTCACATCTTCCACAAGTTGATCTCTAGTTTGTTTCCTAGCCTATACTACACTGGTGAAGCAGCTAGAAATGTGCTCTTAGATTTGCAAACACTTGTAAAATGATGAGATTTCCTCTGTTTCTTCTCATTTGTTTTTTAGTTGTAACGCTTTGATCAAGAAACCCTTATAAGAAAGACACATTCTATCAAGCAGCTGGACCTTTACAGTGGATGCAGTAAGTAATCAATCTAAAGAGTTCCAAATAGTGATAAACCTGAAAATGCAGATTACAACAACTTAATCATTTCGTGTTTTCTGAAACTAAGTCTTGACTTTTAATTTGGCTTGGCCTCGAAGATCTGATTAGAAAATCAAATCAACACCTGTCCTCACTCTAGGTTAGCAAATACTTGTACCTGTTCTGCTGCGCTTGTTCCTTCATAGATGGAGTGGAACCGAGTTTGCAGAGACCTCTTCCCGATGATGGTATCAAGGCAAAAAATTATGTGCAATGGTAGAGTCAGCATTAACCTATACAATCGGATTTACTGATTTAGAACTGTAGAGAGATGGAATTACAAATGAAAACTACATTAACCAAAGATAGTCGTACATACGATTTACCAAAACTAGATTTGACTCGCACAGACTTTTACAAACGTCTAATACTATTAACTAAAGAATATAAAGGCATACATGACATGCCCTATTGCTTTTTACCTATTCCTTGTCTCATTGTTTTACTCTCTTATACTCTTCTCCTCTTCTTCTGTCTTCATCTTCACTTATGTCTTTTCCATTTCTTCTCCCTACTTACACCATCATCATACCTCTTCCCCTACGTTGTCAGGACATAACGTTTCACAGCAGTAGCAGCGACTCTTGATATGAGAAATGCTTGACTTGAATTGCTTTGCATCGTTTAGACTAAGATCCTCAACATAGTCAACAAAGGCATAAACTTCACCACGATGCTCAACCTCTTCAAGCTTAGCTCCAAAACCTTGGATTTCAACACTTTGGAGGGTTTTCTTTTCGGGATTGAAGTAGAACACATAGTACGGTTTACATGTATACTTCATACACAAAACAATATCCCCTCTAGCAGTCACTCCAGCAACTGAAAACTCGCAGGAACCAAGGACTTCATTCTCCGGTAAAGTGTAGACATACTTGACCCATCCCTGTTTATCAACATCCTCTAGAACCCACAAACACAACTCAACGGTACGTCTTCCACCAACGTCAACATAGTTGCACTTAGTCACAGCTAATTTACCCATATAGTTGACCAAACTTAATCCACTAGGGTCCTCTATATGATCATCTAAGCATTCTGACTCAATAAACTTGAACTCCTCAGAGCTAACATCAAAGCAAACAATCAAAGACAGTGTTTCCTCGAAACAAGTTCTAGATAAGTAATACAAAACCCCATTGATGCATATCCCTTGAGTCCTTTGACAGCGATAATACAAAGGACCATCGATATCGTTTCTATCCTTTCTCCTCCACTTGAGTTCACCAGATCCTAATGTTAGAATGGATTGATTATCCAATGCCTTGAATTGCTTATCAATGGGATCAAACCCTAAAAAGCCTTTAGACCTATTGTACAACATGACTTCAGGTAAGCCCACATACATTCCGGTGATAGGGTTACAAATCAAAATCGTGTTTGTATCAATGATCTGCACAGCAGGAAAGTAGATCAAACCTGAGGCATAGCTACAACTGTATTTGCTAACGTCTCCTGAGAACTTGCTATGAAAAACCAAATGAGCCGACTTCTCATACCGATTCTGAGGGGTCGAGAAAAATTGCCACTCATTAAGTCCGTATCGTTCGACCGCAAACAAGATACGTGGACGAGTAGAGGATCTGCTCAGGAACAGCTTGGTGAATTCAGAACTGCGAAGCATAGACGCCCACTGCTTCGACAGTGTACGAAACCTAGCCACTGACCTTGACGGCAATCTTGCGAATATCTCGCGAATGAGGTCAGTTGGGAGTGATTCCTTGATTTTTCCTCTTTCCATCAGATTCGCCGGAGTACGTGATTGTTCCGCCGGGGAAGGAGAGGATTTTACGGATACGACGACGACAGAAAAAGAAATAGACAGTGAATTTTATGGGCCTCTGGGCTTTGAGCTAAGCCCATCTATTTATTAGCCGTAATCTTAGGGCCCAATAAAAGTTTTGCTAAAATGAAGCCGATTGCTATTTCCTGGCTGGACACAATAACCTTTCTTAGTTTCTTTCATTTCGAATTAATATTTTTTTCAAATTAAAATGAAGACTTTTTTTTTGTTTTCTGCTTCTCAAACTATATATATATATCGAAATTAGCTTAACTAATACGAAGCCTAAGATGAAATAGATGTATTCTATCAAACAAACTTATATTATAGAGGGAACAAAATATATTTTTGGTTACACTTAAGAATGAATAAACGAATGAAAAAAAATCCCACGTCAAAATAATACAAATCACATGATAGGACAAGCATGTGCATTATCATCGCTAAAAAGATGAAGAGCATTTTCATCGATATTAGAACTTTTTGGATGGACGAATATAATAACCGTTGACAGAATAGTTATTTGTATTTTGAAAGTCGTCGTCATAGAAATCGTATTTTCTACTATATGAAATTATGAGATAGCCTCTGTTTCTCTGTTTCTTCTCATTTGTTTTTTTAGTTGTAACGCTTTGATCAAGATACCCTTATAACAAAGACAAATTATTCTTATGTTTCAAGTAGCTGGATCGTTAAGTGTGGATACAAAAGCAATCAATCCAGAAGTTCCAAATAGTGAAAAAAAAAACTGAAAATGCAGATTACAACAACTTAGTCTCTCAGCACACTATCCTACAACTCCAAGCTTTCTACAAAAGTATGAATCCTTTGTCCTCCTTCTACAAATAGCTAATGTAAGTATATAGGTAAGTTTACGATCCAACATTACACCTATTAGGCTGGCTGCAATGAAGAACATGCTTAAGTCTCTTCTCTGTGCTCTTTCTTAGTTTAGTCCTCTTGGATAAAGATGATATGGCTTGTTCCCAAATAAAATCAGTAGACAAGTTTTGTTGTTTCACACGCCAATTAGTGTACCAGTAAAGGTTTAAATGTGAAGATGAATATTGTTTAAGAGCTTAATAAGAGAGGCCATGTGGATATATCTACTGGTATCAATTGTCTAAAGCAACAAGCGTATTTGTTACTGTTTAGTTCTCTGTCAGTTTAAAGCTAAAGGGCTCCTGGTTTGGTTGCTATTCTGGCTCAAATCAACACCTGTCCTACTCTAGGTTAGCAAATACTCGTACCTGTTCTGCTGCACATGTTCTTCACAGATGGAGCCGAGTTGCAGAGACCTCGTCCTGATGATGGTAACAAGGCAAAACATTATGTGCAATGGTAGAGACAGCATCAAACTATACAATAGGGGAGGATTGTATTGATTTAGAACTGAAGAGAGATGGAATTCTAAATGAAAACTAGATTAACCAAAGATAGTCAAAAGGTACATACGATTTACCAAATCCTAGATTTGACTCGCACAGACTTTTACCAACGTCTAATACTATTAACTAAAGAACATAAACTCATACATGACATGCCCTATTGCTTTTTACCTATTCCTTGGTCTCATTGTTTTACTCTCTTATACTCTTCTCTCCTTCTTCTGTCTTCATCTTCACTGATGTCTCTTTCATTTTCTTCTCCATTCTCACACCATCATCATACCTCTTCCCCGACGTTGTTAGGCAACTTTTCACTGCAGGAGCAGAGACTCTTGATGTGAGAAATGCTTGAG